CAAGTCTATTTAAAAACAAATTCCAAATTTTTTTTAAGATTAACAAGCACATTTTCTATTTTCTAAATATTTAAAATATAAAAAATTAAAAATAATCCAGAAAATAATCACAATTTGTTTTTAAAAGACCTATATAAATCTTACTAAATGCCACCATAAAACTATTTATATGATTATTATTTTTTATAAAAAATAAAAAAGCAAATTAAATCTAAAAAAGTAAAATTAAAAAAAGATCAAACTCAAAATTTAAAATTTAAAAGTTAATTTCCAAACAGATTAAATTTCAATAGAAAATTTATCCATTTAATCATAACAGGCTAAATATTTTTTCTAACAGCAACATATATAGCACAATTTTCATCCTTGAGGATCGGCGTGAAACCCCCACCCTGGATTGGAATTTGGTTGGTGTGCCATCCTTGCTGCAGCCTGCAAGCTCTGTGCGCTACGTCAGCCCGACAACAACTAGATCAAATTGAAAATTGCATCGATATCAATATCTGGACACTATAAAGTACGTATGAACGCTATATTTTTTCCTCCAAGGGAATGCACATTGATCCACTTGGACTTCAAAAGCCATATAAGCTCGCTAATGTAAGGTTCCAACTCGTGCGAGTCATAAAGAGACGATTTTGACAGATAGCTAACAGGAATTTCCTTAATAGGAAATTGACACTAAAAGTTGAAAACATTTTTTTTAGATTAAAAGCATATAAGAACTCCAATGACATATATGAGTAGGCAGCAATGCTTAGCTTTAAAAGACGAAAAGCTAAAAGTTTCGGCCAATCTTGATTTCGTACTGCTGGTCCAAAAAAAAAGAAAAAAAAAGAAAAAAAGAAGAAGATATGTTGGTCATGGCGTGATTATATATAATAATTCTCTTTTTGAAGATGTGATAGTAAATGATAATTAAAGAGGAATTGGGTGGGGAGGCCAATCCCAAGAGATTGCATCAAGAAAGAGAGATCTAGAGATAGTTGGTGGAAATTCTACAAAGGTCAAAGTGAATGCGTGTGGGCCTTGGTCAAATCACGTAACTCCATATGAAAATAATATTACTATATTGTATGAATGAGAGAAGAATAAAATTTCTTGGTAAAGGGGTCCACAACCCGACAATCTCTTCAGATTTGCTCTCCCACTTGTCCTAATTCTTGCGATACACCTAACGCCATAGCCGGATCAGGCTTCCCCGGGGCCTGGCTCCAATTGGTCTGCTTCATTTCTTAAATGCGTGGGTGGTTTATAACGCTCTACGTCTTAGCTCCATCACATTCAATGCTCCTGCGCCTCCATTTCTATTTATCACACGGAGACCAAGCGCCAACAATTTTTTTTTTTTTTTTTTGTTTTTCAAATTCGGTTAGGTTTCAGTTTAAAAAACAATTCGAAAAGAAATTAACAGATTTTTTTTAACGGAATTAATATAATCCTTAAAAATTGATCGAGTTAAAGTAAGGAATATATTCAGTTTTAGGTTAAAATTTAATAGAGAATGTTTTAAAACTGAAACTAATATTCAAACCAACTTGTAAGTTCTACTACACACACAACAAAATTCTTGAATGAGAAAAAAAAAGCATTCATACAATAATCGTTAATCTTCTCTAACAACTCAAATAACTACAAATATATTTTAAAGTGGTTCTCTGGACATGTCCATCCTATATATTTCTTTTATATTTTTTTTATCAAATTATACATAAATTAGTACATACTAATATATAAAAATCTTTTCAGATCGATTTCTACTTTTCGATCACTAATTTAAATATAAGATGATCCTTTATTCAACTAAAAGAATTTGTTTTGCAAGCACATAATGTAATAAATCTTTCATTTTCGTCCCTATTAATATTTATCAGTTGTCATCATCATTGTAAACCCCTTGTTCTTAATTTATTAGTTGAATCAAAAGATGACTCTAATTGTAAATTTTTACAGACTGAGTCAAAACCAATTTCACAAATCATGGTATGATAATTTCCATTTAGTTCCTTTTGCTTTGAATTATGTTTTAGTTTTTTATTTTTATTTTTATTTTTTTAAAATCACACACACACAATTATTTTTCATATCAATCCTTGGTTTTTATTTATTTTTCTTATATTTAGTCTAACCGAACCTGAAACTTGATGAGCTAGAGCTAGAGCTAGTTCTCACTATTTTGATTTTTATATTGGTACTAATTCTTATAGTTTTAGCAAATAACTCCTTTTTTCTTTCATTTAATTTACAAAAACCATTTGGACAGAAATCTTGCAGAAATGCAATATTTGTATGCAAGTTGAAAGTTGAAATCAAGAACTTTGTGGCTCAAATAACATCTTTATAAACAAACACAGATATAGATAATTAAGGATTAAAGTGTTTGTACGAAACAGATGCAACGGAGAATGATATATGGTTAAAGTTTAACAATCATATATAATGCAAGACATGGCTTCCTTATTATAAGAAAATAGACTTGAAATGTTTTTAGGTATAGATCAAAAGGAAGCCAGTAAATCAGAATAAAATTGCTTTGCCATCTTCATCAAAGTATCAACTATAATATCTAGCTATGCAACTTTTCCCTACTGACCTGACATATGACAGATACCCTGGGCTATTCCCAGGTGAAATTGAGAACGACTAAACATAGCCAGTTATGGTATTTACGTTTCACTCAGATATGGAGCTACACATCTATAAGTCAGACCCAAACGTGGAAATAGGGATCTCTCTTTAAAGTCACATGCTTCCTCCACCATATACTCCAATTCATGTTGGCAACAGAGTTGAATCTTGATGTACATTTCTTACCAAGTTTGTTTGTACTTTTAGATCTCACTCCAGATTGGATGGGGTGGCAGCTGCATCTTCTTGTATTATCAGCACTTGCATACTTTTATTTCACTGTCGCCCATCTTTTCAATTCAAGCGTCATCTTTGCTACCCTTCCTAGCTAAGTTCTGAGCTTTGTGTGCACATAGTGGTTGCGCTTAATAATGACACACAGGTATAAATGAAACGTTTAGCCACATTTATTTTCACATGACCCTATCATGTGAAAGAGCCAAATTTGTTTCAACAAGACACCGCAGTAATTGCTCTTTTTTTTTTCTATCTGTTGACATTGAATATTTTTGGTAGTTGCAGTTGGCACATATTTGGCCCAGGGATTGTTCAATGCATGTGCATGCCCACCTTTGTCACATTTTCTGGTCAGATTCTATAATTTCTGAAAAAAAAAAAAAAATCAAACGAATTCCGTTGATCAAGAGTGGAAAGAGAGGTTCTAAAGTAGATTTATGCTGAATGTCTAATTTGACACAACCACCATTGAACATCTTGTATCATCCGTTTTCAACAGTATCTTGTACTAACTTGAGTTCTAACATTATGGTGTTAGAATTAAAGCTCACATCTTAATTTGGATGCTACTGACTCAGTGGTTACTTGTATTATATGAGTACTTGGAACCAGAGAGAACTTTTTGGACAAAAAACAAAACAATAACAAATTAATTCTCAACATTTTCTCTGTAACCAAATACAGAAAACTCACTCAATCGGGGAAAAAAAAAACAAAAAATCTGGTTGTTTTTCTATATTTTCTTTTAGTTTCCGTGAGAGGGTTTTCCCAATTAGCAATGAGAGAATTTTTCTCAAGTTTGGGTGATGGGCCATTGGCTCGTTTGGGCTTGGGTAGTATTTCTGAATGTGTATAGTTTAATTTCATATGAGTTTCTGCTGCCATCTAAATCTTTCGTTGATACATGGGCCTATGATGAAGGGCAAATTAATTAGTAAAGTTTAGTTGGGCTTGATCAAACGGGTAGAATGACTCCAAGTGGAGCGCTGATTTTCATCAATGTTGGCTGGATTGTTGGCGTTTGGACAAAACTGTGCAACAGTTTGCCCATACCTCATCATCCACTTTAAACAGTGACCTCTTATTATTTATTTATTTATTTTGATAACGCAAGTGTCCGGATCGACTTACGCGCATCTTGATTAATTTTGCGGATCACGAAGTTAATGACTATGTAAGTCTTTAGTGATCGCTAAGGAGAGCAATCATGACTCGAATCCGATATCATAGAAGGAGCAAACTCTTTGATACCAAGTCCTTATCACTGAATCATCCCTGGTGGTTGTGGCCTCTTATGCTTATTCTCACGGTAGATGGATCGGTTTGGACACCGTCTTTCACTGTCTAGCAATTTGTTTAGTATTAATTAATCTTACTCTTAATCTCAATTGATAATCGTTAAATTTCTTCTTGTTTTTTATTTTTTTTTATTTTTAGAGGATGAACTTCTTGATTGGATGGGGAGAAAAATATCCCACGTCATGGTGTTACAATTAAAAAAAAAAAATTGGATTGATTGAATTAAAAAAGATATTGTATTTTTTAAATTGCATGTTCATTAAAATTATTTTGTTTTAAGGATCATCGTAAGATTTCATTTATTTAATATATTTAAATGAATTTAATAAATCTTTTCAGATGTAAATCTCAAAATTTAAATTAAAAAACTAAAAAAAAAAAACATGTTTCCTTTTAACTATTAGATCAATCCAGATAATAATACGGATATAGGGATCGAGGAGGCCCGGTGAGAGGGGTACAAAGAGGAGATTAGTTAGTCGTAAGATAATACGATTATACGACAGCCTATAAGAAATAGGCAAAAAGAAAAAAAGGAGAAAAAAAAGAACGATGTCGTTGTAAAATGGGAGATTCTTGCCCAACTGTCCAATGCCTTGGCCGGTTAACGATAACAAAACAAAACCGAAAGATTTTAACAGGCCACGTTTAAAAGAATCTCCATCCACAAAATATTTAAAAAGAAAACAGAATAAAAGAAGATATAACTAAATAACTGGCTGAGAAGCAAGGACTTTTACCCTTTATTGAAAATCCTCTCTATATTCATAGTTTTCTTCAAAATAAAGAAATGAAATATGAATAAAGAGTGATGTCGTTGAAGTTCAAAAGAACCAATGGCTTCATTATGTCTGAATTCTTTACTTCTACCACCTTGTTCACTTCCTCGTAAAGTAACAGAGACTTCTGCTTCTTTATCTTCTTCTTATCCTGCTTTAAGTACCACTGGTACTAGCAGCAGCAGAAGCACGGGAGGAGCCTTAAAGCCTATAGTTATCAATGGAGACCCTCCTACTTTTGTCTCTGCTCCTGGTCGCCGGATCGTTGCTGGTTAGTCATCATCTCCATTTTTGGTTTTCGTGTTTTTGTTTTACTCTGTCAATCACTAAGCTTGGACGTTCTTAGTAGTATCGATACAGTTTAAGTAAAATATTGTCGTTTTCAGGTATTAGTAAGTTTTTTATATTTTTCAGCTTTATGACTTAATAAATTTGAATCACTTGAAGGTAGTCTTAATTCATTTTTAGTGACATGCATGTTGCGATGCAAAATTTAAATCATGTAACAGAAACTATACTACTACTAATTTTTGTTGAACGCGCCGAAATTACCAAGTTTGAGTAAAATTTCATGGAACTGAAATGCATACTTGTATCCATTCTGCATGCTTATATGCACTAATTCTTGTATGAGTGATGGTAATTTTGTTTAACTATTTCAACTATATTATCTTAATTTGATGGTTACTGGAGAATATATGATTAACTTAATTGGGGTTTCCCCACCATGGCATTCAAGGTGCCATTTTGCTTGGCTGTGATGTCTCTGTCATTAAGTTCTATCTAGGGAGATTTCGTGACAAGCAGGGCACCTGTGCCTTTTAAACTTACAGCCCATTTGTGTATATTTAAAGTTTTTCTGCTCAAATTGAGCTCATAGCAGGAGATGGAGGGCTGCTCCGTTGCTTCTCTGATACAATTGAAGCCAAACTAGACCTCACATGGGTTAAAATGAAGTTTCTAGCCCACACATGCATCAATTGCAGGCGAAATTTGGCCAATGCAGATGCTACAATGACTCAAAACTACACTTCACTCGCCATATGGTGGTGTTATAAAACTTGCTGCATATCTCAAGCCCTTTTCAATTCATCAAGCACATGTGCTTATAATTTGTCATTGATTTCTATCCCCAATAAAGAGATTTACGAAACGTTTTCGTTTACTTATGCAAGTCAAAATTGAATTTTCATTTTTCAAGTTAATAAAATATTCCTTATGAAGATTTCATGTAGAGATTGAAGAAACAATCTAATCTCTAGCAATTTCGTGTGTTAGCTTTTTTATGCATGTCATTCATTAGCTTTTTTTCTCCATTGTCTACTTTGACTCGTATTCATAGTTGGGGATCTTCATGGAGATCTTGACCAAGCAAGAAGTGCTCTTGAGATTGCTGGCGTTCTGAGTTCTGATGGTCAAGATTTATGGACTGGAGGAGAAACCGTATGTCTTCTATTTGTCTAATCTGCAAAAGACTTTGAACTATTGGTTTACAGTTTATTTACTGCAATCTGATATGATATGATATATTAAGATTACACTGCCCTCTTCAAACTTCTATATTTGTCGTTTAATGTTGGTAATCCCTTTTTTTGGAAACTTAGGTATTGATACAGCTTGGAGATGTACTTGATCGAGGTGAGGAAGAGATAGCAATATTGTCCTTGCTACATTCATTGGATATTCAGGCAAAAGCTCAAGGTGGAGCTGTTTTTCAGGTTTGTAATACTAAAGATGGAAAGAGCTCTGGTAGTGAGGCAACATCAGCATCATGCCAGCTACTTTTTAAATATTATGAAAGGGTTATTGAAGTTCCTAAAACATTAATACCTACTATGTCGTGTGAGTAAAATCTTCCTGCAAAATTTTTAGTAATTTAAGTTTAATATATTCATTTTAAAGGATTTATTGTGAAAGACCAAGATATTATTCTTCTGTAAAAATTTTCTTGATCTATATTTTAACTATATTATTGTTTTGATAATAGGTCAATGGGAATCATGAGACTATGAATGTGGAGGGAGATTTTAGATATGTTGACTCAGGGGCATTTGATGAATGTTCAGATTTCCTGGCCTACTTGGAAGACCACCAGTACGACTGGGAAAATGCTTTTCTTGGTTGGATTGGGGATTCTAAAAGGTGGAGAGAAGATAGAAAATTGTCTCAGAATCATTGGGGTCCTTGGAACCTGGTGAAGGTACAAAAATTTACTGTCCTTTCAATTATCAGATGCAATGAACTTATTCTTTCCTTCTGTTCCTCCACAGAAATTCTCCCTCTTTAGTCTTCACCTATCTGCATATGGCACATTCACTGATACAGTCTTAAAATATAGGACAGAGGCAAAAGGGGGTAATTGCCAGATCAATCTTGTTGAGACCAGGTGGTCCGTTAGCATGTGAATTGGCACGCAATGCTGTTGTTCTCAAGATCAATGACTGGGTATTCTGTCATGGTGGTCTTCTTCCTCGACACGGTAAAAGATAAAAATAGCAGCATCTGTGCTTGGAAGATTTGGTTGTCATGTTGCTTATGCTTGCTAAGACTTTAGACAAGAATTTTTATCTTTTCTTGTTTGAAATGCCTGATAGGAGTGTTGGTTGTTCTGCAGTTGCATATGGTGTCGAAAGGATGAACAATGAAGTATCTTACTGGATGAAAGGTCTAAGCGAGGATGATACTAGTCCTAATTTCCCTTTTGTAGCTACAAAGGGCTATGACTCTGTTGTTTGGAACCGCTTATACTCGAGAGACATGCGGGGTTTGGAGGACTATCAGATTAACCAGGTATGGAACTATGGATCCTCTGATGATGTGTATTTCTATCTCTTTCATGTGTGGAAATCAGGCAGTTATAAAAAATATGAAATGAAAAAAATTGTTGCCACCCAAAACTACAGCTATTGTTCATCAGAGCATGCATTTGGCTGCCTACAGCTACTGTTAATTGAGAAGAAATCAACCTCTTTCGAAATGAGATTTCTATGATTTTACTCAATCATTCGAGTCAAGCTTGAACTCTGCAATCTTAATACTGTACCAACTTGTCTACTTTTGCAACTAAAAATTGTATGCTCATCAGATACAATCCGTTCTTGAAGAGACGCTGCAATCACTTGGAGCTAAGGCAATGGTGGTAGGGCATACTCCTCAAACTACAGGCGTAAATTGGTAATTGTCTATACTTTATTTATTGAGGTACCAATTTGCATCATAATATTACAGCTTTTTTTTTGGGGGTCGTCGTTCCGAAATTCTGTGTGTTTCTTGCAGTAAGTATAACTGTAGCATATGGCGCGTCGATGTTGGAATGTCCAGCGGAGTTCTAAATTCAAGACCAGAGGTAATTTGAAAACAGAAAAAGGGGAACTAAGTTGCTTCAAAAGATTTTGCCCCGAAGTTGAGGAACCCCTGTAAAGCATTTCTTTGGCATCTAAGCAAGCACTGAAGCATTTAAAAGGTGATGGACTTTTAATATTTGGCCTCCATTCTTCAGGTACTTGAAATAGCAGAGAACAAAGCAAGAGTAATAAGGAGCAAAAGGGACGTATTTAGTGAACTTCAGGCCGTTGATTATACGTAAAAAGAAGCCAATGAACTGCACAGGTATTGCTCTCAATCATATTTTTTCTTGTTTATTGCATGCCTCATAAAGCAAAATGTTTTGGAAGGACACAATTTGGTTTTGCAGATTCTGCAGAGTTGGATGGATATAGCCATCAGTTCCAAGAAAATGATCATGTTTAGAGTGTTCTGCTTTTTGAGTTATCACTTTCAAAATGTTGGGATAAACCTACCCTGATTTTTCTTCTTCTTCTTCTTTTTTTTTTTTCTCTACCCACAGGTTAAATTGTTTTGTAATTAAAAGAACTAGTTCAAGATCAAATCAGCAAACGAGAATTGGCAATTCAGAATACAAGACAGGAGTCCAAAGTAATTATGGTCAGAAACGAGAGAGAGATACGGGGAAGCAGCCTTTTATATTGTTGTCTACTGAAGTTGATAAATATTAAATTGCAATAAGATCAGCAGCAGGCTGGTGATTGTCCCATAAAAAATGATCTTCATCGAGCAAGAATAATAGCACTGAATGGTTCTTTAGAACATATCAAGACAAGACTGACCTGGTTGCGGAAATAGTGTCTGGCATCCCCACATGATTTTTTTCCTGTGGCTCATATTTGTGTTGACAAACGCCATGATATATTCATTTTATCCACTATATATATCTTTTTTTTTTTTTTGGTTTATATCTTATGGCTTCAAAAATCTAAAATCATCCGTCTATCTTGAAAGGAAATGCTGGAGGAAGAAAAAAACAGCTTCAAAATTTGGAATTGAACATCTATGAGCAAAACGAAGCAAAATATGTTTGGAACGATCCATGTGCTTGAGTACTTCAATAAGTATCATTTCAAGTGCAACAAGTAGTTCATAAAAATATTACTTTAGAGGGTAAGTTAATTTCATGGATCCTCTCCGAATCGCAAATTATAGTTGCTGTTTAAAATATTTTGAATTTAAAGATTTCCAACTCTCAATCAAAACTTCAAAAAAAAAAAAAAAAAAAAAAACGACATTTTAGATGTTCAATGGTTCCGTCAGAAATTTTTAAAAAGTTATTCTTGAGATTTTTTTTCTTTCTTGACACAACCTGATTTTGGGGTAGTAAATTAGAAATTAATCTTTTTATTTCCAAAAAATGAATAAATTAATTTCTTTTATTTAAAAAATTAATTATTTAGCTTTTTAATCAGTATTAATCATGTTTAATTTAATATTACTTCTTATTTTTTCATTAATTTTTTCATATTTTTTATTTCTTAAAAAAATCAAAATAAATTGAAAAGAGAGAAAATGGTTAAGTTATAAAAAAATTTAAAAATTAAAATTAAATGATATTACTTCATATTTTTTCATCAATCTTTTTGTATTTTTTATTTATATTTTTTCTTTTTTATTTCTCAAAACCAAAAATTAAAATAAATTGAAAAAAAAGAAAATGATTAAGCTATAAAAAAATTTAAAATAAAATTAATAATTAATTTTTGAAACAAAAAGACGAATTAATTCGTTTATCAAAATTTGAAGAAGTAATTTATAATTTACTAGAAGTTCATGCGTGCTCCTTATTTTGAACACTTTCTCAACGACAAGTCGTTTACTGTTTTTGTTTGTTTTTTTCTTTAAACGACAAGGGAAGTGAATGGATATTTGAGTCGAGAACAAAGAAAACAGAAAATAAACAAAAAACGGCAGTTGGCTGCTTGCTTCGGTTTTCAAGCCATCTCCAACGTCTCTCCTTGTAAACTCCGCTAACTAACCCAGTACCCTCACCATTACATTATAAAATCCCAAACAAACAAACAAAAAATTCATATGCGCACTATCCTTCACCACCACCCTGTTATCCTACGCACTTTCCCTTCCATGGCATCTTCTTCCCTCGCTCTCCCTTCGGTTTCTCTCAAAACCCTCTCTTTCACTTCCACTGATGCTTTTAATAAAGGAATTCAAGGATTCAGTCTTAAAAATGGCAACCGATCTAGGGTTTTTATGAGCTTGTCAGCCGGATCTCAAAGTCAAACTGTTGTTGTTGATGATACTTTGTTTCTCGATTATAAGCCTACATCTGCTTTTTTGTTTCCTGGTCAGGTCAGTTTTTAATTAATGTAGCTGCATTGAATTACTGTTACTAGTAAATTAGCTGGTTTTGATTGTTTGATATTAATTGGGTTGAAATTGAAAGACTGTAATTCGAGAAATTGCTAAGCAATGTTAGGTGGATAATCACAGATTTAGTAATAGAAATGTTATTGTGCAATGAGTTAACTGATCATCACGGGCTGCTGAAGAACGACTAGGGGGGAAATTTACTAAAGATTTTAACTTAATTGGTATGATCGTTTCTTGGTCTACGGTTATCATGGTAATACTAAGTGGGAAGCTGTGATGAAAACAAATATAAAAATAAATTAAGGTTGATACAGATGATCCTAAAAGACAACCCATAAAGAGCAGAACCTGCGGTCAAAGGACATCTAATCCAATCATAACTGTAGGGTCCCAATATTTGTTGAAAGACAACCAACATCGAGGTGAAAAGAAAAGACACAGTAGTGCAAGAGACAAACAACTTTAACGTTGCTGAATGAGTCCTGTTAGGATAACCTTGAGTCACGACCAACCGCCTTTCTGCCAAAAGCTTGTCCTACCTAGAGTCTCAGCTACAACTCTTCTGGCTGGTTGATTGTACTGGCTTCTAATTAGGGTGATGCTTTTTTCAGATATGTGCTTATTGTTGTCTTCTTTATTTCAAGTATTTCAGGGTGCACAAGCTGTTGGAATGGGAAAGGAGGCTCAAAGTGTGTCAGCTGCTGCTGATTTGTACAAAAAAGCCAATGATATATTGGGGTGAGAATTTTAAAATTTTATTATTTTTTTAGAAACTTCAATTGCAAAACTCAACTTTAGAAATTTGGCCTGGAATCTAATATTCTCTTGGCTCATATTCCTTGAGTATTTGTTGGATGCAGGTATGATCTTATAGAACTCTGCACCAGTGGTCCAAAAGAGAAGCTGGATTCGACTGTTATAAGCCAGGTGCTTCCACTTTCTGCTTTGCAATGTTTACTACTTTACGTTGGGGATTGTCTTGGGAATAATCTACAGTAACTAATCCCATAAGGAGACAAGCTCACCTGATGCAGCATGTATGGTTGTGAAGGGACTGTACTTTGGTGAAAGATATCAACATTTTCTTTTAAATTAGCAGGCCTATGTGATTGATTTACTACTTCTCCAATTGGCTTGATCACTTAATCTTATTTTTGAAATCACGATAAACACTATGTCGCTGATTTAGACTGTCTCCATTTTTCTTTTAACTGCTGTTTTAATATCCCATTATCATTTGTCTTATGGCAGCACTTTTTTCAACCCTTTTCTAAATAGCTGCATTAATTTCTGGTGATATCGATGCTTAACCATCATGCATGCAGTGGTGTAATTGCATGAGATTTTTAAATGATGATTAATAGTGAGCATCTGATCCTGTCAATGCAGCCTGCTATTTATGTCACAAGTCTAGCTGCAGTTGAGATGCTCCGAGCTCGGGATGGAGGCCAGCAGATAATTGACTCTGTTGATGTTACATGTGGTCTCAGCTTGGGAGAATATACTGCTCTAGCATTTGCAGGAGCCTTCAGGTGAGCATTTATCTCAACAAAACAACTGTTGTATTTGCAAACGGAAGCTATGACATCTAACATTCACTCTAACTGAATTGAAGAAAACTTGTGTTGATGTGTCTGCACAAATTAATTTATGAGCTCACCACCTCCTCACTTGTGTTCATATTTTCATTCATCCTGCATTAAGCCAAGCACATTTACCAAGAAAATTTCATCTATACAATGTTTCTGATAAAATTCTGTTGTGTGGTACATTTGGATGACCTCTGCGCAACAGTTGACCTGACTTGCAAATTAGAACAATCCAGTTATATTCAAATCTGATTGATGACTACCTCAATTGAGCGATCTCCGCCCTACAGTTGACGTGACTTGCAAATTTGAACAATCCAGTTATTTTCAAATCTGATTGATGAGTACCTCATTTGAGTGAGCTGTGCAACGTTGATGACATGCAAATTAGAACAATCTAGTAATATTAAAATCTGGTTGATGACTGTCACTGGTGGTTGATTATCTGGTCGTGGCTTATGCTGTGTTCCATGTATCAGATTTGGGCAGATAGAGCATCATATTTATGTTTTAATTCGTGCACCATTTTCTGTTTGCAGAATAAAAGTTTTAATCTCCGACAAACAGTATATGCCTATATGATTCCTTTTTTTTTTTTTTTTATGTATTCATGTCATGTTTCTCTGGATTCTATCTTATCATAGCTTCGAAGATGGACTGAAACTGGTCAAACTAAGGGGCGAAGCTATGCAGGTAATCATAGCTGCCCAAGAGATGGCTTTACTGTATGTACCTCATATTGAGTGTTTCATGACATGTTTTAGTTATAACATTTTCTACAAAACTGCTCACAGGAAGCTGCTGATGCTGCTAAAAGTGCGATGGTCAGTGTTATAGGATTGGACTCTGATAAAGTTCAACAGTTGTGTGATGCAGCCAATCAAGAGGTTGATGTAGCTGATAAAGTTCAGATTGCAAATTACCTATGTCCTGTAAGGTTCCTTCAATTCAGATTCTTTTAGTATCACTGCCATACTTGATGTATTTATTAACTTAATATACTAACTTTGGTACCTAATGCATTTTGGTAGGGTAATTATGCTGTATCTGGAGGCGTGAAGGGAGTAGAAGCGGTAGAAGCTAAAGCGAAATCTTTCAAAGCTCGAATGACTGTAATTTTGTTTCCTTGTTATATTAATTTTTTTTTGTTTTTTTTTTTATTCTAGGACCATTTTTTCACTGTTAATAGCCATGATGCCGACTTTTATCAGGTGCGTTTAGCGGTCGCTGGTGCTTTCCATACAAGTTTCATGGAACCAGCTGTCTCAAGATTGGAAGCTGCATTGGCTGCCACTGAAATCAGACAGCCAAGAATACCAGTTATATCTAATGTTGATGCACAACCACATGCAGATCCTGCCACAATTAAGAAAATTTTGGCTCGCCAAGTAAGCTACGTGCAACTTGCTTCTCCATGATAAAGCAGAGGAAACGATAATTTGATCCCACCCATAAATTCAAACTTGCAGGTGACTTCTCCTGTTCAATGGGAAACAACAGTGAAGACTCTCCTAACCAAAGGACTGAAGAAGAGTTATGAATTAGGACCTGGAAAGGTAGAAATTTTCCCTTCCATCATAAATTACAGAACCAGAGCCATGTAGCGGTATCTCATTCTAATCTACACTCATGAAACTTCCTATCTTACTGAGTTTATTGAAACCATTTTATCAGGTTATTGCTGGCATTGTCAAGAGAATGGACAAGAAAGCTGAAATAGAGAATATAGGTGCATGAGAAGGTAGCCGGAGGTGTGCCTCGAGTGGTTCCTGATCAACAAATAATCACAGCTGGAGCACATGCACAGGGCCTTCATTCCAGTGAATGGCAGTTAAAAATTTCTTGGAGTGAATGGCAGTTAGAAATTTCTTGGAACATGATTTGCAACTTCAGTTTTGATTAGAGATTAATTTGTATCGATGTGTATTAGAAACTATATATTCAGATCGTCTACTGCATCAAATAATTATAATGTATGAATTTGCTTTGTTAGAGTAGTGTTAAAAAAACAGTTTAAATGAAAGAAAGGTTTTAAGTCAAGGTGACCCATCGTCACCTTGGTGCTCTATGATCTGTATGGAGAGGTTCTATCTAGCCTGCTTAATAATGTTGCTGCTCAAGGCTTTTTTCCCTACCACCCTAAATGAAGGAAAATTTTTTGTCTACCCTTTTGTTTTACGGATGATTTGATGGTTTTTACTAATGCGAGTTGTGAAGCCTGTGAAATTTTCCAGTAAGATATGTCACTGTTCCTGTGATTACAAAGAAGCTCAGCTATGATGATTGTAAACCCTTTTATCGATAAAATTCCTGTTCGAATTCAGCATTGGGCATCAAACGTCTCTGTTTTGGTTGAAGGTTCAGTTGGTTTCCTCCGTGACATTTAGTATGCGAAGCTATTGGTTTCCATTTTAGTTCTCTCATCCAAAGTCATCAAAGAGGTTGAGCAGAGATGTTATGCAATTTCTATGGAAGGGGGAAGCTGTTCTGCTGGAGGGGCAAAAGTCTCATGGAAAAGTGTTTCTCTTCTTAAGCAGAAGGTTGATTGGGTCTTAAGAAGTGTGAAGAGTGGAATTTTGTTTTCCTGGTAAGAAACCTTAGGTGTTCGATTCTCAAATCTGGGTCCCTTTGTTTAGCTTATTTGCCGAAAGGAGAAGTTTATGGAGATTGGAAATGCCTTGCGATTGGTCTGCTTTTCATACTGTCAGTAATGGCGATAATTCTTAATCTTCGGTGGGATAATTGACTCCCATGGCCCCTTTGCAAAACCGTATGGCACCAGCATAACTTCTGATGCTGTGGTTTATGCAGTCGTTTTTTTCATGGAAATTGGCTTTGGCCTCGTGCCAGATCAGATGTCAGGGGTGAATATTCAATGTGTTTTTGTGGTGTTATCTATGAAATCTTTATGGGATAGCATCAGGGAGAAGCAAGCAATAGTAGACCGGTATCAGTTAGTAAGGGATAGTTTGCACATAGCATAGCTCCATTGCTTGGCTAGCCATTCTTAATAGGTTCACCATCAAAACAGGCAGATTCGAAGGGGAACGTCCGGATGGAGTATTCCAAATGTCCTGTTTTTCTCTTGTGCTGCCGTCAAAGAGGTATGAACCATGGAGGAATATTTTACATACCCGTTGGAAAATGGGTTATTGAACTGCACTTCGCAAAGAGAAGTATGCAGAAAGGAAGTTTTGCTGCTATTGCCCTAAGGTTGGCTGGGTGCTTCTATATTTATGTAATTTGGTAGGCGAGAAGCGGGAGAATCCATGACAGGGTGATCATTCAATCAGTTCCTTACATTCTTGCTGGTTCAAGAATTCCGTTAAAGGCTTAAGAGTAGTGAATTTCTAGAATACTTTGCAAAAATGGAATTCCCTAACTTCTTTTTAGTTTTACTTGCAAATGCTTTTCATATGTTATCACTTTCCTGCATTGCATCGTAACGGGCATTCTCATTCAGTTCATTTTTTATTAATGAAATCCTATTCGTTCATAAAAAGAAAATGAAGAGTACTAAAAACACAGTTGACTCATGGGTAAATTTTGTATCATTCCTGCATACCTTTGTAACTATAAATTTTGCATCGTTCGAATAATGTTCATAGCAAAAGCACGCACAAAAAAATTCAAATGCTTAACATCTCGAAACCTGGTCCAGAGGACCAAGAAACAATAAAGAAGAATTCAAAAAGCACATAAAGCGAAATCCCAAATCTCTTAGTAACTCTTATACGTCTAATTTTGAACGGAAGCTTGATTCCCGGGTGGTTGCCTCAATCTCCTAAGTTGATCAATCCACTGTTCTTCACTAACCTGACCCACCCAATCAGGAACAAAACCACCAAACGACACACCACGCATCGCTTCCATAACACGTGTCGCATTCTCCGGCGTCAACGGCGTATTCCTTCTACTGTCGTCCTCTCTAAACGCCCTCGAGATCGCCGTATTAGATGCCTCTACTGCTCTCTCTGCTTCTAATTCCTCTTCATCTTCATCATCGCTGCTGCTGCTGCTCTTTCTCTCTGCATCGTCGTTTAGATTAAGAGTCGAGATTCCATCCTCTGCTTCGCGCGTACAGTGGCCATTGTCAAGGTGGGGGGAATCAGAAAAGTGGGAATTGTTGTGGTGTTCTTCATCTGAATTTGATTGATCGGATCGGTAGTACTCGTCGTGATCATCGAAATCAACAGATAAGATTGGCTGGTAGTATTCGGGTGTGTCGTCGGGATTCGTTTCAGTATCGCTTTCATTATTGTTTTCTACAAAACAGATAAGAGATTGAAAGATGAGGCGAAAAGAAAAGGAAAGAAGAGAAAAGCAAATTATATAAAGAATATAAAACAAAAATAAGGAAAGAAAGAGGAAGGAATGTGATTGATTTACCTGGAAGGAGATCGGGTGGGGAAACGGGCGTGGCGTTCATTGTTGGAGATGGAGAAAGAAAGTCCAGAAATGCAAAGCAAAGATGGATTGGATTTATTTAAATTTATTATGAATATAAAATGCCCTAATCCTCTACTCTATTATGTCAAAAAAAGAACAAGGAAAAATAAAATTGCACAACCGAAATTGATACGAAAAATGAGAATATAAGAGGCGCCAAAAAACACATAAAAAAAAAACTTGCACCAGCCGGGAATCGAACCCGGGTCTGTACCGTGGCAGGGTACTATTCTACCACTAGACCACTGGTGCTGCTCGTTAAGTGCGTCGGAGATAAAACTAAATAATAAATATATCCGTTTCTAGTCCTTGGAGGAGAGCGCTCTGTTTAACTAGAACCACACACATTTGATTAATGAGCTCGCTCTGCAAAAAGTGCAAAAAGGTGTAGTTACTTCTGAGAGAGAGTTGAAGCGGGAAATGGCGAGGGTTCCCATTTTCAGGGCTTCGATTTCTCGGTCTCTCCCAATATTTCTTCCTAATCTATCATCATCAAATCGAAATTCTATTCTCAAGAAAAATAAGTTACTGTGTTATGCAGCTTCATCAGAAACCAAAACGATTCGGTAAGCTGTTTTTCTCAGTTTTTTATTTTCCCTGCTGAACTTCTTTTCAGTAATTATATAAAATTTGACAATGAAAACGCAACAGTTCTGGTCAGTTAAAACTTCGTGTTACATAAAAGCAGTCTGGCCTGGAAGTTAAAATTCTGGTTTATTTCTGCAGTTTATTTAAATTAAAAGAAAAGGCTTATAATTACCATCAGGTTGTTAATGATTTTAGTCGTAGTTGTTCATTTCTGTGATATTGGTGTTGGAATTCCCCTTTCTTATGTTGGTTTTGCTGCCAAGAATATGTTTTTCTTATAATCTAGGATCATATATGAAGAACTTATGTAGTTATTCATCACAAAAAGAAGAAGAAGAAGAAGAAGAAGTTATTTGCTGATGTTATTATGAGAAATTATATATGGTATTGGTGGATTTATTTAGAAAAAAAACAAGTTCACATTGATGAAGGATTCGGTACTATGTAAAAGCAAGCCTTGAAATCTACTTTTAATGGGACAAATTTGTTGATTTTTTAATTCTTTTTTCATACTGTTTATAGGTCAGAGGTGTCCTTTTGCATCGGAACTTACCTCATTCCACACCCTAAAAAGGTAAGTCAATTGCTAAGCAAACACCTTTCCATCTTTAATGTTTTTCGTTGGATTTTACTACCGTTCATTTGAAATTTGAAACCTTGGTCTTTTGATAGGTTGAGAGAGGTGGGGAAGATGCTTTCTTTGTTAGCGACTACAATGGGGGAGTTATTGCAGTTGCTGATGGTGTCTCTGGGTATGAAACCTTACATCAGTATATCATTCATTTTTTATCTTGCATTTTTGGAAGCGTGTGACTGATTTTGGATTGCATCACTTTGACAATCATAAAATAGATGGCTTACATAATTTATTTTTAAGCTATGATCCAAATACTTGCAAACATTTTGGTTCTACTTTCAAGAAACTGAGATTTTTTTTTTCGTTTGACATGTGAGCCAATAAATATGTGTGCAATTTGTATGAAAAGTGTTGTGACACGAGATATTCCTTGTTGAAATTTATGAATTATAACTGTTTTCATGCTATTTAAATGCTTTTCAGTTGGGCTGAACAGAATATCGATCCTTCATTATTCCCACAGGAATTGATGGCCAATGCTTCATGTCTCGTGGGGGATGAGGAGGTAGTGCCATAGTAGTATCTGGGAAAGACTATATATTTTCATTGTTATGTTCTGTTTAGTTATTTTTTCTTCAAACAATCTCTTAAAGGACTGTATGTCACTGTACTTGCCGATTGAATGTTTTGGTTGTTTACTTATTGTTGTCAGCTAATACATCTAGTGATTTTTACAAATTTGGCAGGTTAACTACGATCCCCGGATTCTCATAAGGAAAGCACATGCTGCCACTTCCTCTGTTGGTTCGGCTACTGTGTAAGTTGATCCACTCCATAGTTCCCAAGAGCATCATCCTTAAACCATATGTTTAGGGACGTCTTGGTATCATCATTAAGCTCCACTTCCCTCTTGGTTGAGTAGAATTGTTGCCATGTTGGAGAGAAATGGAATACTAAAGATTGCTAATGTTGGGGATTGTGGACTGAGGGCTATCCGGGAAGGTATTGTGGCCTGCTTTTTCTTTGTTCTAGTTTGCTGTTCTTTTTTGACCATTTTTTCCTAAAGTTAAGGTAACTTTGGTATTTTATTCAACTTTCAGGCCGGGTATATTTTTCCGCATCTCCACAAGAACATTATTTTGATTGTCCCTACCAGTTGAGCTCAGAAATTGTCGGCCAAACATACCTTGATGCAGCGGTATGACGATTTTTATATCTCACATCTCAATATAAGACCACAGGATTTTTTATTTCAATAGTTACTGCCTACTTTCAGCTGAGTATTTTATGCTGATAGTACAATGAACTTCTCCCTCATGTCAGAAATGGTAATGAATTCTAAGTTCTCATGATCCAATGAGCTATTGATCTTGAGCCTAATTTAAATGCTTACTAGCCTTAAAGTTAAATCCTATCCCGAGCAAAATGATTATGCACAAAAATTATGTCTATTAGTTCGCGAAAAGAATTCATGCACCATCACTACCTCTTCACTGCTGCTTATCATCTGAATTGGTTGTATGATTTCTATAAAAAGGTTGGCAGAGTGGAAGTAATGGAAGGAGACACCATAGTGATGGGCTCAGATGGGCTTTTTGACAATGTTTTTGATCATGAGATTGTTTCGACAATTGCTAGACATAGTGATGTTGCTGAGGCTGGTATGTCTTCAAAGTTCAAAAGAATTTGAATTTGGTAATCAACTGCATAATTTTCTAACTGAGATTTGATTTCAATGCTAGCAAAGGCATTAGCTAACCTAGCAAGCATCCATTCAATGGATTCAGAATTTGAATCCCCCTATTCATTGGAAGCCAGATCAAAGGTAACATTAGTTGGGATGATAATTTTACTGCTAAATATTAAATCATCTTTTCAAGGAGTATGACTGACTGACATGTTTCTTTCTTTGTGAACGCTCATAATAGGGCTTTGATGTTCCTTTCTGGAAGAAAGTTCTTGGCATGAAGCTCACTGGTAAAACTTCTTATATTTACTGATACAAAGATGAGGTCCTTTTCCTCAACACCACAAGTGACCAAGTTCTTTGTTTGGCAGGTGGAAAACTTGATGATATCACTGTGGTTGTTGGTCAGGTTGTGAGCTCACAACATATTTCCCTCTTGGCTGAGGATCAGAGAGGTGAAACTCATATAGAACAAGAAAAAAACCTCGAAGCATAGTTATGATGAAATTCTTTTTATTCTTGGCTTCTTGATTGCCTTGTAAAGTTCGAGGATGTTGTAATGACTGCCAAGGAAGTGAAACTGTCCACATTTGATTGTAAATTTTGAATGACGTCAACATGATAGCGAAAAAGATCAGCCCTCCTCTACTCTAACCCTTTTTTCCTTTTCTCCTATCATGTACTTGGCAACTTGGCAGACCCTGTCCTACCTTTCAACAATTAGGGCTACGAGAGTATACCACTGGAATGTGACAAAAAGGCAATCGCTTCTCTTGTTGTCATCTGGTTGACGCCACAAGACGGAGTTTTTTACCATAAAAAAGGCCGTGGCAGGTACTCCCGTATGCTGTAGGGGCGCTAATGCCACAGTTCACCGATTATTAGGAGGTAAATCGATACAGATTTAGAAGGCCAAACAAGTATGCGTCCATATTTTGAAATTAAGCAAATCCAAATAAAAATGATAAGGACTCTTGGTTAAAAATAAACCGTCTCCAGTTACTGTCATTGAAATAAACGTAGATGGAGGAAGGTTTTACCCAGATACGAATCCTTGTGGATTCAATACTGCCATCTGTTCCTGGCATAACCAGCATAGCAGCATAATTATGTGAACCTATGATATCTGATAACATTTCTTAATATTCGCCAGGTGCCACAAAAGGGAAATTCTCAAAAATAAAACTGTCTCAACAAATATGCTCCAAAGTCATCAATGGAATCACCATAATCAGAAAACTAAATGAAAATCCATAGCTGCAAAAGAAGCTATAACACTGGCAAGTGACTCTTGAATATCCTGATTACAGATCAAAATTTTGTTGCAATAAAAGAATCTCGCATCATTATGAAACTGAAAATTTTAAGGAAAAAAGCAGGGACAAGAAGATTTATTAAATGACCAGCTAAGTATACAACAGTAATTCTATCTGACCATTCAATTTGACTCGTAATACCAATTAAATAGACAGCAAAAAGGCCTGAAAAATGGTACATGCGCTTGCTTGTGATCCCTCGTGTGAAGCTAGCGTCCCATTTACTTGCACACATCATTGTGATGAAACTGCAGAATAATGAATGCTCTTTCACTCCTTGGTTATTCAAGTGTCATTGTCACTGTTACTATTACTATTGATTTCCTGGAAGAACGATTTTGAGGCTTCGTATGCAGACCAAGAGATTGCAGCAGCTGGTGCATGGAAGAGCATCCTTGGGATCCAACCTCTCATGATGCCTCTGTAACCATCCTTTTTAACTATTGCTTTAATCACATCTCCAATTGAACCACTTTTAAATCTGTCACACCCACAAACTCCCTGCACATCCAATCAGTATTTAGCGTTATCAAAATTATGGAGAGAAATTTAACACCTGTAATAGATCGTCCACAAATTAAGACATCCTGTAGTCTTTATGTGACAATGACAACTTGAGGAAGAACCATGCAAGGGTGAGTACCATAGGACCAGACACCATAGGTTACATGATACATCTAGTAGCCTTAGTAGATTCTTACAAACTATGCTTTTTTATTCAGCATTTCATTTTCATTCTTTGGTGTTGGGGGGAGCTTTGGGTTGTGTGTGTGTGTGGATAATGTAAAACAAAATGGAGTGAACCAATAAAATTCTTAAAGAGCATCAACACAAAGTTATCATCTACGAGAACAAGGATCACTGACTAGACATCACATAACATATAACAGAAAGACATGGTAAATTGACAAGTGTCCAAATTAGTTCAGTTGTAGAATTACGCGGTACTTGCATAAGTGGGTGATTACTGCTGGCTAGACGAGATGGTCAGGTCATAATATTTGTGAGGCTAGTCAATTGCAGAGAATGGCTGGTGTTTGGTTGGAGAATATCCTAAATTTACAAATACAACATGTGCCCAGAGTTCGGTGCTCCATAGATCGATGTCCCCGTAATCTATTGACTTTCCAACGATGTTTGTTTACATCATTAACGGAAGAGGCATAACAAGGTCCTTAACAAACAAACACACATGCAGAGGCGTGATATCAACAACACAGAGAATACCATTTTAACATTTGGCATTCAATTCTTGTCAAATTTATTTCTGTGTGAGACCAATAAGAAATAGTCATCAGTGAAAGATTAAACCAAACCCATAAAGGTCTAAAAAATGTAAAGATGGTTTGCTTCCTTTACAGCCATAATACCAGTAGAGCACCTAATCTTCAGGTTTTGTGACTGCTAAAAATTCATATTGGGTTCGACCAGAAATGAGTACTGTCGTTATGGCATGTCAGAACTTTAGATGACATTGGTCAGACTGGTTGATGCAGACATTAGATATGAAGCCGAAAGAGTGCTATTATTGATTCATTATGTACTTGGTAAATCATTCTTTTAAATCTTCCTAAATGAGGCATTTAGCCAGGGAATTCTCCAAATGGCAATTCAGTTTACTTAACAAGAACAATATCTCATTTTAAGCCTATCCACAAAAATCAGAGGCCATTTAGAGGTCTACCTAACATTAGCTTAGCTTGGTCACTCGAAATCAGCCCGTTAGGGATCATTAAAACCTATTGAACTGAAAATTTGATTTCAATTACAGTACACATTTTAAAAAGGTATGCATTCTCTTTCTCTATTAGCCTAATACTTTCTTCAAATTGCGAATTAGTTCACTGTGAATAAAAACAGAGCAAGAAGGACAATACCTGACACTGCAATTGAGTTTTAACAACATCAAGTGGTGTGGTAACCGCAGCCGCCAATGCTCCAGCAGCAGCACCAGCAGTAGCATGAACAACCCAACTCTCATCATTCGCACTATCTGGCGAAATCTCCATCAAACCTTTCTTCGCAGCCTCGTAAGTAGCAAAATAAACCGCAGTAAATGGCGCATTCATCAAAACAGTAGTCCTATACGAAGCATACAACGCACCAAACCCCTCTTCTCTCACTACCCTCTTAACACAATCCCAAACACCCTTATAAACACTATCACTCCCCAGTTGCAATCTTTGTTTTACCACATCCATTGGTGTAAAAACCGCATCGCTAGCGACTGTTGCACAAACACCAGAAACCGCGTGCGCAATTGAACTATTTGGGTTATCTCGCGACAAATGTTTCTTGCATACTTCATAAATTGAAAAATGGACTGCATGAGCGGGACCAGCGCCGAGAGCCATGGCCGCAATGCCACGGTAAAGGGCAGCAGGGCCCTCGGATTTGAGAAGGGAATTGAGAACATGAGTTACGCTTACGGATTTAATAGGACAAGACCCGACTGCTTGCATATGGGTCTTGACTGTGTCAACAGGGAACATGGCCATGTGTTCTGCTAGGCCGGCTATTGAACCGGAAACCATGTATTGCCAAAAATGGAGTCCGTCGTAAGAGGTAGCGGAGGATATTTTCTCCGGGTGGAAATCGGGGCGGAAATCGGTGGGGTTTTGGAATTTGGTGGTGGTGGCATCAGTAGCCATGGTGGAGAATTCTTTTGGGTTTTATTGAGTAAATTGGTGATGGGAAATTTTGGGAGATTTGTGTCGTTACTATTTTGAGATAGATTTTGGTGTTGGGTGATTAGGGTTACTGCCATACACAATTACATGAGTTGGTACGGTAGAGCGTACAATTGGAGGTTCGCAGAAAGAGAGATGATGAAGATGACAAAGTTAGTCCTTTATGGTTTTGGATGTTTGACAATCGCACTAGTTACAAGTTAGGGTTTCCAAGATTTTTGGCCTTTCTATTGTTTCGGTTTTCAAGACTGAACCAAGGGATGTGTCATGTAATAACGTGTTTGGTAACCGGTAAGTTCAAGGGTTCAGGAGTCAAAGTAATGAATTTTAATACAAGTTAGTCATTATATTCTTAACGAATTTTAATTTAGGCCTCTAAACAATTCGGTTTGGTAATTAGATACAAATCTTACGAATAATACGAAAAAAAAAAACACCCACATTACAAGATTTACCATACAAACACACAAACTTGGAAGATTACTAACTAGAAGATGCACAATTTGTAGAAAATCTCCACCAATGAGTTTAATAGGATTATTTCATTTTTCTATGATTAGTTATGCTACTTATCATGATTTTTCATCATCCTCTTACTTCCTTTTTTGGGATATGATTATGAAACTCAAACCATTAAATTCAGAAACAACGTATCTGTATGTTAGAAATGGTAAGAAATTAAATGCTAATATATATATATATATATATATATATATATCATATATATATATTTTCCCCTCTCTTTATCATCAAATTCAAAATGCACAAGAACATAATCACGAGTAAAAGGCCAAAAAAAAAAAAAAAAAACACTCATCAACAAGACTTGCTATCAAAGCAAGCATTCATAAGGCAAACTCCGATTAGGTGGTAGATAGATTGGTTTCCAAAACATTAAATCCCAGTGTTCTAAAGGCTATGGATGCAAACATCTAGAAAACAAACTCTAATTATGGGATGCTGATCTAAGTCTCTGTTTAGCTTGGCAACATGTTTTCAAGAATGTCGTCTTGCCAGAAGGTAATATGTTGATTAGTTACCTAAACAGAGTTTATCTACACCAGTTGCGGTTCATTATTTTGATTTCTCTTCTATAAGAATTTCTAGTCTATTGTATCAATACGTTATTGGGGTTGCTATTTCCCGTCAAATTTATTTGTAATTCTTGTTTTTTTTTTTCGACTTTTGTGGCCCTTTTTAATACCAAAAAACTAAAAACTAAATTCTTGCTAATTGTATGACATCCATCCCGTAAGAAAGTTTTTTAGATCAGAGTTGATAAGATCGTTTATTCTATATAGAGAAGATGAATAGTATTCAAAGATGACAATAGAAGTTCATGGAGGCAGAGTATACAGCCCCCAACTCTGCCATGGAGGACTTTTTAACCTCCATATCCACCTTCATTTATATCAAAAGTAATTTTCAATCCTCTATGCCTGTTTTCATTGGCGGTTCATATAATTTTTTTTCATGATCAATTTTCATTAAATAGAGTGTATAAACCATGAAAAAGTAAAATATTTTATATTTAACAAGCAAATTTAATCAAAGTAATTTTTTTAAAAAAAACTGCATATATATATATATATATATCGGGTATTTTTTATCCGTTTCCACCTTTAACTTCACGAAAACAAAAGTCCCTCCAGCCTTGTCTCTATTCGAGTAAAGATTTTACAGCAAAAAAGTGCTTTTGTTCCATTACAATTTAGTAATTTCAAATATTTATTATAATTTAAACTTCAAAATATCGATTTTTTTCATAAGCTTTATCTAAATCTGTTATTTTTTCATTTTTAATTAAAAAAATGTTTAAAAAATTTTCCTTTATTTTTCACAAGAGATTTTTTTCCCATCCATTTATCTATAAATGAATTTATTAAATTTATCACTAATTTTTTTCTTGGTTCTCCCCGAAAAAAAGCTTTCGTTTTTTGAACCTATCTTTTAAAACTAAAAATAAAATAAAATTAGAAAACTTAAAAAAAAAATAGTTTTCTAACTCTAACGATTTTAAATGCATATTATATATTTGAATCAACTCGTGAGAAAAATATCCTATGAATAAATTTATTGGCATGACAAAAAAAAGTTTAAGTTAAAATTAATTATTTGATCATTTCAATTCACCAAATTCAACGGATACTTGTATTTTATTGATTGTAGGAGTTGATTGTTTTAATGGATAATGATACAACATAAAAGTTATTTTTAAAAATTAAAAAAAAACATATATACAAATAACAATTTGATTGACTATGAAAAATCAAAAGGATTAATATGTGAAAATTTTAAATAGAAAGAATTTCTCTTGAAAAATGAAGGAAAAACATTTTTAACATTAAAAAAATTAACAATGAAAAAAAAGTAGATAAAAATTAATGGTCAATTAAGTTGATCGTTAAAATTAATTGATTTAGATTTAAAAAAATTTAAAAACGAATATTTTGAGATTCAAATTATGTAAATTAATAATAAAAATCTGAAATTATCAAATTATAATAGAACAGAGGTAATTTTTATCATTAAACCTTCAAGTAAATGAAAATGGATAAAATTGTCATCCTCAATATAAGAGATATTATAAATTTTTAACTAAAATTTTATTAGATTATGTAATAGCTTATTAGTGAATTAAGATGCTGTGTAAACTTTTAGATTGTTTTCTGACTAAGAAAAAGATATCCTGTTATAAAAATGGAAACACGTATCCTATTCATTTCATAAAGATCACCAACGTGAAAACAACACATCATTTACTTAGTAAAAGCCTCTAAGTATCTCTTCAATAAGTAAATTAATTGGTAAAAAAAAGTCTTAATATCTCTATCTAGCATTCACTTTCTTGTTTTTTTAGCTTAGCCATCAAAAGTTGTCCAGGCAGAATTTTGGTTGGCCAGCAATGTTGTAGTTAAGTAGTACGTTTTACTTTCTTTTGGTTTAACAACTATAAATGTGAAATATACAATATACTCCATTTCTTTTCAATTGTAAAGATAAAATAAGTATTAGAGTATTCTTCATCGTAGTTTTAAATAAGAATCATTACATAATATAACAATTATTATATAACGGTAACGAATGTCTCATTATCATAATTCGACATTATAGATCTTTCAAAATTGTTTCACAAGTATAATAAAAAATAACGATGTTATCATTATATAACGACGTTATTTGTCACTCGTATAACGAGTTTATACATAAAAAAGAAAAAAAAGTCCGCAATAACTATTATTCGAGTCTATGTACTTTTTTATTTTTTTCTCCTCATCATATGTATGCCTATACATGCAAATTTAGATGATTTCAAGGTAGCACAATAGCAGTTTGCTGCAAACTATCCGTTTTGAAAGTTCAGAGATCGACTACTAACCGAGTTGGAATATGGAAAGATAAATAATTTTTTCAGTATATATAACTCGCCTTCCTAGAGGGTTATGTAATTAGTTTTAACAATAACAAGCGGATGCACAATCATTTACGTAACTTGACCATAAAGCTTTATTTAATTTTATCAAAGATTACACCTTGTTCGATATGGGAACGGAGACGGTATCGCATTGATGGATGCGAGAGGCTTGAGCTTGGAAGCTTTGAGCCATTCCAATTCGTGTTACTTTGTGAGGTCTTTGTGGTAGACGCCATTTTCTCACATATGGTCAACCATCCGGTTCTCAATACAATTAGTTGTGATCTAGATTTATTTTCTCGAGTTCCTTTGTTATTCAAATCCCTTAGCTCATTTCCTTTGAAGATTTGCCATCACCGGAAAGGTGGCCGGGGAGAAATATTTAGAAATATTGATGTGTTTGGAAGCAATTCAATACAATTGGAGTTTTAGAAAATAGACACTATTAAAAATGATTTGTGTTGACAATTCTTTGATATTATGATTTAAATATTAGTATATAAGATTTTTTATTTAAATGTATACACTATTAATGTATTTATGATATCAAATGTCGTGATCATTATTTTATTATTGCGATAAACCACGATTTACAATCATGATCATAATTATTTTTTTAATTGCGATTACTATTTAAAATTATGTTCAAGATTATTTAGTTTCTATCACGTTCAAAGGGAACATGACTAGTCATTCATGTCCAATTGTGATATTTCTAGTATTTTCCCCTAGTATGGAAAATATATTATAACTTCAGGGATTAATTTGTACTTTAAACTCATTTCAAGTAATTTGTGCTACGGTTTCAACAACCTTGCATTTGTTTTTTTAATTGAAATATATTGAAAGCGCAGGGACCGATTTGTACCATTCTCTCCATTCTTTTTGTATGAGAACACGCGTTAGAAGTCTTCAGGGCTCATACGCTCGAATTTGTTCGTTGGGCTGCATGCCAACTCATGGTCGAGCATTCGTTTTTGACACATGGAAGTGATGTTTTTGTGATAAAGTCCAAAATTTTGTGTTTGATTGTTAAATTTTTGGGCCTTGATAGCTCTACTTTCTTCAATTGGAATCCTTCACTAGATATGGTTGGAAAGGAAGTCAATTTGCAAGAGAATTCTTCTTTTTCAATTTTATCAGGAACTAGAAAATAATACCCACTCAAAAGTTGTAGCCTTTCCAAAATATCGTCTACAAGGACTATAATTAAACCAGAAAGGAAAAACGCAGGAGGAATACACCTTTCGTATCATTTTGTGTTGATAGGAAAGATGCAGCCAACATAAAATGAATAAATGCTGATATTGATGCAGCTAAAAGATGAGCATGTAGATCAGGTCCCTCCCCCTTTGGCACAAATTGGCAGCATTTCAGCCTTACATGAGACAAACAAATGCAGATAACTGTCCAAAGACCACCGAACTGCCCCTAGAAATGTTGAGTCCTTGGCCTTTTCAATGTTCTTTTCTTTTGGAACAACATGCTTTTCAGTGTTCATTGCGATGAAGTCCAAAGTGAATGACTTCAAACTGATAAAATAAAATTTCTACTGCAAATTCTGGCAAGTTGAAAAGTCATTGCCTTTTGAAAGTGCTGAATGTAGATATTAATTACTAGGAGAATGGCTTTCAAGATCTTTTTGGTCCCGAACAATAAGGGGATAATAATGTTCTATCAACCAGAATGCTAACAAAATTTCATGCTCACACAGATTTTCATAATCTTCATTTCATTAGTTGTTTATGATTTTATTTAATAGACTTGTCACCAAGATGTCCAAGAACTATGGATATGCTTAAATAGGACTTGGTCATGGTGATATGTTCCGGATGAATGCATTAATGTCAATTTCAGAAGTTCCACCTTCAGCAATTGCATGTTCACATACTTCTTGGAGCTCTCTTGATCTTCTCCTCATTTCTTTGACTTCAGCTCTTTCCAAATCCATAAATTTCTGCACAAGCCCTGCAATTTCCTCTCTTGTCGCCAAAGTGTTGGCTGCCATTTCTTTCTTTATTTTCCAACCAATCTTCCAATCCTCCACAATTACCTTACTATTAGTCAGTTGATCGGCAAATAGAGGAAATGTAAGAAAAGGGACACCAGCAAAAACACCTTCTTTAACAGAATTCCACCCACAATGTGTCAAAAATCCCCCTACAGAAGAATGGCACAACACTCTTAACTGGTCACACCATGGTTCTACCAACCCCATATCACCACAAGCCTGTCTCAACCGAGAAGTTTCGTGGCGTGCCACCAACAAGAATCGAACACCACTATCATGCAAGCCGGCTGCAATCTCATCCATTTGTGCACTTGAGACTGCAACATGGCTTCCCAATGACACGTAGATAACCGAACTTTCAGGTTGGCAATCTAGCCACTGTAGATAGTTGAGTTCACTGTCATTGCTACTTGATGAAGAATTGTCTCTAAGTTCCAAGGTGGGTATGGCAGGACCAATGGTATAAACTGGAATTGAAATTTCTGCTTTTAGAGCCTGTATAACTTGAGATTCAAGCTCATAAATTGACGAAAGTAAGAGGTACTGTGCTTTGGGAATCCACGAAACGAGGTCCAAGGTTCGGTGAAGCATGTATTGGTTGCTTGCAAATATGAAGGATGGGACATCCAGTAGACGAAATGGAGAAACTCCAGGGATGTAATCCGCTATTTCATTACCCTTTGCTGTACCCAAACAGAGAAATAGGCAAACAGGAAGCAAGTTATCAGCATTTTGCATTTCTGCCACATATTTTTACACATACAATCTTTGAACAAAGAAGAATTTATGTATAGGCATTATGAGTGCCCGGTATCAATTTTTGAACATTCAGTTTTGATTTAAACCATTGTCAATTCTGTTGTACAAAAGGACTGGGGAAATAGAATACCATCACAAGTAGAATTATTGGTATCGTTTGCGACTGATGTAATTCACTGATTTAGACGCAGATTACAATAAATTTCACATGCTAAAACAGCACATGTATTGTCCCAACATAAATTATCTACCTTAAAATAATTCAGATGCTAAGATAAGATAATTATAAATCCATTTACTATGACTAGTCAATTAGGATTTACGAAAATTTTGCTAACACATATGCAGTAGAATAATTCTCGCAGAAAATTTTTGTCCTTAAAAGTGGAAAGAAAGTAAGAAATTGACCTTACCTGACAAGTCGACGGGGAGATGTCCATGTTGTGCTAGAAGATCAAGATGATAAAAGACAGAAAATACTGTCGAGGACATGGGAAAAAATGCAGCCACCGGAATATTCCTTCGATTCCCAACACCAATCGCCCAAAACAGCAAAGGATCGGTCATTATAAGAGTAGGCCCCAAAGGCTGATCAAACCCATCAAGAAGCTCCTCAAACGGAGCCTCCATCTTAGTCAAGACAGCTTCAACGAACCCAATTGGATCAGCATTACGGACCAGCTCTGATGGTATAACGTTAGGTATAGAGCCAAATTGGAGGTTACTGGGCCTGATGTTAGTGTTCGAACTGAGGAGGCTACGCCATTCTTCAGTGACTACAAAGGTTATTAGAGTATCTGGTTTTCTTGAAGCAAGTATGTTGCAGAAGTTCATCAAGGGGTTTACGTGGCCTCGACCAGGATAAGATAAGGCCACTACGTGGCAACTGTAGGTTGATTTAACAGTACCGGCATCCATTTCTGGAACTTGGCGAGGATCCTTAGCTGTAAGTTTAAAGCTTGTCGTAGAAATGGGAAAGCTATTTTGAAAGCTTAGATGACGACAATGCCCCCTCTTATGAAATGGTGGACATTGGGGTATTTCCAATGTCATTGAGTCTGAGTCATCCAAAGAATAGTCTTTGTTGCTTTCGTGGAAAAGGGTGGAATTGATGCTTTTCCATGGAGAACAGAACAAATGTAGATAATAGCCAGCCATCCAACATACGTATCATTGTACAAAGATTAATTACCAAAACTTTCTTTTGAAAAATGATCAATTCAACTGTACAGCAGTAGATTATGGAAAGAGAACACTGTTAAAGAAGAATATAAATAATTACTGTTTCCGATGGAGACTGGATGTGTACGGATAAGCAGAGTGCAAATCTTTATATCATTTTTTCAAGTTGATGGCATATAGGTTGGATACACATGTGATTGGTAACTATTCCAGATTGAAATAAGATGGACACATGACCCATTAGTCTAGGTTTTTAACCTGGGCTTTTGGGTTAAAGCAGTGTCCATTCTTGTGTGTAAGCCTTCTTGTATGCAGGCCAGGTAGAGGCTCGAAGGACTCCCCAATGCAACTTCTCCCTAACATGATATGCCCTTGATGAAGCCTTCAACGTTAGATTCTGAAGATCCTCCTCCTGCAATTGCGTGCTAACATATTTTCTGAAGGTCTTTTGCTTTTCTCCTCACTTCTTTCCCTTGCTTTTCAAATTCATGAATTCCTGCACCATCCCTGCAATTCCCCGTCTTGTAGCCAAGCTTTCTGCTCCTGATGTTTCCTGCACCTTGTAACCAATCTTCCTTCCAATCATAATTTGATCTGCAACTACCAGGAATGTAAGAAAAGGAGAACCTGCATAAATGCCTTCTTGAACAGAATTCCATCAACAATGTGATAAAAATCCTCCTATAGAAGGGTGGCATAACACGCTTAATTGGTCACAACAAGGCACTATTAACCCCAAGTTACCTCAAATCACTTTCAATTCAGAAGTTTCGCTGCATGCCACCAGGAAGAACAAGAACCGAACACCACTTCAGGAAAACCAACTGTGAATTCATCCGTTTGAGAACTGGAAACTGAAGGGAAGCTCCCTAAAGAGAAGTATAAAACAGGTTTACTAGGTTGGTTATTTAACCATCTGAAGTAGTCGATGCTGTTGTTTGCAGTACCTGAGAGAGAATGGTCTTCAAGCTTGAAATATGGTATTGCAGGTCCAATATTCTAGACAGGGAATGAAAACTTTGTCCTTAAAATGTCGGTGACTTGAGGCTCAAGCTCATAGATTGTAGGGAATAAGAGATATTGTGCATTATGCACCAATGAGAAAGCTTCAATAACTTGGTCCAGAAAGTATTGGCTCCAGGAGAAGCAGATAGCTCCTTCAAATTCATCATACACAAAATCCTGATATAGTAGTTCAATTTTAACATACACAATCCTAGTATTCATCCATGAAAAACAGTTGGCAAATATATGATCCCATTTGCTCTCATCAATTGTTTAAAACAAGATACAGTAAATCATTTTCCATTGGTTTTCTGAAAGCAGAGACAAGAATTTAGTTCCAGACAACATACATTTGCTACAGCATTATAAGCATTTTGACCATCATCTTTTTCCTAAACCAGATTTACCTTCTCACTGTGATATTACCAGAGTAAGTAAAACAACCAAAATGAAAGCATTCTACTGCTCCGAAATCATCCAAATAAAACAAATAAGTAAATAATGAAATGCCATAACTGGAACTGACCATTATAGACCAGACAGCCCCTATCTAAATTCTGACTAACATGTAACAACACAGATGCAATTTCAACCAGTTATTTTTGAATTCGGCATTGGAATCCTCAATTTATATGTTCTTCCACTGGCTTTGAAGCATATACCCAGCCATTGGTGATTGTTATGTATTTATGAAAATAATGGCAACTCCAGGCTCAAATAAATTTTGCTAGCCGCATGTTTTGCTTTGTTTAGATTATTAGCTATGCAAATGAATTTTCAGTTAACGTTTATTCCAGAAAACAAATGGCACATGCTTCAGGTGTTTATTCATGGTTGACAGTACCTAAGAACTTCACAAATGACCAACGCCTATTTCCCTGATGAAGGATTTGATGTTGGAGTCAGATGATCCATCTTTGGAGATTGCTTGTCTGGCATATCTCCTGAAATTGTTTCACTCTCTTCCTCTTCTCTCTTCCTTCATTGCTTTCCAAATCCATGAAATTCTGCAGAAGTCCCCCAATTTCCTCCCTTCTCACAAGATTTTCAACCCTATACTCTTTCTCCAATGTCCAGCTAACCTTCCAATCCTCCACTATTAACTTGTTAGTTGGGCGTTGATCTGCAGAAATTGGGTGGGTGAGGAAAGGAAAAACCTGCAATGTGTCCAAAATCCTCCTACAGATGGATGGCACAGCACCCTCAACTGGTCACACCAGGGCACTACTAATCCCTTATCACGACAAACCTCTTTCAACCTAGAAGTTTCTCCACATGCCACCCAGCATCGAACAGCACTATCATGCAAACCACCAGCAATTTCATCCTTTTGGGCACTGAAAAACGAAAGAAAGCTTCCCATGGAAATGTACAAAACAGATTTACTGGTTTGGTCATCTACGCATCTCAAGTAGTCAATGCCACCATGTGTAATTCTCGTGTAAGAACTATCTTCAAATTTTGAGAACAGAATTGCAGGACCAACAGTCTAGACACGAAACAAGAACTCGGGTTTTATAGCGTCAACGGCCTGGGGTTTGAGCTCATAGATGGAAGGGAATAAAATGTATTGTGCTTTAGGACCATCACTTGTTGAGTTTTAGTAAAGTGTCAGTCAGTCTAATCTAATGTTTTTACCATGTTGATCAAGGTCTGACTTAACAAATAGAAATAGGAGAATCTAAAACTTCAATCAACTGTTACAAAGATGATATCTAAAGTTTCTAGATTAAATCTAAGAAAATAAGTATATATCCTCATCAGGCAAGTCTTATTTAGGAATTGTTCATGTTCTCAAAGAAGACATTTGATGATACTTAGAAAATACAGCGGCTGACATGGGCCAAAATGATGCCACTGAAATATTTTTCCTATTTCCGACACGTACAGGCCAAGGTAGGAATGTATAAGCCATTATTAAAGTTAGAGGCTGCCCAAGCTGATTCAAAAGCTGCTCAAATGGAGCTTCCATCTTTGTCATGAGTATTTCAAGGAACTCATACATGATGGTGGCACGACGTAGCTCAGGTGGAATAACATTAGGAATAGTGCTGAAGCAAATTTTATCTGGCTTTGAACCAGAACTAATGAAACTTAGCCACTCTTCATTTGACAACAAAGGTAATAAGAAAGTCATCTTTACTGGAAACAAGTAACTTACAAAGATCCAACACAGGATTGATATGACGTAGAACAGGACTGGGTATCGCCACCACGTGACACAAGGTGGCTGCATTGTTGCCAATGATTCCATGTCTGATGAAGTAGAAAGGTAAACTTGATTGGCAGTACTGGTGTTTGAGCTCATCATATTCACCAAGACAAGCTTATAAAACCGGTTGTCCCTCTTAGGCAAAGTAAGTGCAGTAAACTAGAGAGATGTTAGCAATTGTTTCGTGGTAGATTTGGATTTGTTGTTTGGATGTTTTAGTCTGTCGCTAGCTCCTTTTTGTATATATTACATATTGCATGTAGTTATGCAGGAAATAACAACAAAAAATGGTTGCGCTGTAGAACTAAAAAATTATACACCAATTGTAATGCTCACACCTGAATGTTGCATTGGTTAGCTCTTTTGAGCCAAATCACACTTACTAAACTTGTTGGTTCTATAGACATTTGAGAATCATTAACTAGCAGTTGTCATGTAGTAGATTTTGTTTGTTGTGCTGCTCTGAAGCTATGTTGTCAGCTAGGAATTGTAGGTATCTTTCATTTAATAAATTCTTAGGATTTAAGCCTGTTTTTCTTCAAGATAAGCTGTAAAACTTAGAAATTGAAAATGTTGATATGGTGATGGCCACACATGAAAGCTGTCTCTGTTTTTTTCTCTTACTCCGAATGCTAAACTAATCATCTTGTTTGGTTTCCGACCAAAAAAAGAAAACTCTGTAGGTTTTCTGGACACTGGAACGAAAAGGATATATGTTTTGTACCACAAGGGCAAATAAAAAGGAAGCACATAGGTATCAAGATGATAAGTCCTGAGTATTGAATAGCTTAACTCAGCCAAGGGTTGCCTCATTGTTTTGTAGATGTTATTTTCATCGCATTCTGTGGTGTTCCAAGTGGAATAGAATAGACAATTCAGGAAACTTTCAATGCCCATGTGTATATATGCATGTATATAACAAAATCAAGGAATTAGTTACAATTTCTATTGCAAAGTACAGAGACCACATTCTCTATAACTATAAGCATACGCTGGGTATACATTATTCTCAGCTAATCTGCATATTGAAGCTGCAAGCCAATTCGGTATAACAACAATTCTGAACGTTTTCTTACAATTTCAATAGTAAAGGATTACAGTTTCAAAGTAAAATGTTTAAAACAGAAGAGGCTTTGTACAGAGAAACGGTTGAAATTGTCAGACATAATTGAATTGCTCAAAGAATACATGTAATCCAGCTGTAATAGGTGGGAATATCATTATGCTATCCTGAATTATCCATAAAGGAAGGAAAAAAAAAGTTTTCTGTGATATCCTTTAACCAAGAAGGCAAGAAAATGTAAGATCAGTGCAGAGGAGGCATGAATTTTTACACAAATCATGCAAACTAACAAACTGCCTGGCAGCACATTATACATCATTCTTTGCTTTATTCACTCTAGCAAACAGAGTTCAGCTTACTAACAGAGGAAGTAATACTATTGAAATCAGAATCTAACTTCCAGCACTCACAGTTAACAACAACTAGTGCGTAATTACCTGGTTAGTGGCAACTTGATAATGAAATATCCCTGATGAAGGAATTGATATTAGCCTCAGATGATCCATCTTTTGAAGTTGAATGTTGACATATCTCCTGAAGCTCTTTGGCTCTCCTCCGCATTTCTTCAACTTCATTGCTTTCCAAATCCATAAACTTCATCACAAGTCCAGCAATCTTCTCTCTTGTCACCAAATGGGCTAAATTTTCCACTTTAAACTCCTCCTTCACTCTCCACCCAATTTTCCAGTCCTCGACTATCAACTTACGATTGGGGAATTGATCGACAGCTATTGGGAAAGTAAGGAAAGGAACACCAGAAAAAACACCTTCACGAATGGAATTCCACCCACAGTGTGTCCAAAATCCCCCAACAGAAGGATGGCGCAACACCCTCAATTGATCACACCAGCGCACCACTAAACCCTTACCACCACACACCTCATTCAGCCTCTCGGTTTCACCACGTGCCACCCACAAGAACCGAACACCACTTTCACACAAACCAGCTGCAATTTCATCCATTTGGGCACTTGAAACTGAAAGAAAGCTTCCCAATGACACATACAAAACAGAACGACAAGGTTGGCAATCTAGCCATCTTAAGTAATTAACATCCTCATCACTGGTAAAATTGGCAGAATTGTCACCAAGATCAGAATAAGGAATTGCAGGCCCAATGGGGTAAATTGATAATGATAAATTTCGTTTCAAAGTGTCAATTACTTGGGATTCAAGCTCGTAGATGGTTGGCAATAAAAAGTATCGTCCTTTAGGCACCCATGAGAACATTTTGACTGCTTGTTTCAAAACCTCTTCCTTTGTTCCCCTATTTGGAGGTAGGTCCATTAAAGGCATTGCATCTACTCCTGGAATGTAGTCCACTCTTTCATGGCCGCTCTCTAATGAAAAAAAAGTACCCATCAATCGTAAAAAAAAAAAAGAAAAAAGAAAGAAAAAGAGAGAGTCCCAAACTCTGCCCCATTTTATAAATCTAACACCCTGTGAACTTTTTCAATTTATAGTCGCTGATGGAATAACTGTGAGGTTCGCACTACATAAGAACATGCAAGGTCTGCAGGATGGCTAGTCACTGCCGGAGTATCTGTGAGGTTCATTGTACCAGCAGAACTAATTTTCCATTACTTGAACTATTTGCGTCGATCCCCATACAGGCAATGGCCTACCTACTTTGATTTTTTTTTTTGGAAGAAATCCAATACTTGGTGGTCTATAAAAATTAAAAATTCACGTACTATCTAAATAATACTACTTGAGCCTTATTTTTTAAGACTTGTACAAAAATTTGTGATTTTACGCATGACTGTGTAGGCCATGTAATTAAATAATAATAATAATAATAAATATTAAAGAGCATGACCGAATGAGAATAAAGATCTTGATCTCACCTGGAAAGTTAACCGGGTAGTGTCCATTTTCAAGAAAACGATCAAAGTGGTAAAAAACAGAAAAGGCCATAGCTGACATGGGCCAAAAGGATGCCACCGGAATATTCCTTCGACTCCCAACGTCAAAAGCCCAAAGCAAGAAAGTATCAGCAATTATCAGAGAGGGGACTGGTGGCTCAAGCTGATCAAGAAGCCGTTCAAAGGGAGCTCCCATTTTGGTGGCTACTGCTTCTATGAAACCCATAAAGTCTTTGAAACGAACCTTCTCTGATGGGATAACGTTTGGTATGGTAGCAAAGCGAATTCTGTCGGGTTTATTTGGGTCAGAGCCGATTAAGCCGAACCATTCTTCAGTGACTACGAAGGTGATGAAAATGTTGTCAGATTTGGACACTAGTTGTTTGCAGAGGTTCATCATGGGATTTATGTGGCCACGACCTGGGTATGGCATCACTACTACGTGGTTCTCGCCAATGATACCCATTTTTGGGAATTTAGAATGTGAATGAATGCTGAGTTTTGGTAAAGTTCTGGCCTTGTCTCCTCAACATGGAAGTTTTAGTAAACAGAGACTGAATTGCTTATAATGGCGACTTCCTAGGTATGTAATATTTGTTTATTTACCTATTAGTTTATTGCAAATCTCAAAGCAATGCCCCAACTATCCAATAATCATAATATTTTTCCAAATAAATAAAAGGATTAGAAATCCTTAATTGAGTCCCGGTTAATACGTAGTTGTTAACGAATCCATGAACATATACTAATGCAAGTGAATTTTTTGACAGATTTCATTGTTTTTTTTTTTTTTCCTGTTATGGAAATTAGTGTAGATGGGAGAGACTTAAATATTGAGGATTTTGTGAATGTTTAGACATATTTAATTGTAAAAAAAAAACCTTTCAAACTGTATCGAGAATTAATAGATAATTGGGGGAGTAAATTGAAGTTATGTTTCTTAGAAAATGGAAGAGACATGTTTGGAATCTTTGAATTGGCGGAAATGGAAACAACAAAAAATGATCGTTACTGTGTTTCTAGAGGTTCAATTCTCTTTGGTTACAATTGCTTCTAGAGGCTAATTCAATTCTCATGGTTAGAGTGGAAAGTTAACGTATGAAGATAAATTTAATTCAACCCTTTGAATTCCATGCAAGAACCAAAGCCACAATTTCAGGAAAAGAAGAAAAAACAAAGAACAGATGGGATATGATAATCTTTTGGTTTTACTTCAAGGTTGTGTAAGATTCAAGTTAAAAATTGAACGTTAGAATGTCAAAGAATTAAATATCAAGAGTGTAATTGAAGGATATATATATATATATATATAGGTTCTAATGCTATATAGAAAAAAAAAAAAAAAGAAGTAGGTTTTAAAAAATAAAAATGAAAATGAAAATACTCAAACCTCAAAACTCCCCACAAACGCTAACTTTTCCCCTGTTCCATAAAAATTCCTAAACAAGATTAAAATGGTTAAATGTTCATGTAACCGTGGCAATGGTTGTTATTGAAACAACAACCACTAAAAAAATATAGTTTTTACTTATTAGTTATTACCAAACAAGTAGCTAAGGGTGTCCTTTACTTATTATTATTGAGATTATCATGAGTTAATTGATGCTGCAAACAAGTAGTTAAACACATGACTTCAAGTAAAGGATAGCACTTACCCCCTTCAATCAAATGAATAAATAAATAATGAGAAATGGGCATTCCTTAGATTGGATTAACGGTCATCCAATTAAAAATTAACAGAAGAATGGATAAGTCATTAAAAGGAATTCCAGTACACATAACATATAAGCATAATACACCACCTAATTATCTTATTTTCTCGATGAAAGTAAATAAATATTGTTAACTAAGAAGAAATTGGGTTTTTTCCATATTTAAATCTCATATTTTTTTGAAATTTTTTATTCAGATTTTTTTTTTTAACTTGATTGATATTTTTTTCTTTTGAAATTTTTTTTATTTTAGACTTTTTATTATAACGTCATCAATTAATGATTGCCACATAATCGAGATTTTTTACTTTATAAGGTCATGTATTGATTATTTACTAGTAGAGTTACAATTAAGAATATGAAATAAAAAATATTGAAAAATATAAAGTTTTAATCAAGAAAAAAAAAAAAAAGTAGAATTTCAATTTAAAAAAATTCAAATAATATAGTGCCCAAATGTGGATAAATCCGAAGAGAATTCACGATAAAGATAAAATTCACTAGAACACTTACCTTAATCATGTTTCAGAAAAACAAAATTTTATTTAACTCTTAACACGACAACCAATTTTTTGTGGTGTGAATAAGCTTGATAACTTGAAAATGATTACAACATTCAAAAACGGTTCAGTGGCTGATGCCCAGTGAAATATCCCTAATAAATGCATCTAGGTTGGTTATAGATGATCCATCTTCAGCAATAGCTGCTTGACAAATATTTCCGAGCTCTCTTGCTCTTCTCCTCGTTTCTTTCCCTTCGTTGCTTTCCAAACCCATGAACTTCTGCACAAGTTTCGCAATTTCCTCTCTGGTTAACAATTTTTCTTCTTTCAGACCTCTCTTAACCTTCCAGCCAATCCCCCAGCCTTCTAAAATTTGCTTACTATTTGGATCTTGATCCAAAAATAGAGGGAAAGTAAGCATTGGAACACCAGCAAAAACTGCTTCAAGCGTAGAGTTCCATCCACAATGTGTCCAAAACCCCCCTATGGAAGAATGACACAGCACTTTTAATTGATCACACCAAGGCAGCACTAGCCCTATATCATCATTACAAATCTCCTTTAACCGAGAAGCTTCCCCGCGTGCCACCCACAAGTATCGAACACCACTAGCTTGAAGCCCAGCAATAATTTCATCCATTTGGGTGCTTGAAACAGAAAGGAAGCTTCCCAGTGAGATGTATAAGACAGAATCTTTAGGTTGAGAATCTAGCCATTGTAGGTAGTCAGGGACTATATGACTATAGTTAGTTCCTGACGAATTGCTTTCAAGCTCTAAGTATGGTATGGCAGGGCCAATAGGATAAACGGGAAATTGAAAAGTATCTTTGATAGTGTCCATGACTTGGGGCTCAAGCTCATAGATAGAAGTGAACAGAAGATGCTGTGCTTGTGTCACCTTTGAAATGCATTCTAGGGCCAGCTGCAATACTCTTTGATCATTCTTTTGGAAGACTTTTTTGAGTTCTGCTAAATGTGATGAAGAAATTCCAGGGATGGAGTCCACTTGTTCTATCATATGTAAGAAAAACACACAGTTGCCATTAATTATTACATTCCATTTTAAAAGGTTGACTAGTATGGAAAATTCAGAATGCATCAATCAGTAAGACATGAATCATTTTATTTTTGATCTCTAGGAATTCTTAAGTTCTTCGGCTTAACGCCCAAGCAGCTAATATCTCTCATCTAATCAGGCATTCTGCCATTTGTATAAATCTTCATTTCTTTGCTTTCTTTCTTTTTTTTTGTTCAAACATTTTTACATTACCTCAGTCTATATTATTTGTTGAACAAGAGACGGTGCAAAAAAGAATTCCTTTCTGAATGTTATTATTTTAATCAAAGAACCTTAGCTTCACCATATTCTGTAAGGAAAATTCCAGTTCAATCTTCCAAACTCCTTTTTCACACTCAGAACAGTAAAAAAAAATTAAAAACATTTTCGGTTTTACATTATTTTCTTGTTCTCTTTTTCAATTTGTTTAGAGTGGATAAATGATTCCCAGCTCGGACAGAACCTACTAAATCTATACCAAGCACTAACATATTCAATCAAGCATAATGCTAGTAAGTATTGAAATTCGGTGCAGAGTAAGGTAATATGGAGAGCTAAACACTCACAAGATCAGCTGCAGTTTACATACCTAACAAATCAATTGGTGATTTCTGGTTCTGTTTTAAGAGATCAAAATGGTACAACATTGAAAAAAATGTTGCCGACATTGTCCAAAATGCTGCCACTGGAATATTTCTTCGATTCCCCAAGCAGATTGCCCATCGTACCTCAATGTCCCCAACTATAGCAGTCACTGGAATTTCAAATCGATCAAGCAGCTGCTCGAAAGGAGCTTCCATCTTTGTCATAACAGCTTCATAAAATCCAGGAAAATCAACTGCTTTTAGATGCTCTGGTGGGATGACATTAGGTATCGTGACCAATCGTATAGAATCTGGCCTTGGCTCAGAGCTGATGTAGCCAAGCCACTCTTCTGTGACAACAAAAGAAATCAGAATATCACGTTTTCTTGAAGCTAATAACTTGCAGAAATTCATCATAGGGTTGATGTGCCCTCTTCCGGGAAAAGGCATCGCCACCATGTGGCATACTGCTGTTGATTCCACGCCAACAGGATTCATGTCTGAAGAAATTAGAAAGGTTATGAGGCTACGCTCCCAATGCACTTGTTTAGTTCACTGAAGAAGAGCGGCAAGGTAAACAAAAACTTACTTTAATGATTGCTAAGGTAAGATTTTAAGAATTAAAAAGTTATCAGCTATAGAAAATACAGCCACCTGTGTGGAATCTGGACTCATAGAGTTGGAAAGTTTTGTTCTTATCCACAACCTGCCCCAGTCTTCGAGCTCTTTGTTTTTTTAACTTTTTGCTATTTTTTAAAAAAGATGACCACTATCACGAAAGATGCTTCTATCTTATGCTATCATGAGGTTTTATATCTATCATTTTCTTGGGCCTTCGAGGTCTTCCCCGTATTTGTTTTGGCAGTTTATAGCCCGGAACGCAGCAAGATGTTGCAAGCATTGACTATAAGTTAACTCAAGAATTTGCTCATCAACGGAAGCTCTTAATTAATAAATTTATATAAATTAAAAGTTTTAAATAAATTAAAAATAATAAAAGATGTTAGAAAAAATAATAATAAGAACTATGTAAGACAATTTATGAGGTGAACCCCATATATATATATAGAGAGAGAGAGAGAGTCACTTTTGGACACCATTTAACAATGTTTAACAATGTTTGAAGGAGAAATCTAAAATGGAACTGCAACAAATCTTTGATTTCTACTTTTAGCTCTTTGTGATCAATGTTTCAAATTGTCTCTTTCTCCTCCCTGACTTCACTTTCTGTTTTTCTGTGATGCGAATGTGAAAGTGATTATGATGTGAATGTGACAGTGATGAAGATGATGATGGAGAGAGAGAGAGAGAGAGAGAGAGAGAGAGAGAGAGAGAGAGAGAGAGAGAGAACGAGTTTGTGAAAGTAAAAGAAAGATGGATTTTGGGATTATAAGATGAAGGCTAATTTATCTTTTTCTTTAATTTTTTAATTTCAAGTGTTAGTTTATTATTAAAATTATTTTTTAATTGAGATAGAAATACTATTTTTGAAAATCTAAAATGTCATGTGTCGATCAGTTATTGATGACTTTTAATGATAATGTGTCATGTTAGATGAATATTGATGACATTATAACGAGAATCGAATTAATAAATCTCAAAAAATAGATTGCCTCGATAAAAAAAATTTTAAAAATACAAGGTTCAAATACCGAAAAAATCTCATAGAGAATTGTGGTATTCAAAGTAGTTGTCTCACACAATATAAAAGCTTAATTTGTCGATAAATATTAATTAAAATTTTAGTTAATTTTATTATGTACTAATTTATTTTTTATTTTTTATATAAGTTCAAACTACACAACAGATGTATTGGACTAAAGATGAATCTCATCTAGCATAAGCTTTTAGAATGCACAAAAATAGACACTATATTCTAATGGGACTAGTATCTATGTATTGTTTTTTGAATGCATTAGAGAATTGGTTTAGTGGACTAGGAGTAGGATCTGATAAAAGAAAGTACAATTATTATTTTACTTTAGTCTTTACTAGCAAGTTAAAAGTAGTTTAGTCTAAAAACTTAATTTTCTTTAATTCAAATACGATCGTTTAAACATGAATGACATGATAAGATTTTAGCAGTCAAGAAGCATTTTCAATTCGCTACAAATACCAACCTCACGTCATTGTTAAGAGATCTCCAACTTTATGATATTTAGTAAAAAAAAACTTTTGAACTCTCTCTCTCTCAAGGCTCTCTCATTCACATGCTAGACATCACTTAAACATCTATCTGTTACACTTTGACCATTCATTTATGATCTACTTGACTTGTGTCTTATTAGTAATGTCTACTCCTCCTCTTACGTCTCACATTATTTGCATTCATTTTATTTGATTGGTTTATTATTATTTTTACAAATTATAACACTAATTCTATAAAACTTGACTAGTCATTTGATCAATTTTCAAGAACCTTCCACACATGCAGCATTGAACTTTGTAGAAATGTAAATTTTACATATTCTAGGTTTTAGTGACGAGACAAATTTAATTAGAGAAATAATTTATATTACTATCAATATTTTTTCTTCTTAAGATTACAAAAAAATTTAAATGATTTTATTTTTTTTTATTATAATAAATTATTTCAAAATTGGTTTCGTTGGTTTTTTTTTCCTCCGCAACAAACAAAATTTTCAGTATAAATTTGATATTTTTGTAATTGTATTCTTGTGATTGGTTTAATTTTTATTTTTAATTATTAAGTATTTTTAACTTAATTATTTTTCTCGAAATCTAATTCATACATAATAGAATCAAATTCCCATTAAGAAAATGAAAATATCACCATTTGAGTTGATTTTGACGTTTCTGTTTTATCTGTGTGTTGCCAGCATAATTAAGGAAGTGTGACTTGTTATTCCTACCTGTTTTTGGATCCATGCTCTTTGCAAATAAAAATACACGAATTACTTGCAGATGTCTTTAACAAGGGTATTGTGATTTTAGAACCAAACTGTTACATACTCTTCTCTCGTTGGATTTATGAACCAAGAACCGAACATCTCCCCGACCTGCATATTTATTTATGCTCTGGATTTATACACCAAGAGCGACGATTTGGATTACGTAAATACATGTGGTCCCATAGTTGACTTAATCTGTGATTATGTTGCCTTTTGCCCTTTTGTGGTTTTGCAAAGGATGGGGCTAAATTGGTATCTATGGCGTATGATTAATGTATTCTGCTTAAAGACTTTGATGTTATTATGCAGATTTCGAGAAGAAGAGTTTCAAATTCACATTCATTTCCGAATACGCATGGTCACAGACCTTAAATCAGCTAGCAATTAATGCATTATTCAATAAGGAAGACAACTTAATTCATAGTCAACCTGCTTACTTGGCCTGGCCTTGTGAAATATCCCTTATGAAAGAATCAAGGTTAGTGTAAGATGATCCACCCTTGGCAATTGCTGCACTACAAGTCTCTTGAAGTTCTTTAGCTCTCTTCCTCAATTCCTTCGCTTCACTGTTCTCTGCATCCATAAAACTTTTCACAAGCTTTGCAATTTCTTCTCGTGTCACCAAATTTTCACTTCCAACCTCTCTCTTCACTCTCCACCCTATCTTCCAGTCATCCACAATTATTTTGCTGTCCGGAATTTGATCCCAAAATATAGGAGAAGTAAGCATTGGAACTCCAGCAAAAACAGCTTCTAGAGTGGAATTCCACCCGCAATGTGTCCAAAAACCACCAACAGCAGGATGGCCCAACACCCTCAGTTGATCACACCATGGCACTACTAGCCCCATATTACCACAGCCATCTTCAAAAAGAGTTGTTTCCCCTCGTGATACCCACAAGAACCGAACACCACTATTATGAATCCCAGCAGCAATTTCATCCAATTGGGAGCTTGAAACTGAAAGGAAACTTCCCATTGAAACATATAGCACAGATCCTTTGGGTTGGCAATTCAGCCATTCAATGTAGGCAGGGACATTGTGATTACTACTAATAACTGAAGAGTGGTCTTTGAGTTCGAAATAAGGTATGGTAGGGCCAACAGAGTAAACAGGGAAAGGAAACTTCGGTTTTAAAGCATCAATGACTTGGGCTTCAAGATCGTAGACGGAAGTGAAAAGAAGATACTGAGCTTTGGACACCAGTGAAACAGCCTCTAAAGCTCGGGACAAGGTTTTTCGACCAGATCCCTGGAAAACTGTAGGAAAATCTACTAAACGTGTTGGAGGAATTCCAGGAATGTAGTCCACACGTTCTTCACCTCTTTCTGAAAAAACACAAGAAGAGGTGCAAATTAATGAAGTGAATTTCCACTGATGAATATTGTGAATATCATGACCTTGATTTGCTTTCTGCAGCAATATTATTTTTAGTTGTGCATTTCATCTCAGCATAAGATGACATACTATTTTTTTTTTAATGAATTTTGCCTTGTACAATCAGCTTAAGTAGTCCTGGTGTACTTACTACTGATGCAAAACAATGCCATGTGTCCTGTGCATATGGAAGATACATAGTGCAACCCAACACTCTTGAACCTATTTCTATGTGGGCAGGAATTCAACGAGCCATCGTATTTGACCGAGGCTCCATTGGAATCGAGTCAAAAGACTCAACGGAGGGGAAGGCGGCTTCGCTGCATCAAATAGACAAAACTAGTGGCAACAGCAGCCAAAACCCTCCAGTCTAACTTAAAATTACAGTAATGGATCGCTAAGCTTCGACTTATCATTGAAACTTCACGGCAGTCAAAATTCATGTGCGCAGGTGAAAGAACAACCTTGAAATGGCCTTTTGCAGTCCAAATGACCTTTTTTTCTTCGTTTTAACCCAAATGCTGACTTGGACTGTTTGGGTAGTGGAAAGACAACAATGTACTACGCATCTGATTCTATATTTCTATCTCGATATTCACGAAAGCAATGTAGGAAAAGGTGCGAGCAAGTTTTTGAGTACAAGTTAGAAACTTTTTTCCTTTCCATATTTCTCTTATTAATTAATAAATTTAAAAATGCTAAATAATTGGACGGTCACAGTGTCAGTGATCCCCCGTTCCACTCCTCTTTAAGGTTCACAGCGAGATGATTCGAACTCCAACCCTCCTAGAAAATCAACCCTACCTCGCATCACTAGATCACATCCAATGGTGTATGATTGTCACGTGTCTCACTGTTCATGCATGTCATCTATTTGTGAGCACATGGCATCATAGCATGCCTAGCTATCATCCATCCCTAGGTATTTTGTCATCTAGTTGTGCGAGCATACTTGTTTGTCGTCTAAAGGTTAAATAATTATTCTCTTAATTATTTTGTCATCCCTTAAAAAAACAATGGTAAATTTAAAAAACATCAAATAACTATATAAATATTTTTAACATTATTACTAAATAATTTTTTATATCAATTTTATTATTAAATTTTCAGAAATTTTCAGTTACGAATTTGCATTTATTTTTAAGACTTTTCATCTATATATATATATAATGAGATCGTTTTCTAAAAAACTTAATATTTTTTTAAGTAATTCAAACAATTTTTTGAAAATTAAAATATCAAAATAATTCAATAGTAAATTTGATGCAAAATTGATAATATCCCAACAATGTGATTGATATATTTTTTTGTTTCTCCTAAGAACTACTAAGATCATAAAAGTTAATTGAGTTGAAATAAATGTGTAGACAGTTAAAAAGTGGAGCGATGGGTATAATCTCCTACAAATGTTAATACAAAAAATGATTTTTTTATACTAAATTTTATATAAATTTATATGTGAATTGATTATTGATAAATTATGAGTCCTGCGAATTGATTAATTTTCCATGAAAAAAATATACAATTGTATGTAAATTTTATATAAAATATTCATCTGTAAAGGATTACTTGCTTATTAGTATGGTTGCTAAAAGGCATAATTTTTGTAGGATAATCAGTGACTCCATGACTACATTATTCACTACATGTAATACATAAAGGATACAAAATTTCTGTTAAATAAGAAAAAGGAACACTAAAAGAGAAAAAGGAGGCAAAAGCTTCTTTCTTACATACCTGATAACTCCACCGGGAAATGCCCATTTTGCTCCAGTAGCTCAAAATGATGGAACACGGAAAAAACAGTAGCTGACATGGGCCAAAAAGAAGCAACAGGAATATTCTTCCGATTCCCAACACGGACCACCCAATCAAGGTAAGTATCAGCTATGATAACATCCACTGGCAGCTCAAGCCGATTAAGGAGCTGCTCAAAAGGAGCCTCCATTTTTGTGGCGACAGCTTTCAAGAATCCTGGGAAGTCCTTGGCACGGCCTAGCTCGGAAGGTATGCAATTGGGGATCGTGGCAAAGCGGATATTGGCTGGGTTTTTAGTTTCTGAGCCGATGAAGCCATGCCATTCCTCTGTTACAACAAAAGTGAAGAGGCTGTCTGGCTTTGTGAAAGACATGAGTTTGCAAAGATTCATCATGGGATTTATGTGGCCTCTGCCGGGATATGGCATCGCCACCACGTGAAGGGCGGTGGTTGGTTCCGTTCTGATGGTGCCCATCTTTGGACTGTGTTTGGTGCTTGTAACTTTGGAGGTAATTGATGTCGTAAGATTTTATTTCTTTCTTTTTGTCCCCACGGAATGATGGAGTGGAATGCGTGGAGATTTGAAAGTGAGTTGGAATGGAATGAAGTTGTGGACTATATGCTAAGTAACAATTTTTATGTTTTTTTATATGGTAAGTAACGGTGAATGGACAAAAGTTGGGTTGAATGGGCATCCATATGCAAACGAATAAATAATATTGTACAAATGAAATAAAATTAGACATTGATATGATGATATGACTATATGACTCCACATATCCATATTTATAATTTATTATTATGCCTTCTGCTTCTTGTATGAAATTTTAATTATATGGTTAATTTATATATCATTGTCACGTGTAGATTGAATGAGGTCCGAAGGCATCATAGCACGGCAAGATATAGGGATATCTCCAGCAGGTAGAATCAATAAAATTGTATCGACACATGTTAAAGGAAAAGAAATAGCTTAACGGTACACGTATGCCCCTTCTTTTTTTTCCCCCTTTTTGCGATAAGCCGAGATCAAACTAAGCAAACACTGTATACCAATTATGAGGTACATGAAGAGAATAGCAGAAGAAATACAGCAGTATATATATATAAAAAAAAATTTATAATACATCAGAATAATTAATGACATATATAATATTTATATGTCAAATAACACGAACAGCTGGGCCACAACAAAATTAATACAATGTCAAATCTAAACCTTAACATTTTTTTATTTATTTGGAAGGTGCTTAGCTTTTAAAAACATGAAAAAAAATGCATGCATCAACGCTTTAATTTTCATTTTTTCTTATGAACCTATTGATCCTCTTCCTCAACGCCAAAAAAAAATATAATTGTTTATAGACGATAATCGCATTATAAAGAATATAGTTTAGTGACAAAAATACGATTAGAGAAGAAGAGTAAAACAACTCGATCGTAATTCTATTCTAGTTTTTGCACTTGATTGGGTGTGGATAGTCATCCCGCGTGGCTAAAAGTAAGTCAAAAAAGCTCATTATCAAGGGCACGCTTTGACCATTGAGCTAATAGCCAGTTGTGCGGTAGCCCGCTATGCCAAAAGCTAGCGGTTTTAAAATTCGCTGATCTTACATTATATACAATAATATCTAAAACTATTTTTAAAAATATATATAAAACATTATTTGACCATGCGGATTCTCCGTGATAATGAGGACCTATTCTTTTCGTCCGTCCGCCACTGAAAACTCTATTTTTTATCCGACTTCCATGTATTAAGTACGCGATCAGCATTCATTTTTGAGTTGGGATCGAACTTTTCATGAGATTTTCAATAGCATTATTTTTTTCTCTTGGCATTAATTTATATTTTAAGTCAATTTAAAATTAGGAAAAATCAATGAAAAGACATCAATTCAAACCTTAAATTTTTAAAGTGATGTAATTTCCCAAAATTAGGATGCTGAAAGTTTCAACATGGATGATTGGGCGGTGAAATCATTTGTTCCCTGTCGATGAAGAAAGGGACTTTTTCCTTCCCTTTCTGCCTCGAGTCTCCATAGGTTATGGCGTATACGGCATTGTTGAGAATTATTAGTAATCAAAGAGTGGAACCAAAGTGGTCCCAACCATTGATTCGCTTGTCATTTTTGGTAGAGGATGGTAGCTTCTTGATGTTCACGATCGTGATATTTACTTGGCAGTTAAAGCTAGCCGAAGCTTGCCCCACTTTAAATTCTCGTAATATTTAAATTCATTGTTCCAAGCCCGTCGACAGAAAGATCTCTAAACCTGTAAAATTAGGCTCATCTCAATTATAATCTTGTAAAATTCTAAAAGCCCATTTGAAAACAAATGGTTCTTTAACCAGAAAGTCTTTACTGATAGGTGGTAATAGGCATTAACCAACATCGATCCTTGCATATTTCAACGACGATTTTTTAAAAAAAAAAAATTGCATTGATACTATTTAAGTCACTATAAAAGAATAATTGCATTTTTCTGAAATTCCTTGGAAGCCATTTATTACAAGCTTCAAATAGTATTAGGACTTAGAGAAATTTCAATGACCTGCTTGTTTTTCTTAGGGAAAGCTCAAATTTCTATTGCAATCATGAAACAGCGGATGCAAGAGCATTGTGCACAATAGATAGCGGGTCATCTAGCCAATCATCATAATCCAAAGAGCCTAGTGCTTACTTTGCTGAAAGATGAGCTACTATGTCGCAGTCCTTTAACATGGGAAATCAAAACACTTCACAATTCTGCAAACAAATCTTTGGTCTGTTAGAGAAAGAAAAAAATAAAAGATTATTGAGTTGTTACTGCAGATTTCAAACGAAGAAAAGAAATTTGTCTGCAAAATTCTTTTTGCTAACAAGATGACATATTTAAAAAGCAATGAATGTCTAACCCACTAAGTGCTAGGGATGGTAATTTGCACCATCCCTCCCCAATGTGTCAATGCGGGAATTCCTCTGTTGATTGGGGAATGGATAAGGTAGGGTGCTCCGTATTTATTTTAAACGAAGAGAGGACGGAAATAATAATTATCTGTTTCGTTTTGTTTATCTCGTTTCATCGTTAAAATTATAATTATACGTTATATAAAATCTGTGATTATTAGCTTTTATGATTTATTTTTTATATAAATTATTATTTTTTTGTTATAATCTGAAATTTGATAATATAATTAAACAAGATAAGATGAAAAAATAAATGAGGTCTCAATATCTCATGATAAATTTTGCTTGTGCGGGACACAGGGCGGGGACCCGTTGCCATTCCCAAGTAGTAAATACCTTGATATATTATTCCTTCTTAATGCACTTTCTTTACAGCTCCAATGATGTTGGGGAGATCTGCCCGTGGACCTGGGTCTGCCGGCATGCGTGCTTATATTCAAGGATGGAGGCCACCATTGTGCAAAAGTTTTAGACTAATAGATTATATGGAGGCCCTCATTTTTTTAATGTAGAATAGTTACCAATCAGGTGCGTACCTAATAAATGAGCTCTTGGAAATAGCAAACTTTGCTTATGGAAATGCCATGATTAATCAAAATTTTCTCAATAATCCTTTGATCAGCCATGATTTCTTCATATATTCTTATTTAGGTGACAAAATCAATGATTCTTAAAGAATAATCCTTCACAACTTCTGTTTCTTTCATTATGAGCTTTTCAAACTCTCTATGCAAAGTTTGAAGATTGATGGTTACAACCTTGCTATCGCTTTGAAACTCCCTCTAGCTGTAAAATCTCCCACGCTTCTTATGTTGTGGTAGTTCTGATCATTCAAGAAAAATTTGCTCTAAAAATTTCATTCTGAATTTTAAACAGAGCTTTGGCATCTTCATCCTATTGGCTTCAAGCTTCTCCTTTTAGACATTTGTAAGTTGGTTGTCTTCTACAAACTCGTTATAAACTTTTTCAACAATACTCCATAATCCTTTGTAAACAAGCCAAGTTCTCATTTTTACTTTTCAAATTCATAGTTTTCTCCTCCAAAGATTGGGAGAAAAGAGTTCGAGATATTAGAATTTTTTCCAACAATGGCTGTCGTTAGCTACACAAACTTTTTCTACTTAATCACTAAACAGACTTGCAGATTCCTTGCACAGATGCAAGCTTTTAACTTGGCTATGATACCACTTTGTTAGCTAGAAGAAGAAAAATAAAAGATTATTGAATTGCTACTGCATAACTCAAACAAGGAGAAGAAATACAGAACTCTAGGTGCCATATTTAAAAAGTAGATAAAGATAGTTCGAGAGACAGTTCTAGAGAACTGAATAGACATCAAGGCTCAAGCACAAAATAGGAAATATGCAACTGATATAATTATATGTCTAAAGCAATAAATGTCTAGACATACTAAAGCTACATTACAACTCAACATGGTCAAGGCAAGAACATTTCCAGTAGCAACATATTATTTCAGTTACCTGTTTATTGCTTTTGGTGCTGTAAGATGTCATTAATGAAGGCATTGATGTTTGTATCAGATGACCCACCTTTCTGAATTGCTCGTCGACAAACCTCACTAACTTCTCTTGCTCTTCTCCTCATTTCTTTCACCTCGTTGCTTTCCGAATCCATAAACCTTTTTATAAGCCCTGCGATTTCATCTCTTGTTATCAACTTGTTCACATCCAATCCACTCTTCACTCTCCAACCAATCTTCCAATCATCAACAATTAGCTTACTATTTGGGGTTTGATCCCAATATAAAGGGAATGTAAGCAATGGAACACCAGCAAAAGCAACTTCTGAGGTAGAACCCCATCCACAATGTGACCAAAACCCTCCAACAGAAGGGTGGCACAGCACTCTTAATTGGTCACACCATGGCACAATCAAACCCTTGTCGCCAAGACTCTCTTTAAACAAAGAAGTTTCTGCCCTTGCCACCCACAAGTACCTAACGCCACTGTCGCGCAAGCCAACAGCAATCTCATCCAATTGAGCACTGGAAGCTGAATGGGTACTACCTTGAGAAACATACAAGACAGATCCTTTCGGTTGCATATCAAGCCATTGGAAATAGTTAGTCTCACCTGGACCTATAGCAATCTCTTCTTGCTCTAGTTTGAAGAAAGGTATGGTAGGACCAATGTGATAGATAGGCAATGAATTGCTTGCTTTTAAAGCATCAATTGCTAGAGATTCAAGCTCGTAGACTGAACAAAATAGAAGAAATTGTGCCTTGGACACACCTGCGATAGCTTCGAATCCTCTATGCAAGATATCACGTCCATGCCCATAAACACACGTTGGAAGGTCTACAATACGCGTTGAAGAAATTCCTGGTAGATATTCCACTAGTTCTTCTCCTCTTTCTGTCAAATGCCAAGGGCAAGAAAGAAATACTAAATTAGGCAGTACTTTCCAATATTGTGAGTGCTAAGTACTGGTTTAACTGATAGATAAAGTTATTCGTCAGGACTATAATCCCTGGAAGAAAAAATCTCACTCCCGCCTAAATAACAGGAATTAATTAAACAATTAAATGAGGATTTTTTTATTTTTTTATGACATTAAATGAGGATTAAGCAATGCAAGTTTGTAGAATCAGAGTGTCGGTGGCATCTTTTTGTTTATTTACTAGCTAATATCATGGGAAAGTGCTTATTTTACTAGCTAATACCATGGCGAAAATGCTAATTTTACCTGTGTTTATTTCGATCATTTGATTGTATCCATATATTATAAATTGTGTTTTGCTCGTATATAATTTATGTATTTTTCTAAATTGTTTTGATTAAGACCACATGCCTTTTTTCGTGCTGATTAATTTCCTTGGCTTTTTATTTTGTTTTGTTTTCATTCTTTCAATATCATACTCATTCTTAAATACACGATACATGTTATACATAAGACCTCAATAAAGATTCTTAATTAAAACAATTCAAAAATATACAAACTCAATCAATACAATTTGAAAAGGACATGGATCAATTTTTTTTTTTTCATTTTTCATTTTTATGTTATTGTTTAAAAAAAAAAACTCATCGTAAATGTAACATACATGAGACAATTACTCTAAAATTGTGCATTTTTTTTAAAAAAATATTATAATAAATTAAAAATAATAAAATAATACTTAAAAAAATAATCCTAGCATGTAATTATTAAAACAAAAATATAGTAATGTGCAATATCGATTAGCTACAAATTCTTAGTTAATGGATCTAATTTTTCATAAAAATTAAAAAAATTGAATATTTGATAAATTTAAAATGAAAAATAAGATACCTTCCAAAAAAAGCTAGGGACTACAAAATATTTTTTTCTTTGATATAGATACTTAACTGCTAGTCAACATTAATATTGGTTTTATTTTAATTTTGATGAACACATTTATACTCTATTTTTTAAAATTACATGTTAGATTCGTTTTGTATGTGTTTTATTATGTTAAAATTATTATAATAATTGAAAAAATACTCATAATTTTATTACGATAAGATCCCACATATCACGTTTTGCAGCATTTAAGATTAATTTTTTAAAAAATAATAACATGAAAATTAAAACAGATAAAACAATAATTCTGACATATAATACATGTCATATATTTAGAAATTGATGTGTCACGTCAGTTCACGAATTAGTATTATAACGAAAGGATGAAAACAAAACAAAATGAAGAATAAAAAAACTCAACCAATAAGAAAAAAAATTCTTAGTTTTTAATCAAAATAATTTGAAAAGTACACTGACTCTGTACAGCAAAAATCCATTATAAATTTGGTCCGCTGGTACCTTATATTGTCTAATTCTATCTAATTGATAACTCCCGTTACATTTTTCCATTAAAATGCTAGCTAGAAGGGATTAAAATCACATCAGCCCGTAGAATGTAAGAAACGTTATCAATTGGATCAAATTAATCTAAATTGAATAACATAAGGTACTAGCTGATTAAAATTTTAACTTAAAAAGTAAAATTAAATAAATGACAGAAACACGTCAGTGAAATAAGGGATTTTGCCTATAATGATTTTGAAATATTTGTTCTCGCAGTTCTAAGCAAAAAGAAGAGAGACAAATGCAACTTGCACAATTTGTTGAGTACCTTTCAAGTCTATTGGGAAGTGTCCATTTTGGACAAGGAGATCAAAATGCTGAAACACAGAATATACCGTCACCGACATTGTCCACAGCGAGGCCACCGGAATATTGTAGCGATTTGCCATCTCAAAAGCCCACATTAAATATGTGTCCGCTATGATGGTACTCACTAGCGGCTCAAGCTGACCAAGGAGCTTCTCAACCGGCTCTTCCATCTTGGTCAAAACTTCTTGGAAGAAGGCCGGAAATTTGCCAGCTCGAGCTCTCTCAGAAGTGAGCACGTTAGGAATGGTGCCAAAACTAATGCTGTCAGGTTTTGGCTCCGACCCTATCAAACCTAACCACTCTTCAGTGACAACAAATGTTATCAGTATGTCAGGGTTTTTGGAAGCTAGTGACCTGCAAAGGTTCATCATGGGATTTATATGGCCTCGACCGGGAAATGGTAAGGCCATAACATGGAAAATGGTGGTTGGCTCAAGGTTACCTAAATGATCCATCTCAAGCAAGCAAAAAATAAATTATATGAAGCCTTGAAGCGAAGCAAGAAAGGGGATATATACTAAATGGAAAAGGAATTAAACAATATTTCCTCTTTTCCTTACAATATTGAGGAGAAATCGAGTTCTGAGGAGTTGCCCTTTGTAGAGTTTAACAAAGTCGAGTTCTTTATGAAACCAGAGAACAGGGTTCCGCCTCCACAGACTTAACTGAAGATGGGGACGTAATACAGGCTGACAATTAATGGACCTAACTCAAGTTATGGGCCTTGTCAGGAGTTAGGACATCAACTATATTTTAAACATAACCCCATGCATGTACTGAAATGGGTTTTTTTTTTTCTTTCTCCAAAAAGAGAAAAGGTTTTTGTTTTTATTTTACCCCAAACCGAGGCCCATATTAGTATGTTATTTTCTTGTGAAAAAACCGCGGATTCTGTGTCCCTCCACCCTCGCTAATTCTGCCTCTACCAACAGCTAGTGAAGTCATTGAAAGTTGAAACTTCGTTCGATACTGTGGTTCATGTGTTTTTTAAAAATATTTTTGAATTGACCAAATAAACATCAATTAAATGAAAAAAAATTTAATTATATCATCAAAAACACATTAAATTCTCACCTTCAACTTATGTTCCAGTTCCCATTCAATCTCACGCATGCTAACATTTCCCAGTTAATTTTATAATTTAATTTCAATAAACTGGACATCTATTTTAATAATCCACAATTAGATCTATTATGACGTTAACAAAATTAGATCTCATTACTTGCATTTCTCAAACATATTAATATTTTGCAATTAATTTTATGGTTAGATTCCAAAAAACTCGATAGGGATTTTGATGACAACAATTAAATCGATCATGCCACTTTTCTATTTCATCTTCATTACTACCAAAATCCCATGATCACATCACTCGCCACAATCACTTTTTATTCTTCTTCTTCTTTTGCTAGGTACCTTCTCTACCTTATTGAAGAATACTAGGTGTGGGACCGTGGTGTTAATCAAATTACTACATTTTCTATTTAAAAACGGTGGCCTCAATTAATCAAATGAAATTTTAAAGTTGCTTTATTCTTTTTGAGCTTTGAAAGTAGAGATTGTATACCTATGAGAAAAACCTTTAATACGTAAATATATGGTTTAGTGATTGTGCATCCAGCAAATTTTTTAAATTAAACAATTAAAGTTCTAATTATTTAAATTTATTTTTTATTATGTAATAAAAAAATACTTTTTATAATGTAGTTCAAATCCACTAATCTTTTGGGGAATGACAAAAAAAAAATCAATGTGACTTAGTATGGCTTTTTTCAGAAAAAAGAAAAACGAAAATGAAACCAACAACCATTGGAGCTTGAAGGGAAGAACTCCAGTGTTTCCCTCTGTAATTCTGAGTAATGGACCCCCATATTTCTTTGATGCGAGCCCATCTCACTATTGGGGACTTCGTTGTCATCCGTCATTTTTATTGCCCAAAGAAAGTTCAAGCCCATCAATGACACTGGCTTCCTGTTTCTGCCACGGTCCCATTTATTTTGACATCGGAGGACCACTTACATTGAAAGCGACTCAGACAGTTGAAGGAAAAACACAAAAAAGAGGATCAAAGGATTAATTAAAAAAATTCCAAGGAAAATATCAGGAATTTGGAAATATCAACAGCTTTGCTTTTTCCTTTTTTTTTTTTTTAAAGGAGAATAATTAGGCTAAAGAAAAATTTATATTACTTTGTAACTATTGATAGCTATGTATTTATTTTTGGTTTTAACAATAAAAGATTTAAACCTTCATTCTCATATACTCATTAAAAATATTTTTGATGTATTTTTTCAGGATTTACATCCTAGATAATATTGTAAGAAGCAGATAATTAATTAAATTTTAAAATTTTACAAAACTTGAAAATCATTCGGCCTTGATATGGTGAAAGAGTTGATTTAATTACGTGTACTTTACAAATCGGATCACAATGACTCATTGATACCAAAGACAAATAGGAAAAAATCATTCGGCATAATTATATTTCTATATTAAATCTTGGATAATTTTTTTTTATGCTAAATTCATAACTATTCCCTAGTAAAGAATAATAATATGTTTGGAATTGTTGAATTTTATTGATGCCATGTGCAGTATATATATTGTAAAGATAAAGAGCTCAAACTCTAGTGTAACAACTATTTGAATTTAAATTATATACAACAACTATTTGAAATTTATAATTCATTTATTTTGTTGTATATTTGTAATACGCCCCTACAAGATTGAGGCATTATTGGTGACTCCAATCTTGGACCCGAGTGAACTGTATTGCTATTTGCTGAGGGCCTTTGTAAGTATATCTACAAGTCGATCCTTGGTAAAGAGGTGAAGTACCTTAAGGTTATCGATAGCGGCACATTCCATCACAAAATGATAGTCTAGAAAGATGAGTTTCATGCGAGAATAAAATATAGGATTAGCATAGAGGTAAGTTGCTTCGTATTGTCACAAAAAATGGTTGGTGCTTGTGTAAGTTTGATGCCCAATTCCTAAAAGATATTTTGAATCAAAAGAATATCGACGGCGAGTGTTTGCCATTGTTGTACTCAACTTCGAGATGATGATTGTGGCACCGATTTCTAACAACTTGATTTTTAGGATATAACATTAAAACTCAAATAAATAATATATGCAATAGTTGACCGACCATCATCTTTGTTTCCACCTCAATCGAATCACTAAAACCACGCGAGTTGAAGAGAAGTACCTTTGCAAAGAAATAAGCTATGGTTAATGGTCCCTTTTGGATATCAAAGAACCCTATTTAAGGTAGTCCAATGGAACTTAGTTGGAGTATGCATAAATTGACATAGACGATTCACTATAAAGGACACATCGGGACGTGTCGGAGATAAGTATTAGATACTACCAACCAATTTCCTATACCGAGTCGAATCAATACGTGTAAAGCCATCCTAAAGCGAGTAGTGGCGTGGAAGGGCACAACGAGTGTGTTGACTTCCTTTGCACCAGTCATAGAAAATTTTTCTAGTATGTTACCAATATGGCGATATTGAGATAGAAATAAACCATCTAAAGTGTGAATGACCGTAACTCCTAAAAATTAGTGCGGTATGCCAAGGTCTTTGAGGGAGAAACAATCCACTAGAACCTGAATAAAAGACTTTAAATATCAACTACTTTTACTCGTCAACACTGTGTCATCCACATAAATAAAAAAATATGCACATATCCCATCATGATTGTAGATAAATAAAGATGAATTTGCCACATAATTTTAAAAACCAAATTGTAATAAAAAGAACTTTAGTTCTTGATACCAAGCTCTTTGAGGCGATGATGGATGCATGAAGCTAGGAGGTCGAAGCATATAAACATCATCGAAGAGGGTGCCTTGAAGAAAGGCATTGTTTAGGTCCGAGTTATCTTGATTTTCACTCATTTCCAAAAGCCAAACTTAAGATAAGATAGATTATTGTGGGTTTGAAGACTAGACTAAAGGTCTCTAAAAAATCCAAATGGTAGTCTTTGGCAACCAATATACTTTTGTATTTTTCTATTATACCGTCTAAGTGTCTCTTTATTCCGAAATTTCATTTATAACCCATAAGGTTGTACATGCTTAGAGGGACTAAATCGTAGATTTCATTTCACATCAATGCATTAAATTCTTCACATATGGCTTCATGCCATTTGGGATTAAACATGGCGAGATGAGTAAGTTTTTTATTCTAGAAGAGTGGGCATGAGATGTACTTGTGGTGTGATTAACAAAGTGTGAGTTAAAGTATGCGGAATTGGGTTTTCGAGGCATAAGGAGATCCTGGATGATGAGTGGGTAGGGCTGGAAGGTTTGGTGAGGTTAGAGTGGTCCGGGCAAAAATATCGGTAGGAGTAGATAACAATAGCGAAGAAAATGAGTGATGAAGGTGAGTTAGTGTGACAATATTGGGTATGGTTTCGATGGGGATGTAAGGGTGGGTTATGAAGAGAACCGAGATAGATGAGAGCCCAATTCATTTGGGTAGGCTATTACGATGATGCCGTGAGGCTTGGGTTAGACCGTGAGCTAGGTAGCATGCTCGAGATTGGTAAGATTGGTCTAAAAGAGATAGGTCAGGTGGAGTACTGGATTGGGTCGATGCATATTATGGCTGAGGACTCGTCCAGAATAAGAATTAGGTGAGGAAGAAATTTGGTCTCGCATGTTTAAAGGGAGTTAAAATAGAGGAATTAAAGTACAAATTAATAAAAGAAGGGTGACTTACCATGGGATATACCATGGAGGGGCCTTGTACTTGCAGGGGAGAATAAAGTTGTTGTGGATTCCGTTGCATGAAAAAGATGTGCTCGATAAATTGGACATGCCTCAAGATGTAGAATTTTTTTTTATGAGTGGATCGAAACACTTGTAAGCTAACCGACTTAATTAATACCCTAGAAAAATATAAGTTGTTGATCGTGGTTAAAGTTTGAAGGTTGTACAAGGATAAAGTTAGGGATAACATTAACATACAAAGATTTTTAGACGAGAATAGTTTAAAGTATGGTGAAAGAGAAGCTGAAATGGTGATTGAAATTGAAAGATGATTAATCAAATAAACAAATGTTTGAAATGTAAAAGACCAATAGGATAATGGTAAAGAGGTAATGCGAAGCATAACAAGACTTGTCTCAATGATATATCCGTGTCTTCTTTTAGAGGTGTCGTTGTGTTTAAGAGTGTAAGGAGGAGTTTTAAAGTGAAAAATGCCATGGGCATTGAGAATGGAAGCGAGGGCAAGATATTCACTACCATTGTACGTATAGATGGTAATTAAAAGCTTTTAAAGGAATTTTTCTACTAGTGTTTTGAATTATGAAAATATAATTGAGATATTAGGTTTTTTTCACATAGGATAGAACTAGATGTATTTAATATAATGATCAATAAAAATTAAATAATATTTATACCCTTCAATAGACAATTCAGTCGGACTCCAAACATCGAAATAGATAAGTTCAAATGGTTAAAAGCTACGAAGATAATTTTTTGAAAAAGAAAGATAATGACTTTTATTTAAAGCTTAAAAAGTACAATGAAATTTGGATTACAAGGAGGAACATAAGCTTAAGGTGCTAGCATTAAGAGTAGAGCAAAGAATTGGCACTCGTTGGATGACCAAGGCATTGACATCATACAGCCAAAAAAGATGTGGTAGTGTGATGAGTTTACGAATGGACCAAACGAGGTAGGTGATAGATATCATTGATTTTCTTCCTGTGAAGTAGAGGCGTCCCCACGTGTAGATTCTTTATATGAAAATGAAAAGAAAAAAATTCAAACGAGACAATGTTACAAAATTTGAAAACAACAATTAAATTTGCTTTAATAGAAGAAGCACATAAGATATTGTTTAAGGGGAAAGATTGATTTTGGTGATTAAGGGTGGTGGTGCCTATAGAGGAATTTTTAAACCTGTACCATCACCAATATTGATCTCATCCGAACCACCATAGTCCGAATAGGAGGTCATTTTACACACCGCCAATGACATGATGCGAGGCTCCGAAGTCAAATAGCTAAGGTTAAGTCGTTGTAGGATTAACAGAGGCCATATCGACCATAGGTGCGGAGGAAAGACTTTGATAAATGGACCCAAAAGTAATGTTATTTGTTTTGAGAAACCTTGCCAATTTTCAATGATCGGTAATAAGATATCCGGGAATATCACATAAGTTATTGAATGAAGATGACTTAGCAGAGGGCCATGTGAAACCCGGACGTATAGGTCGTCACGTGGAATGAGATGGTAAGGAGTTTATGCCATATGTTTTAGAATGCCATGTAGGCCAAGATGAGCCATGAGCGAAATGTGAGGTTTAGGCGAGTTTGATTTAGAGAATTGCGTGATGCATGATTGGCATTTGCAGGAGTAAGAGTGAGATTGATATTAGACCGTCGTTGGAGTTGATGTTCACAATCCTCTAGCTTCTCGAAAAGCTCGTCAAAAGAGATTACGGTATCTCTCACACGAATAGAAGCAACTATATAAGAAAAGTCCTTACCAACACCTTTCAATATATGCGGGAGAAGGTCCTCTTCGTTATGGGACTATCGGCAATAACAAGTGGCATCGGCAATAGTTCTAACATCTTATAGATATTCGAAAATGGTGCGAGTACCATGAGGATAGTCATGAAGCTTTTCTTTCAAGGATATGATACGAGAACAAGATTTGTTTGCAAACAAAATAGAGAGTTTAGATCATGCTTTATGTGAAAATGAGACTCGTAGAAATATGGGATTGAATTTTAAGGATACAGACTTCCTAGTATGACATTTAAGATGAGCTGGTCTTGCCTATGCTAGGTGAGGTAAATTGGATTTAGAATGATATTGGATATGTCTTTGGGATAGGAAATTTCCTTAGGTAGGCGTGGTAAGCCATCAATATGACTAAGGAGATTGTAAGCAATAAGGGAAAGTTGAGTGCGCCATACAAAGAAGTTGAACTTGGTGAGTTTAGTGGGAAGATGAATGGGAGCATTAAAGGAAAAAAATTGGTTTTCAATGATGGAGGAAGCTATAAATCGGTTTGAGAAGTTTTTAAGTTGTAAAAACTCGATACCATAAAGAATAATAATATGCTTGGAATTGTTGAATTTTATTGATATCATGTGCAGTATATATATTGTAGAAATAAAAAGTTTAAACTCTAGTGTAATGGCTATTTGAATTTAAATAGTATACAATAACTATTTAAAATTTAAAATTTAATTATTTTTGTTTATATTTGTAATACCTAGCAAAATGAAATAGAGGTACAATTACACTACAAGGTCCATGTTGACATACCATGTGCTGATGTTAAAACAATTGATATAAGTGTATAACCAACAGAATGATGCCATATCAAAAAATTGAATGCTTTCTCAAAAAAAATAAAAAAATAAAAAATGGAGCGACAAATGATCTTTCTTGACTTATAATGGTCACCCCTGGCTTTTTTACATGTGGCAAAGACACATTGGTGAACCGGGGAAACTACGTTAACATTCCATTGCAATTGAGATTTTCTGAGCTGACACTTTCTGGCACTCCAGAAAACAACACAAGTCATAAATAGCTTGGTCCCCATAAAAGTTGGAAAAGCCAATGGCCTAAAAATAAGAAATTTAAAACAATTACTATTGAAAGCGAACACAGACGAGGACCACTATCATATATGCTGCCCGGCCTGCTGATCCACTGTCAATTTGCAGTTTGATTGCTGGACATGATAAAAGTCCATCACAAAATGCCAGATGTAGACCATACTACGGTATGAACAGTAGGTCAATCGTGCATTATGGGATTTAAATTATAAGAGAAGTACCCAGAAAGTCTTTAAAAAAGAAATTACTTAAGAGATATTTTTGAATTATGGAAGTTAGAGATATTTTCATTTGCGACAAACCGAAAGCATCATGAGCAACAAAAGGTCCAAAAATTAAGATATTTCTTTAGATATTTCAAGCCCATTTCGAGTTATCTTCTCAGGAAATTCTCTTCACAAATCGACCCTGCAACCAAAAGTAGCATGTGCTTATAATCCAAACTATAATAAAATATGTGCAAAATAATCAAATCAGCAATCTGGTCTATCTTTAAAATAAAAATTCTTCGAAATATCTTTTTTTTTTTTCGCAAAGAAGAGAACGAACCTTGAGTCTAGGCCTTTTATCTGCGTTGAGTTTGCGAACTTGATATCTTATCTTCTTAGAGAACAATCTAGTCTGCCGCTTCTCTTTGTATCTAAGGACACTTGCTTCTCTTCTTGTCCTATCTTCTTCCATCACTGGCACCTCTCCCATCTGAATATTTAAACTAAATTTTCAACATTAGTATCACAAATAAATTAAACCCGAATCAAATTAACAAATGCTAATTACACTTATCCGCTTAAGAACAGAAAAGAAAAAAAGAAGAAGAAGCTAAGAGAAAATCAACTCAAATGCTCATCCAAGGAAATAAAAGGCTCAACTAAAAATATAAAACGCGGTTCCTAAGCTTAAAATTATAGAGATTAAATTAATATATATATATATATATACACACACACACATATGTAGGTGATTAGATTTTCCATTTTCAAGATACAATTCAAAAAGAAATTAAAGGGATTGAAAAGAGAAAAGGTAGTTAAGAATTAAAAGTTTGGTGAGTACTAACATAATTGCCATTGCTTGCCATGGAAAGAGAGTAATCGTCAGCCAATAGAGGCCCACGATCGGACCATGCATCCAAGACCTCTTGGTAATTCAAGTTCAAGTTCAAAGACATTCTATTATCATCTCCGTCCCAAAATCCAAGACTCTCTTCTTTTATAACCTTACTAGTACTATAATGGCTTTCTTCAAACTCAAAGAAACTGCTTCTGTTATCATCAAGCTTAAACATTTCTGATCCTTCTTCATCTTCAACAGTTGGATACTCCTCCAAGCCCATAAAATCCCAACTAAGTCGGCCATACATGTTAGGATTTGACAACATTTCACCATCTTCGATTCCCAGTATTCCTTCCAATTCATCCATAACATCAATCTCTCCACTGCCATAAGTTTCTTCTTTGGTGTTAGAGAATTGAGGAACAATGTTATCTGGCACCTCTTGCTCTTCCTTTTTTGGGCTTTTTAAGAAAGAATGGTACCCCATCCTATCTCTCTTTCCTTTGTGTATCTTACGCCTCTTTTTCCTTGGGTACTATGTATGCATGGCAGGTTTGAATACTATAAGAGAGCTGAGGAGAGCAGGCGAGGTGGGATTTATGATTTTTTTTTATATATATAAAATTTGATCCCACGTGGAATCTTATCCTCTTTCTATTGGTTGCTTCTTGCCTACTTTATTGTGATTGGCCAAAAATACTCCAGCTGGAGGAATGTGGGCCCTGGATAACCTTTTAGCTTCCTGTGTACTGGGACCCATGACATGTTGAAAATGTTCTATATGAAATTAAGATGCATGTGGCTTAACCTCAGTACTATCTCACTCTTTCCTTCAAAAGAATTATTGCAGTTCCGGTAAATTAAAGTACGTTAATTAACATGACTTATATATGAAATTAAGTTATGTTAAAATTATTTAAGTTGAAAGTTTGTTTGATAAAATTACGTCTTTTTTTTTTTGACAAAAAATTGTGTATTTTGGTAATTTTTTTCGATAAAATAAAGTTTTGAGTTCTAATCTTAATTGTAATATAATGAGGAAAGCTATTCTCATTATATGATATAAAGTTTTTTGAACTTTTCAAGAAATCAACAAATTAAAAAATAAAAATTTAATACTTCGATTAAAGTAAAAAATAAAATGATTTAATTTTAAAATAAAATTTTGATTTAAATGAAAATTAATTTATTACTTAACATCCTTAATTAGTTATCACTTTTGATGCTTTTAATAAAAGTTGAAAGGCAATTCAAATCAATATGCAAAAAATCATATCAATGCACTACTAGTTTGTGTCAATCCATCGTATCAGTTCTTAGATAGCTACTAGCTAGCTAGTGTTTTTAGTACTAATGGTCGGCTCGGTCTTCAAATAATTTTGATTTAGTTGTTACTAAATTTTTGACCTGTGCTACGATATGAAGATAAAATATATAAAATTATATAAAAAAATTATTTCAGTTTAATAATCTGTTTTATGATAAAAAATAATTATAATTTTTTAATGAAAAAATTTGTATTTAATCATTTCTTATTTGTGTTTTTAAATTTTAAAAATAAATAATAAAGAAAATAAATTATTGATTTCTTTAAAATTTTAACACCTAATTAATTGTTGGTTCTTTTAAAAGTTTAACACCCAATATTATTAAGAAACAAAAATTAAAAAAAAAATTCAATGTTAAAAAAAAAGGCCATTTGTTTACTGTTCATATGAACAGTAAACAAACGGAAATTAAAATAAAAATCAGTGTTTAGAGGGAAAAAAAAAAAAAGGAGGGCAAGCCATTTACTGTTCAAATGAACAGTAAACAGGTAAAGAGAGAGAGAGAGGGGGGGAAGAAGGCCAACAGGTGCTGGCAAAAAAAAATAAAAATAAAACGAAAACTTAAAAAAAAGCCAAAATACTATAGCAATGAATAGTGATTAACACTTCATTGTTACAGTGAAAAATGATTTTCCTTTAATAAATAATATAATAACTAGTTTATACATGAATATATCACTTACACGTTGTTGCATTAGGTTTTATAAAATCTAAATTTTATTTCGATTATTTAATTAATTTTAAAATAATTGAAAAAAATAGAAAAAAGCAACCATAAAAGTCTTTTTTTTTTTTTTTTTGTCAAATCCAATAGATAACTTAAAACTTAAATAACTATTACATTAAATACTCCTGTAAAATTCATTCATATCAAAAGTAAAATTCTTTTTTCTTTTTTTCTTTTCAGTTTTTTACATTGTTATATGCATTCAATTGATGCTAATTTTTTTTAAAAAAAATTACACATTTTAAATTTATATATAGAGTAAAGGCATATATGCTGTTAAACATCTCAATTTTATCGTTGTTTATAATTTAAAGACTTCAAAATATCTTAATATATATATATATATATAATTCAACAAAATTGTCTATAAAAAAAAAAAAAAAAAGGCAAAGGAGAAACTAAGGGTAGGGGTGAGCAAACGGTTCGGTTAACCAAAAACTCGAATAAAACCGAACCGAATTATGAAATTTGATTCGGTTTTAAATATAAAATTATACAATATAAAACCGAACCGAAAAAACCAAAATTATTTTGGTTCGGTTCGGTTTTTTTAAAAAAAATTTCGGTTTCGACCGGAAACCGAAATAAATAGTAAAAAATTTCCTAATTTCTAAATCCCTAACTTTTCAATCTTCATTCTTGTTGAAACTGAAACACGCAGATGGGAAGTAAATTTTGAGGACCGTTGGGGTAAGAAAAGAAAGTGATATAGTGTAATTAATTGGAATACAGCGTGTTTGAATGAACAAATTTATTACACTTTGACTCATTTTCATTAAAGCTTAATTAAAATCTTCAAGGGCGGGCTTTGTGATTGTTTATAAAAAGGATTAATTGATAACAAGATCTTACTTCATTGGCTAATGGACTAAGTGCTAGTACAAAATATCTCTCTCGTAATGATTTTTCTTTTTTTACAACAAAATATTTTGGTTAAAACCAAAATATTTCGAAACCAAACCGAAATAATTCGGTTACAAACCGAATTTATTTCGGTTTGGTTTTGGTTTTATTTTTTTTAATTCGGTTAATCAAAAATCGAACCGAATCGTATAAAACCAAACCGTTTAACCGAATGCTCACCCCTAACTAAAAAGGATAAAGAGTAAGGTGGGCTTAGCACACAAGTTGGGCCAAGGCCCATTCCTGTCTAGGCCGAGCACTACTGGCCCCCTTGTGACGGTAAAAGAAAACGGGAGCGAGAGTAGACAAATGTTACATCCCCTGCAACAGCAGATGACGCATTACCTAATAACCTTTTTCTTTAATTTTTCGGTTATCAAAATTTAAAAATTGCTTGTCGAAATCTACAATTGACTGCCAAAAACTCGAGGGCCATTTTGGCCCTCCACACCCATTTCCTATACCAATTTATTAAAATAAACACCTTAGAATCATCTCAAATATATTTAAAAATTAATTTAAATCTCATAACATATTCAAATTCATTGTATAAATATGAAAATATCAAATCAAATAAGAAAATGAATTTTCTTTTGGGAACTTGATTTCATTTTTCCAATCACTTGGATGCTAAACCTATCATAAATAAACTTTCGTCATGAAGAAAAATATATCACGATAATATTTTTAAATTATTTGCTGGGTTGCAGTTCATTGGAGAGTTCTCACTCTCCCCTCTCCCCTACCTGCACTCTCCTTCCTTTATATTTAGAGACTTAAATTTAACACAGATGAAGATCATAGAGCATTCCATATACAACTCTCAAACTCGAAAGATTAAAGAGGAAAATACTTTCAAAAAGTCACTTAAAATCTTTTGAAAAAACTTGGTAGTAGCACACATAAAAAGTTTAAAACAATTCATCTTAATGCTACAAAGTGACAAAAGGAAGGCTTAGCTATAAGGGAAATCCCATTTTATTTTGAATTCTTTATATTTTCCGTCTAAAAAGTTTCAAAAGACACTGTTTTGATACCATAAAAAATGCTAAAATAATGGTTACTATTGATCTTATTTTAATTAGATTGTTTATAATAAATTTGTAACTTGATGGATGATTGCCTACTATTGGTCTTTTCATTATCTCTCCCCACGCCACCACGCTCTCACGTTTCCAGCGTTTTCACCTCCAACAAATAAATATTGTAACGTCAAATTAACAAGACATCAATGACACATCTACGCTATTCCTATATAAATAAACACCCAGCCACGTCCAATTCCCATCACTTTCCAAATGGCTTTTAATATCATCCTCTTTCTTTTGGTTACTTTCTTGGCATGCAGCAGCATGGACTGCATCAAGGCCATGCCCACGGACATGGCCCGACCATTAGCCTCAGCCTCAAATCTTACGGTTCGCTTAAAATTAGATGAAGAGTCATCAAATTGCTGGGACTCATTGATTCAACTTCAAGCATGCACTGGGGAGATTATTCTTTTCTTCCTTAATGGGGAGACTCAACTAGGCCGTAGCTGTTGCCAGGCACTGCAGACAATTGGTAAACATTGCTGGCCTAACATGATCGATACACTCGGGTTTACCACTGAAGAGGGTCAAGTACTTGAAGGCTATTGTGATAAAGCTGCTGATTCCACTACTCCATCTGCACCATCTGTGATTAAGGTTGTTCCAAAGCAACCTTTGCTTCATTGATTAGACATTGGAACTGGCTGTTGGCGGTAATAGCTAGCACCTAGCAGCAGCAGCAATACTAATAATAATAATAATAATTACCCTATTTTCATTTGGAAATGGAAATGTTGGTGCATTATAAACTAAGCTGTAGTTTATATATATACAGTTATGTTTTATGTCTATTTAGACACTTTTTTCCAATTAAAAAACTCCTTACCATGCGTACATCTTACATGCTTTTGTTTATATGTCGATTGATGAATTTATTAGTTTAAGTAAACTAATAATTTCTCCACACTGATACATTCTATTTTTTATGGGCATTTCACATAAAAATGAGGCAAAACATGCATTGAGAAAAGGAAAATAAAAAATCCAAATATAAACATGAGCAATTAAATTAATGGGATATATTATTGGATCTCATATTAAGATCACGATCCAATAACTAGTAATATTCTTGAATTTATCATTTTTCTTTACATATCTATGATGATGGAATTAATATCATCTAGTCATCCATATTTTCTACCCGATCAATGTAATTTTAACTTATTATCTATATGTTCTTTAAAAGCAAAAAGAGTAGTGAGTTCTGATCAGGTTTAAATCTCATCTCTATCAATCCATTGGAAATTTCAAAAAATAATAATAAATAAATAAATAAAACCTTTTTTTTTTTTTTTTTGTAGCTGAAGAGGGAATTTCACAAATTAAGCCAAATTGAGTTAGCGGTTAGTGCTAAATGGACTTCATAAAGAGCTGCAGCATCTGACTAGGCAAAAAAAAATCTCAAACAAGGTGTCCTGATTGAAATCCCATCGGATCCGATCCGATTATAGGACTTCTGGATATCAACCTTAAGTCCTTAATCACCATGAGTCCCCCTTCCCTTCTCCATTTTAATATTTGGAGTCAAAGATTCATTTACTTTCCGAAATTAACCCAATCGATCGACAGACCAAAGTTGGGAAAGGTAACTACATGTGAAAGTATCACTTTAATTGGAAAATTACACTTTCGCAATTAGCCCAAACTCTGCCTAGAGTGAAGCAAAAGATGCCAGCCCGGGGTTGATTGCAGGGACGCCTAAACATACATGCATATATGTATACCTGAATGGGTATATATATACCCATTCCAGCCCAACCCAAACAGGTAAGAAGAAACGTTTAGAAGAGTAGCTAGAAAAACAGTAGCTCCAATGAAAATTGAAATGAAACATCAACAACGACGTGCACAATAATACTGAACCTGTCCCCGACATGCCTCCTAAAAGATTGGCCTAAGCCTTTTAGCTAATTAGTTGACGTATCCTGTCTATCAGGGTTCATCATTGAATTACCATATTTCAATTAATCGTCATTTTTGAAGAGATAGTGTCTGAGATGATGAGTTCAAATTTGAGGTTCAATGTAATAATTCATCTTAAATGGAAATTCACGATCTACGTATATCCTATGGGGATTGCCATTAAGCGCCTTCCCAAATTAATTAATTCTTGTTCTATCATAGGGATTACTACTTTTTATTTGTATTTTTTCATTTATTCGATAAAGCGTTTATTTAACTGGGTGTGCTACTTAATATAAATTTTTTTCTTTTTTTTGTTTATTTTCGTATTATTGACAGCTAGAGCAGAATTTAATCACAGATTAATTTTTTTATCAACGAAATGAACTTATAAAATCCAATAAACTTAATCTATTGAAAGCTCACATTTGATTTAATTATGACGACGGTAACCTTTTTTTTTCCCCCAAATGAAACTTAACCGGTCTCAAATTGAAAAAGGTTGGAACAATCAAAGAAGTTGATCATAATTTTCTCATTATAAAGCTAATAGTTAAAAGCAGCCATCGATTTTCTTTTATTTATTTATTATTTATTATTATGATTTTGAATCTTTTAGCTTGGTAGCTCCAGCATATGACATGCCCTTAACCAAAACAAGAAAGTGAATTTAGTTTCTTATTGCCGCAAGTTGGCCCGGTGGCAAAGTGGGAATTTTCTGTTGAAGGAACCTACTACAGGTGCGTACAAGTGCAAATAATTAGTTAAAAAATTGAAAGTTAGGATTTAACATGAAAGTTTAAAATTGTTTAAGGATCATTATGTAAAAAAGCATGAACTTTTATGAAACGCAAACATTAAAATAGAAGGATCTTTTCATTTTGGGGAATTCGTCTCCTGCCAACCCCTGCCCCTATATATGTCACCGAGCTAACTCGAGAGAATACCAACTGATCCCTATGAAAAAAAAAAAAAAAAAAAAGGAAAAAAGAAAGAAAAAGGAAAACAACAGTCAAACAAGCTAGCTGCTATTAAATTCAGTTTATTTTTCTCACAATGAACGCAGAGACATGATTTAGCAATCCAACTAATCCCAATGACCATGCATACAACCACTGAATCACTGCAAAACAGGGAAAATACTACTATAAGCTTATTCAAGCAATGCAGTACTCATGCAGAATGCAATATAAGAAAGGTCAATTTCGCAAAAAGAAAATCGATAGGCATTCCCCAATGAGGGACATGTTAAATTAACAGCTTCTAAATTTGACTTTGAAAAATCTTGCAGATAAAATTAGGATGTAGCCGTGATTAATAAACTATATATTTGGAGTTCTAAACCTTCTTAGCTTTGATATATATATATATGCTGGTGAAAGATTGCTGCAGATAGCTAGAACAATTAAAAGCGTATAATTTTCTCTCTTTTTTTTTCTTTTTTTTTTATGTCAATCTGTAATATGAAAATGGGTTTTTCAAGATTCTTCTCACAAGAAAAATGCACTTGTTACTTGCTTTATAATCCCTCACGCGATAAGATTGAAAACCCGGCCTAGAGATTATAGTCTATATATATACACAAACTGATGTATGTACCCAGTTGTCGCCAGTTGCATCGTACATATCATGATTTTGCAGGTGTTGCCTAGCTCTAATTATTTAGAATTTCAACACATGAACCATAATCATGTGCATGCATGCATACTATTAATCAAGATGCCAAGATGTGTTAGCGTGTTTCCACATCTATTATCCAATGGTACTAGCTACACGGTTCTTATTTGGACTTTGAGTAATTGCACAGGCCAGCGATCTGTCATGAGCTAGCTATGGATGATGATGGTTAATTTACCAATTCAATTTTAAAATCATACTATAATTAATATATATGTTGAAAGAAAACAAGCTAGGGGACAACATACCCCATAATAAGTAACGTCTTAACGAAGAAAAGGGAATCTAAGTAAACCCTACTCTACTCTATATGCTCCTATATGTATGTATACATCTCGCATGTAGTAGTAGTTGTAGTACTATAATGGCCGGCTAACGTTGACCCCTTAACTTAGTATGAACATATCCCACATGAATTAAGTTTCTTTTTGTCTCATCTAGCTACTCCTACAACTAAAATTATTCATCTCTCTCTCTATCACATGGACACACACGTGCAAAATGTCTATACGCAATCATGGATTTGTTTTGTTTCCATGAGAAACACATAGGTAGCACCAGCAAGCTAGGTCAATATTCAACTCGAAATTGATTGGAGAGACCCTTGAACAAAAGGGTACCAATTCATTAACAAAAACAATACCGATCAAGTCCAAAGGGACTCTCTCTTAGGAGGGTCTTGGATTACATTGCTAGACGAGGCAAAGTTAAAATATTGAGGAATGCCGTTGAAGTTATTGCTGCTCGCTAAAACAAGTGATTTCTCATCTTGTTCTAGTTGGGTTGGCAGCGTAGGCTCTCCTTGTTGCATCTGGATACAAAGTATCTCTGTTTGAGCTACTGCAAGTTGCATTTGCAACTGTGATACTTGATTTTGTAAACAAGATATTGCACCAACACATCCATAGACTGGGTCTCGCACTCTTGCATTTGCTTCATAAACTAAACTGCTCACAGCATCTGCTCTCTGATGAACTGGAATCTCCTGCAAGATTAGAAATATCCTCATCACTTAATGCAACATCGATCATTAACATATATTAGAAACTTCAGAACATGTTTTTCCATTGTAATACACACAAAATAGATTATATATATACAAAAATTTAGGAGAGAGGGAAAAACCTGCAGCATTTTGCTGACATTACTGGCACCAAAGACCTTGTGAACAATGGCAAACTTGTGGGGATCGTCAGAAGGAAAGTAAGGGGCAAAGATGCAGTCTTTGGCGCACCGGCGCCTTAGCAGTTTGCAGGATGCACATGGTGAAGAACCCCCCATATTTTTTTCTTAAAATAAATCAAAGAAAATTCTCTCTTGATGCAGATAGGTAGAGAGAAGATATAAGGAAATACAAAAAGAAGCTCGATGTGGAACAAAATGATCTTAAATTGTGTATTTATAGTAGTTGAGGGATGTGGTAGCTTAGTGTAGAATGGATGCACATGTTCGACTTAAAACAATGAGATTATTTTCATAATTAAACAAATAATAAGAATAATTAAATACATGGAGAGGAGCTAGCTAGGATCCCATAGTGTGGAGGAAACCACCGTAGAAACAGTTGCATGCACATAATTTTACAGTTTTAGGCTTTTGGGTGTAAGAAGTCAATAATGCTGACTAGGGCATGTAGGTCAATTTATAGTGTGGGGATTGGTATGAAGATCAAATGGACGAGGTTGACCACCGCCTAGGCGCGTGATGGGTTGGCAATGGATTGGTGCAGTAATACTCTTGTCCACGTTCTTGTTTGACTAATCATTTCTATGTTCTATGACTAATTAATTGTATGTATGTATGTATGTACTGATCATGTCAGTCTTGTAAAAAAAATTAATGTATAGTATCATGATTGTGTTTTTATACTATATTCGGCTTCAAATGTCTAAACCTCAGAGAGTGTGAGAGTCATTAATTGTTAGGCTGGTTTAGGGTTTACCAATACGGTGAGAACGATGTGAAACCTACCTTGCTAAGCCGGATCAAGACACCATGAGAAATGGGCTCGACGTGAATGTTTGTTGGCCACATTAAATTCACATGGAAACTTCACTCTAATTCCTCTTCTTCTCTCTTGATTCAAGTTAGAAGCTTCAAAATAAGACTACTGTTGCAAATCAAAATGGCATCCTTTTAATTCTTTATCTATTTATTTTTATTTTTTTGATATTGGTTTACAAATTAACTCTAGTGTTTGTGATCAAACAAAAAATATATATATATATAGCATATCAACTCACAGGATCATATGTATTTGCTTTCTTTCAATTTATCGATGACAATTACAAAAAGTAATTCTCCGATGAATGATACTACAAATTTTATAATATTTAAAAAATAATTATATTACACATATAACAGTTATTTTATTAGATCATTTTTTAGAAGAAATGTAGGTACAAAGAAAAGAAAAAAATAGAAAAAAAAAATTTTTAAAAAATTGAACAAAGTGAAAATCTTTTTATTATTTTTTATTGGTTCAAATATGATTTCATTTTAACTCAATTTTTTTTTTACATTTTCTCTCATCTCTATGTTTCTCTCTTCTGGAAAGTGAGCTAATTGAATAATTATTGTACATATAATTTAGTTACTTCTTGGATATTATAAAATTTAAGACAACCCCACTAATTTCAAAGGAGAAGCACTTGATCGATTATAGGCGCTTGTAGTGAAATTGTCCTACAAATTTGGCCTTGACAAGCAAATTGCTGCAACAATCAGTCATTTTAACATAAAAGACTAGCAACTTGCAATGTACATAAAATTAAAATTTCATTTCTTAATCTGTGGATGGCAAACTGCTGTTAAATTTAGTAAGCATCCCATGTCTCGTTTTCACTCTGTCACAGCTTTGACCAAACACTGGAAGGAGATTGTCTTGGAAAAAAAAAAAAAAAAGGAATTTTGAAGTGCACCATCATCAACCATATGAGAAGTTATAGTTGTCATTGTTGTTTTAATTATAAAAGTTGCTACTGTTATCTTCTTATTTGTTTTGACATATATAGTTTGAATGCTTTACAAACATTGCATTCCTCATGAATGTCATTGAACAATGTTGGTAATGATTCCACCGTAAAAACTTAGATTTCGTTTGACTATAGTTGCACTATTCTAATCCATCAAATCATCCGAAGACTGTCTCTTATAATAAACAGACATCACTTGAAGGGCTCTTGATCAACTCCTCATCTTATCTCCATAAAATAATATGATAGGGAAATATGATGATGATGATGATAACCCACCAAGTAATTAAAGCGAACCATTAAATGAGATCCGACATAAAGCTAAGGTCTAACTCCTAAGTGATTATAAAAAACCCAATTCCAGAGAGACTGAAACGGAAAACATAAGAGTTGTGAAACCCTAAGACCTATTCTTTTTTCTCTTGCATTTAATGCTTACCACATGATTCCAAGCTTCTTACCTTCTGTTCCGAGAAAAAACAACTCCCCTTCACCAGTTGTCATGGCGTATCTATAACTTTTTTTTTTTTTTTACGTACACCTGTCATTTAACTAAGTATTTTTGTCATTTTAGACCCGTATCTCAACCAGTATATTACTATGGGGCCACCAGTTGAAATTTATTTTATTTGCACTACATCACAAAACGCGTATTTTCAAGTTCGCTTCCAAGTTTCAAACCCCTAAGCTCTAGGAAGAAGAAAAGGAATCATAGTTTTAGACGGTGAGAACCAGTATTCTTTGTTTTAGTTTGGTTTTTTTAAACACTTGAATAAAATAGAGGAAAAACAGACATCTTTTCCCCCTTGGAGAAAAATAAAACATGCGAGGTCCAATGCAAGCATTTAATGTGCTTGGTGATATGGAAGATTCGATTCTTGAAATTTGCATATGGTTTATTTTCAAATCTGAAGGGATGAAGATTAGAGACGTTGTTTGACAAAAGCAACATCGCTAGTGAGGGGCTCATGGCAACAGAGACTTGAAATTCAGTCGCTTGAACAGAGTCCATGTTGGATTTCCAAGGTGACCCATTCTATTCAAAATGCAAGGTCTGCATTATCGTTTCGGTGCAAATTAAGAAAAATATTAGGCCTGAAGCAAGAGGTAAGCACGTGATCATGCACATGAACATGGGCCATGTTAATTTGTTGCCGCAGAGCTACGTTTGGCCCTCCAAATAAACTCCTTTATGGGTTAGTGCTTCAAAAATTAAATAGGTCACCTTCAATCTAGAGTTTAAATATTTATTCTAGCGTGATGACTACTTCACATACCATGTGTTCATAAATGAATCGCTTTGTTAGCGATATTGGCTGACTAGGCTCGAGAGGCACCAGTAGAGAAGCTTTTCCTGGCAACATACACTACAAAATGGAACTGGAGAATGCCTAAGTAGAAAGTTGATTCATTTTTCTTGCAGAGCATACCAAAGAAAATTAGTTAATGATTGATGAAAGCTCATTTTCATTATTGCCTTGATTTTCCATTGTAAAATACAATAGTAATATACCGACAAGAACATAAATGTTCTAGCCATGCTAATTGTTTTATTGGATGGCATATACAGCCTTGACATGGCTAATCCAAGCCAGCAGAACATGTCATCCAGACCAATCTCTTTCCATTTTTTTCTATTCTTTTGCTATCCGGCGTTTAGGAGATTTCCAAAAATATTCAGTTATAAAAATTGTTCATTTTATTTATTTATTCGAAATGTGAGTTAAACCATATTTTAGAGTTGTCACCTTATATTAAAAAAAAAAAAAACCTAAAAATGATAGGGATTCAAAGATTATAGGCTAAGGAGTTGGTTATGTCTTTTCCAAAAAATGTATCATGTCTACTCTAATACTAAAAATTTATCTCCTAAAAATTTCAATTTTTGCTAAGTTATTTCTAAGTCAACTTCCAAATTTATTATTTAAGTCAAATTATTATTATTTTTATTTTTGTTTATGATATTATATTGAATTGATCGTCGGACTTTGCCGTCAAGAGTCTCATCAATTTAATATCGGATCTATCTTAAGTTTCGATAAAACAAGTATGTTGAAGAACGACCTAATTACTAAAGTTATTGGTTTAAATTAATCAATAACAATAGTCCGTACTAGATAAGGAACTATTAATCTAATATTTCCCTATTTTGATTTTTCTTTTCCATTTTCTTCTTCTTTTCTTTTTATCTCTTTTTTTATCATTTTTCTTTTCCTTTTTTTTTTTCAAGATTGGTGGAGAATCGTCATCAATCTCTAAAAAATAGAAGACTCGACGATTCGTCCACTCATTAATTACCTAATTTGACTATTAGTTATTCAAGTCATATTTAATATTAAAATAAAATCTGAAAATTAAATTAATAGTCTCTATACATTTATAGGAGTCTAAAATCTAATCACAAATTTCAAATTTAATTAATATTAAATATTAAACTAGACATGAAATTTAATTACCGAAAAAAATTAGAGGCTAAATATTAAACTAAATAAATTGAAATAAATGGGTAAAAAGAGTTTAAAAATTTCAAAAATAAATAAATAAATCTAGACTAAGCATGAAAATAGGAGGTATGTATTAAAATTTCAGACTTAATTTACCATAGGAAAATAGTTAAAAATGAAAAAGAAAAAAAGAAAAAAAAGAAAAAAGAAGAGGTTATTAAGCCTTTGGGCCTAGTGGGCTTTCAACCCATTAGGCTAAGCCTGCTTCTTTTTTCTCTAGGGTTGGGCTAAGGCCAGCTCACTCTCCTCTCATTACGAGTTGGGCTAGACCCAGCCCACTCTCCATTTGTTTTCAAACAAGCTGAACCCAATCACAAAAGCCATCTATCTCCTCTCCTTCATCTCAAACTAGAACCCAAGTCTCTTTTGCTCCTCTTCTTCCTTAACCCGTCCTCCTACCTTTCTATGTCAAACACAAAATCAATAGGCTCCCTCTCCTGCCAAACTAAACCATCTCAAACCCACAAATCTTTCCCTTCTTTCACCTCACAAACTCAAACGAACAAAAGGAAATGGGGGCATTTGGAGCATCGTTCGTTCTTGAACCAATTTACAGCTAAATCAAAGCGATTGAAGTTACATATCAACGAAGAAGGCAGACCGACTTACTTGGGTGTTCGATTGATGGAGCAGGTGAGTGATTTACAGTAGATAGCCCTTGCTTCGACTGATGAGAATTTACTCTTTCAAGGAACCAGAGTAAACCATGTAATCCCAGTAATCTCCCTGATTGAGACTGAAAAAATAAAAAGAACTAAAAAAAATTGGACTTTAGGTATACCGTGATTGTTGTTTTTCTGCAGGTGATTGAAGATTATTGAGACCTGAACTGTTGATGGTTTTGTGACCCAAAACGCCAATGAATTGTTCTCCCTCCCTCCCTCTGTGTGTGTGTGTGTGTCTTCAAAGCCTGCAATGGGGCTCAATTTATAACTAAAACTCAATCATCTTCCACCTTATGATCGCCAATCAATCAGGACCCTTGTGCACTAAAAGCAAAGAACATACTCCTAGTGTTCTTGGCCTCTTCTGCACAGAGCAAAAATTGAAAGAAAATATGTAGTGTGTGCAGGTTTGTGAATTGCAGCGCACAAATTGCAAGTGGTGCAGTGGTTGAACCGCGATTCCTGGCTGGTACAATTGCCAGCCAGGAATCGCAAAACCAGACATTAAAGGATTTGTCTTCAAGAAAAACGATAAACAGTACTGGAAGTTGAATTTGAGTTGCAGCAAACGACAGGTCCTTCGGTTACCTTTGGTTTTGTCCTTCGCTCTTCAATTTCAATGTAGTCCCTGAGTGTTTCAATTTTCTACAATTACACTCTTGATTTTCATTTCGATTGTATTCCTATTGGCTTTCAATTTCATTCAATTGTACCCCTATTTCATTCAATTTCATCCCTAATTGATTTTCAATTTCTAATCTGGTTGTTTTTAATTTCAATCCCTATTCTCTTCAGTTAAACCCCTGATTAATCATTTCATGCAAGATTTTTTTGTGATTTTTTTTCTGTGTGTATATATATATATATATATATATGTTGTTGGTTTTTTTTTGATAAATTAATTATGTAATAAAACCCTCCTCTTTTTAAAAAAAATAAAAGATAATTCCTAAAATTAAACATAAAGTTAGTAATGGTAAATATTTATCAAAGTAAATATAAAAATAAAAGCAAAAATAAATAAATAAAATAAAAACGAAAATACTAAAAAATAACTGAAAATAAATATATCCAAATTTTGGGTTATTACACCCTTAATGAGACCAAGTACAGTAGAATCATACTCTACGATAATTATCATATGAAAAGATCCAAAATGATCACATAATAAGAGCATACCTTGATGTTCTTTTGATTGAATGGAATAGAAAAGCATCTGTGTCTTCATTATGGTTACAATTGAAGGGGAAAGCGCTTGTAATTAACAAGGAGAAGTGACTTGATAGTTGATATGGCTTTCCAGTTATATGAACGAATTCCGTGAGGACAAATAAGTTTGGCAACAAAGTTAAAATTCAATATTCTGCTGCAAACTTTGATGTTTGCGCAATTCACGTGCATGCCGCTTCCTGATTCCATTTCTAAACAGAGTGCTAGCAGCACTCTTTGTTTCTCTGCGAAATGAAGAACAAATTTTGCTCTTCTCAACTATTTTCCTTTTCAAGTACTCTGCCGCCTGTGCCTGGACTGAATGAGCAAACAGAATTTGGAACCATCAAACGAAAAGGAATGTTTAAAAGAGTTTGGCATGAATCTTATCTACCAACCCTTAGTCGCTTGGAGTAATTAGAACCACAAATAAACATCCACAAAACAGTTGCACTAAATCCAAAGTAGTTAGCTCTGAGGTTCAACATTAACTAGTTCATTTGCCAAAGTTGATAAGGTTATCAAATACAATTAGCTACTATTTGCAGAATGGAAGAGATATAGTTCTTCAATATGTCCCCACGACTGAAAACTGCATAAGAAAGATTTATAGATAGAAGCTAATGTCGCATGAACAAAAATAATGCAAACCTCATGTAAAATCTGAGATCATAGCTGCATGAAATGCAAAAGAACATTCATTATATATCCCAATAATATTATGTGAAACCTCGAGTGGCAATTGCTAATGTAGATCATTTAGTCCTAAAATTTCCAATCCATCCAAATGGGCCACAGGCGCAAATACTATTAAATTGAGAAGATGAGGCACAAAATTAGTAGAACACACCACACTGTAAAGGGTCAAACTGCTCTATATGAATTTGATCACTTATCTCCTTGCCTTTTGGACTTAAAAACACAAAAAGAAACGCTGCATGCCTACTTATTATCGATCTTAAAGCTATTATGTTAAGTAACCTGTGTTCACTAAGTCATGAAATTCCAGAAAAAAGCCAGTAAACAAGGATACAATTATATTTAAAATTGCAACGGGTAAGGCAACAGAAAGAGTGGTTCTGCTTACTCCTATAAAAAGCTATGAAAGCCATACACTATCTTGGAAGAATTCCTCTTGGTGGTTGCAGCCTGTCTTCCTGAGTCATGCTAAAACTCTGTGGCATGGTACATATTATAGAAAATTTCACCAATACGTGCATCACAAACTGGCACAATATAAATGGTGGTCTCTTTCCACATGAATTAGCTTTTGAAGTGAGAACTTGCAATACCATCACCATTGTCAGCGTAAATTTTACCATTTTCTAACATCCATGATCTCTACAAGCTTAATTTCATTTGGCTGCAGCTTATGAATATCAAACTTCAATTTTGACAAACGAAAAGAGCGGATATGCTTTCTTCCATGCAACAATGATTAAAGTATCCAACATTACCCTTCATGCTTTTTTGCTTACTTGTTTACATCATTTTGTGCACAAATCAGATCCCAACTCTGCTTTCTTTATGAATAGAATGTAGCCATGTAGAATAGATAATATTCATTGCCAAAATCAACATAAAACTAAGAGTTCAAAACTAAAATATAAGTTGTATAACACATCATCGAAGTTTGCATCTCATAAGCCTGATTCATTATCATAGCTGATCAGATGCTTTACATGCATATTAAAGTATTAAAAACATGAGAGTAAGAACGTACCAGAGCCTGAAGCTGCGGATTTCATAGCACGGTCCTTGAACCTCTTTATCTCTTCAATAATCAGTGCATTTTCAAATAACTCGCCTGTTTTTGCATCTGCAACATCCTTATTTCGAAAGCAGGCTACGGCTCTTTCACTTGCCTATACAAGCAAAAAATCGAAGTGACGGCTCGGGTTAAAACAGCTCACGGCTATTACGTCATCATAATGAAAGTTAATCCAGGGAGTTATATTATCAAAAATAAGTAAACTATTTAGTACATAACAACTGAATTTTGAACCAAAAAAAAAAAAAACCTTAACCTGTATAGCAATAAAATAGAAGTCATTATCAAGCGAATGGTGAGCAAAATTTAGCCATTCCAAATACGAAACTTGTAGTGATTGGTCACTGCTAGACTTAACATCACGCAAAAGCAATGCCTCGTATTTCAGCGCCAAACAACTCTGTACAAATAGAACACGGGAAATTCACAATAATAACGCAGAGATTGCCAGTAAGTTTAATTAATTGAAGGATAAAAATTTGGAAAGAGTTTGTGCTTGCCTCGATGTCGCCTATGAGAGCGAAAGCGCGAACAAAGAATTGGAGAGTGAAAAGCTTCTGTTTGACAGTTTTATCTTTGATTTCGTGAATAACAGAGAGATATTCGGATCTCATGAACTGTTTCAAGTCTGATCGTGTTTCGATCAGCGATTTCACGTCTTTGAAGACCAGAACTGATTCTAGAATTCGCAGAATTTCGTCGTTGAATCTGCAAAAGCAAGAAGAGATTGAGTGAGTAATTTCATTTGGTGAGGAATTGAGATGATGATTGAAGAGATCTGAGGGTGGAATTGTAGAAATAGGAACCTTCTGTTTGTAATTTGAGAGCGGAAGAGGGAGGTATGGTGAGGAGTTTGTGTGAGTCCTGACATTTTGGGAGGGAATTGGCCAAGGGCGGGAGGCTGTGACTTATGAGTGTCGGTTCAGTTTCGGTTTAAAAGATTTGGACGTCGGGGAGCCGGCCCACGTGTGAATTCCTGCAATGCAAATTATACTGTCTAGGCCTTGATTGGATTTTTAATTTTGTTTTGCTTTTTTTCCCTTACGTTTTTAATATTTTTTTGTGTTTAATGGTATTAACAATTAACTGAAATGAAAAAAGGAATTTCATTTATTTAGATTTTTAAATTGGTTTAAGAATAAATTAGTTTTATAGCATTACATTTCTCATGTTGAATGAAGTTCTCCCTCATGTATTATATTTAATTAACAGAAAGCTTTTTCGATAGTACAAAAAAACTCACACAATATTCCAATCCAATTAATGGGTTTATCTTGAGATAACTGTTGTACATTTTACTTATAATTATTTATTTTTTACTACTATTTTATCGGCTGAACTATATATACATATATATAACACCCTTGCCTAGTGATCCTCATTGCCTCTTGCTATGTTAATATGACCAAAAACATAATGGGCCTCTTCTGAAAATACAAGGGGCCTTGGGAGTTGGGAGTTGGGATTAAGTTTATTTAGCAAACTGCAAAACTAGTAAACCGAATAAAAATTTGAGTTTCACTTAACCCATTCAGCTCTTGCCGTTGAAATTATTATACGGGTTTGGGGGAGGCTCCACTACGACTTGGCCGGGAATTTTCCTACAGGTGGTAACCAACCGCCCCTTGACCCTTGGCGCTCAGCCCTTGACATAGTTCAAGTCGCACCTCACCTCCACCTCACACTCCCAACTAAAAAAAATTTACATTGCAGAATCAAAGAGAAACAATGGCAGGACGCAACCATCTCCGACTCCGCGAAATCCCTTTATCCCGAGTGGCCCTCCTGCCACACCCATCCACCGAGCCACGCCACCTCCACTCCCGCCCTCACCGCCACCTCCTCGAAGACCGAATATCAATCCAACACCGTGAGATCCAATCCCTTCTTTTAGACAACCAACGACTCGCTACCACGCACGTTGCGTTAAAACAGGAACTCTCTCTATCACAGCAAGACCTTCGTCACTTATCAACGCTTGCTGCTGATGTTAAAGCCGAGCGAGATAATCAAGTTCGTGAAGTCTTTGAAGGATCATTGAAATTGGACGCTGAGTTACGGTCTATCGATGCTACGAGTGCTGAGCTTGTTCAGGTAAGGACGGATGTACAGAAACTTACTGTGCAGCGGCAGGATATGGCTGCACAATTGAAGGAGATGAATAGTGAAATTGTTAAGGCTAAAACGGAAACGCAGCAGGTGGGTGGTATTAAAGCGGAGATTGAGACTGTACAGAAAGAGATTCAAAGAGGAAGGTAAGACAGGAAAAAAAAAAAAACTGGGCTTTATAATTGAAGGATTAATTTGATTGGATGGATTAGAATTTAAAAAAAGTGAAGGAAAATGTGATGTTAATTTGGTTTTGCTATGTTTTGTTGGGTGTGATCAGGGCTGCTGTTGAATACGAGAAGAAGACACGGGCGATTAATCTTGAGCAAGAAAAGGTTTTGGAGAAAAATATGATTCTTTTGGTTCGAGAAATTGAGAAACTTCGCGCTGAGTTGGCCAATGCAGAGAAAAGAGCAAGGGCAGCAGCTGCTGCGGCCAACCCAAGTAACTCTCAATAAATGTAACATACCCTCAAATTTTTGTGAAAAATATAGAGCTTGACATTCTGAAGTGTGTTGTTCAGGTCCTGGATATGGTGGAAACTTTAGCAGTGCTGAAGTGGGATATGGAGGAAGTTCATATCCTGATACTTATGGCCTGCAACAGGTGTGTGCTCACTATTCTTGTGTCTTTTTAAAATGGTGAACTTTAGTGTGCCATTTCTGACACATATGCAGTTGAGTGTAGGATCAATAGCAGTATCATAACTTGAAATATATAGATGTATATCAATTGGTGCCGAAGCACATATGTTTGCAGAATCCATATAGTTGTGAAACACAGAAAAGTCGTGCATTAATAGTAGAAAGCATGGTTACCAAGTTACAAAATTCGCCATAAAAATTGTGAATTGTTCATCGCTTGTTAGTAACCAAATAATCAAAGCTCAAGTGGTAGGGGGTGGGGGACATAGAGATCCCCAGTTCATTCCTTGGTGCTCTTCAGAAATATGACTAATCACTTATAGTTGAAAACCAATGTCATATGACGTGCACGATGTAGTCATGAAAATGCCTTGTTGCTCAGTACCATCTACTTAACCTAAGCAAATGTCAATTGATCAATGTAGATGCATCTTTCAAGATATTTTGATTTGATATGAATCAAAATCAACACTGTATGGATTGCACTTGAACTCATTACAGGGTGCACCTTAAAATTTGAGAGAAATACCCCTTCATCATGCATAAAAACCATGAATGGCATGTTTGAATTGTCTGCTTGCATATAAAAACCAGTGAGCACTTTGCATTGGAAACAGAGCTCTCACTGAAGTGTCTGCTTACATATGAATGGCATGTTTAAACCTCATACAATGTGATTTCTGACCTCCAAGAAAAGATGGAGACTTGAATAACTTCTAAATATACTTTACGTTTCAGGTTCAGGTTGGTAGTGATTCTGGTCCTACATTTGCATCTGGAGCCATATCTAGTGGCCTCTATGACACTGCACATAGATGAGGTTCTTTCACCAGGACAACCAAAATGTCAAAATCATACTGTTGTTTCACTGTGGGAAGCGTATGAATTCCTTAGGAAATTTCCTGCTTTCAAGGATATAGATGTTGTGCCTTCCAAAAATTTGCCTTAATTTATGAATTTTGTATCGTGTTAGCTTCGTGATATTTTTTTCCCTGAGGAATGCCTAGTCATGCGATGAATGATGGGGGAATACGATCGCTTTACCTGGCCAAGGGAAACTGTTTTAAGGATTTTATTATTATTATTATTATTATTATTATTATTTGCCAGTTTGTTCTCTCTCGAGCACTTTGCATGTACCTGTAGTGAATTACTTTGTAAACAGGTGAAGAAAAGCAGCTCTGTAATTGTAAAGGGATACATGTACAGGAACTACTATGACAAACATTGTAGCTCTTTTATACTAACGAAGAAAACGGAACAAGGAATCTTAGCTGATTCATTTCCTTTGTTTACTTCTTTGAACTTGCTTGAAAGTTGAGCAGATGCTGGGCTGTGAACAGTGAAGTGATTTTTTATTTTGAGTTAACAGGGTCCCCTTTTCTTGACTTGTTCTTCGAAGTACAAAACTATAAATTATGAATGCTCTGGCCCGGGGCCCAAGCGGAATATGGATCATCTTTTCCCCAGTCCACGGCCCGAATTTAAAGAGAAAATAATTAAAATTACAAGATATACTGAAACAAAACGTAAAACTACTGTAATATTTTTACTGTGGATTGACTGTTCACTTTTTTTTTTTTTCATTCACTATTTTCGTTTTATTTTCATTTTGGTGTTGCATTCCTCTTTTAGCTTTATTTTCGTTTTGATCCTTATTTTGTAACATTTTTTTTATTTTGGTCATACTTTTTTTTCTGCATTCACTCTTTTGGCTTTTAGTGAATTTTATTTTCATTTTATTCCCTACTTTGTAGCCTTTTTTATTTTGGTCACTTATTATTATTATTTTTTTTTGCCACATTCCCTCTTTTGGCTTTTGGTGAATTTTATTTTTATTTTTGTTCTGTTTTGTAACTACCAATATTATTTTGGTTATTAAAATTTTATTATATTTGATTTTTGTTCCCATAATAAATATTAAAATTTTATTATATTTGATTTTTGCTCCTATAATAAATATTTTTTTCTTGCCTTTGAGTAAGAATTTATGCTCTTTTTTTATTTCAATTTTGTGATATGTTTTTATTTTAATCATTAAAGTTTTATCATATTTGATTTTTATCCTTACTATACTAAAACTAAATAAAGTTTCACTATCCTAAGTTTTTTTTTTTAGTAAAATTTTTTTTCTATTATAATTTTTGTTTTGTGATTTTTTCTTTGTTTTGGCCATTAAATTTAGTAAAAATTTATTTTTATTTTAGTCCCTATTTTATAATTGTTTTTTATTTTGATTATTAAATTTTTATTATATTTGATTTTTTTCTCTACAAGGAACTATTTTTTTACTTTTAGTAAAATTTTTTGTTATGTTTTGGTTTTCATTTTGTGATCTTTCTTTTATTTTGATCATTAAAGTTTTATTATATTTGATTATTATTCTTTTTACACTAAAACTAAATATAGTTTCACTATTCCAATTATTTTTTTGTTTTTTTTTTTTTTTTGCTTTAGTAGAAAACATTTTCAGCTTTGGTAAAATTAAATTCTATCACGTTTTACTTTTGTTCTCGCCTTATATATAATGAATTTTTTTTGCCTTATAGTTTATAATTTTTTTTTTTTTTTTTTTGCTTTTACCGAGAGTTTTTTAAATTTATTTTGATCCTTCTTTTATGATATTGACTTTACATTATATTACTCAACTTTACAAACTTCTTTCGCATGATCCTTTTAAATAATTATTTTTAAATTTCATATTTTATATAAATAAATAAGAATGTTGTATAGCTTACTCTACGACAACGCACGGGATATATACTAGTACATAACTAAATAAAAATATTAGAAATGATCCGTCATATTTTACTGTGAATACAATTATAGTTGCGTTATTTGAATTAAAATGGTTAGACAGGACATAAACTTGTCATAAGATTTTAGCTTTATATTTGAAATGTAGTATTAATTTATTATAATTTTATAAAACTCATTTATTTATATATTTCATGAATTGTATCAAGATAAATTGATAATCTGTACCAAAAAAAAAAAGATAAAAAAAGAGCGTTCTTATCTTTTGAAAGCATGAAATAATGTACGTATGTATTTACAATAAAAAAAATAATACAAGTTTGCTTTAAGAAAAAATTATACTACCAGCGTGTGAGGATATAAATTTAAGAATACAGGATAATGATACTTAAATCTTGCAATAGATGTCAAACTAAATATACACTATTGATAATTTTTTAACTTAAAATTTTTAAAAATATTTTCGTCTTTTTAGAAAAATAAGCAATTTTACATCTTGAAAAACATCCTATGCTTTTTAAGCGGAACCATGCTTGATAACATAGAACCTTATGTGCCCTCGTGATTCTTATAGTGGAACCATGTTCTTCAAAATGGAACTTGATATACCTTGTAACCTGATTCACATTTCACTTCTTAAAATTAAACAATTATAAAACAAACTAAAGTAAAACATAATTTTACTATTTAAAATACTATCCATATACTCACAAATCATTATTCCGTTCACTATTCAAGTCATCTTTTTAACATTTTGGTCCTCAAATTTTCTAATTTTTTTTTTAATTTCAAACTTTAATTATATTGTGATTTGATCCCATTTTGTTTTAGTGTTTTTTGTTAATTATTTTTTTTATTTAAAATTTATCATTTTTTTTTAATTTAAAACTTTAATTTGTAAATTATTTTTATTGTTTAAAATGTACTAATTTAATTTATCAATTTTTTTAAAATTCTCATTCAATTAATTTAAAATTATATTTATTGACAGTTTTAATTTATTTTTCTTTATAAAAAAAATTAAAGTAAAACATAGTTTTATTATTCATTTCACTATTTGAAACACTATTCACACACTGACAAATCATTAGTCCTTTCACTATTCATATCATTTTTTTAACACTTTGGTCCTCAAATTTTCTAAACTTTTTTTTTCAATTTCAATCTTTTATTATATCGTGTTTTGATCCCATTTTGTTTTAGTGTTTTTTGTTAATTATTTTTATTATTTAAAATTCACAATTTAAATTTGTCATTTTTATTTTATTTTTTTAATTTCAAACTTTAATTTTTTAATTATTTTTATTGTTTAAAATGTACTACTTTAATTTATCATTTTTTTAAAATTCTCATTCAATTAATTTAAAATTATATTTATTGACAATTTGGATTTATTTTTCTATATGTATGGATTTTGAAATAATTTTTTAGAACATGATTATTTTTTCTTTTTAAAAATAGATTTAGATCATTTTTAAATTATAGTGGCATGATTAATATATATAATTTATCTAAAATACATTTGTAGGTTACGAGTATATTTCAAATAATTTTTTCTCAATTTTTTATATTATTTAAAATTTACTATATTAATTTGTCATGTTTTTTAGATTCTCTTCTTCTTTTTTTCAATTTCAAATTTTCATTATATTGTGATTTTATCCCATTTTTTTTTAGTGGTATTTATTATTATTTTTTATTATTTATAATTTACTACATTAATTTGTCATTTTTTTAAAAAATTCTCATCTAATTAATTTAAAATTATATTTACTCATAGTTTTGATTTATTTTTCTATATGTATGGATTTTGGAATAAATTTTTAGAACATGATTATTATTTTTTTTCAAAAATAGATTTAGATACTTTTTAAATTATAGTGGCATGATTAATATATATAATTTTTTTGAAATATATTTTTAGATTAAAAGTGTTTTTCAAATAATTTTTTCTCGATTTTTTTTATTATTTAAAATTTACTACATTAATTTGTTGTTTTGTTTTTAAATTCTCTCTCTTTTTTTCAATTTCAAACTTTGATTATATTGTGATTTCGTCCATTTTGTTTAAATATTTTTTGTTAATTATTTTTATTATTTAAAATTTACTACTTTATTTTATTTTTAAAAAAATTCTCATCTAATTAATTTAAAATTATATTTACTAACAGTTTTGATTTATTTTTCTATATGTATGGATTTTGGAATAAATTTTTAGAACACGATTATTGATTCTTTTGAAAAATAGATTTATATAGCTTTTAAATTATAGTGGTATGATTAATATATACAATTTGTCCAAAATACATTTTTAGATCAAAAGTATATTTCAAATAATTTTTTCTCAATTTTTTTTTAAAAACACAAATTAATTAATTAGTAGTTGAAAGTCAAATGTGCAAAATAAAAAGAAGATAGTTGATATGTGCGTGAGGCCTATATTCAAGGACTAGTCATGCATAACATAAAAATAAAATAAAAAAATTTGAGGAGGAAAAAGAAAAAGAAAAAGAACTCACATGTTTTATTAATTTTTTTATTCTTTATATAATCAAAATTATTTGAAATCAGATTTGTAATAATTTTTATTTTAGTATATTAACTTCAAATTTAGTCAATATATTCCTTGCGAGTTAACTTTTTATTATAGTTTTTAATTTTTTATATATTTTTTGTTTTAGATTGAAAACTCTAAACTCGCTTAGTATAGTTATGATGTATAAAAAATATTAAATCATTATTTTTTTAGAAATCAACTACGCAACTACTACTATACTAAGCATTTATTATTTATTTATTTCTGAATATTTTAAAATTAACTTATTTTAAACTAAACAATTAACATAATGCTTTGACTTAATCACTCAATGATTCAAATTAATATAGTTTTTTATTTTAATATTATTCGTTCTTTTGCAAATAAATATATAAAAATTAAATTCACATTTTTTTCAAAAATTGATATTCTCATCAACATTAAATAAAAATAAATTATTTATTCAATTCTATATAAGCTTTTAATAATTTTTAATTTTGTTTTTCGACACAATATTATGAAATACTAAAATTTTTTTAAAATAATTATTTAATTTTCTTTATAGTTAATGATCCATGGATTAATAAAGATGAAACCTCTTTTTAAAGAAAAAATTATGAAAAACACAAATAAAAAGTTGTTAAATACAAAATTTTTGGTTAAATAATTTTTTTTACCTTTGATTTCATATATTTTTATAAATTCACACCATAAAACATACAATCAAACTGAAATAATTTTTTTTAAATAATTTTATATATTTTATTCAACACACGACGTAACACAAGGAAAAAAAACTAATAAAAAACCCAAGACTTTTAAAATAAAACCTAGTATGGTTTACAAGTAAATACACAACCAATTCACTTTGTAAAATCGAGCAAAAAGAACAAAAACGAACCAAAGGTACCCCCCAAACAGCCAAAAAAACGGATAACGTGCACTAAAACTACATTAGAAAGTAATAAAACCCTTCCAAAGAACTTATTTGGGTGGGTATAACAATAAAATTCTTAAAAAGCCACTTTTATCAGCCAATTGAATGCGTGCGTCTACGGTTTCAATTGCTTATGGTACATCGACGCCCACTGGTTTAAAACCCCGCATATTGTCGATCAAATATACATGCACAGGCCGTTAGATTTTATTATCCTTTTGAAACTGCACAAGCCATTAGATTTGATTCCAGAATTCACCTAACATTATAGAACCAACAAATTAATTGACCCACCCAAAATCTATAAAATATGAAACGAGAAAACATCAATTTACAAAAATAACAAAACAAATTCAGTAGAACTGAACCATAAATTGTCAAACACCGCCTACCAACCACTAAACCTTAAATTCATAAAACCCCGAAATGTCAGGAACAGCAAAGATATCACGGATTGTAGGTCGCATGGGAACAATAAAGCAGTCAATTGTCTCCGAGAAACATGACAATTGTCGCAATAAGAGGCCACCAGCACACCACTCCAAACACAAGGAGTTTCTCTGCAGAATTTGAGCAGCTTCCATGCTACTGCAGGTTAACAACTTGGAAGCCAAGACACTAGAGATGGAAGAACAGTTTCCAGAAGGACGCAACAACCCTTTCATAGCATGTGGTCAGTAGAACCAATCTGCTCTCTCAAACACTGGTAGACCCAAGAGACCCAGCCATCATTCGATGATCGCTCGTGTTAATAGTAACAAGATCACATGTAACTCTAACCAGCATTCCTAATGCATTTTATAGCAATTACTATAACCAACTCAAAAGAAAATTTTAATAGATTATGGCCCTTTCAGATCATGAAATCAACATGTTCATGGTTTGTACGAGTTAAAATCGTGATCACATAAGACTGCTATTATAAATCACCAGGAAATACTAACATAACAAAAAAAAAAAAAAAGGAGATGCAAGAAATTTCTGCACACGCACAGCATATTATTTCATGCATACAAAGATCTATCTAATGAAGTACGGAAAATATCTCATATAAACCTAGTTTCACTCTCAAGAATAAGGAAAATACATCAATAGAAATGGGATTCTTCTTCATGGTCTTGCCCTGCCCAATTTAAGAAAATTGCCTAAATTCCATTTGTATGTCAAATATTATCTACCAACATCAAGCTGGATCACAAAGGGGAAAAAAGGCTACAAAACAGATCGTTGTGGAATTACTATCTCCCAACCAGTATGACAAAACCAAAGCTAGAGTGGCTTGATCTTTTTTCTTTTCCCTACTTTTGTGCTTATTTGCAATATTACATAGGAAAGGATGCATGCACCAAATACAAGTTCCCATGCCTCATTCAAAAGGTGATTCTATAATGCACCACGTTGCGCATCCTAAAACAAGGATAAAGCGTGATTTTGTAAGAGGCACAACTCACCTGAAAATATCAACCTACCTTAGCAGCAGACAATTTGGAGTTTATCCACTTGCCTCTATAAAAACATCCACACAATTAAATCAATCCCATGCCTAAAATAGAAGCCCCTCCAGGTAGCAACAGATGAACAAGGAAAGGAGAAGAAGGGGTATTGCTCAGTGCATGTGAACAACCTACCTCTTAGTCTCCAGGTTCAAGAACAACCCCAGGAAATGGAATATAATTAAAACCCTCAGATCTTAATTCTTAGTACATAAACTCTCAGTAGGGGCGTGATCGGTTTCCACCATGATGATGCCTGTCTGGGCCAGAATTTCCACTATCTCGGTAATTATCTCTGCGTCGATCTCCACCACCATAGCCACCTCTACCACCACTGTTGCACAATGAATCAGTAAAAAAGGTGGCCTCAAACCACTACTACATGCTATATTACATTTAAAGAAATGGGATGATGTCAAAATTAAACATTTGTTTTCCCCAAAAGTACTTCCATTGAGGGGTAAAGAACTTGTGAAAAACTAAAATAGATACAATTTCAGTAAAACGAAAGCTAATAAACACAACTTCTGAAAAAACAGGCTTTCAAATGCTCAACCTATTTGAGAACAAACTGTTGACTAGTATGACAGGTTTTGCAGGCCACAAACCGTCATAAAAGATCAACTATTATCGATTACAAATTTTATCCTACCTGTGCCAACTATGGAAAGCACCAAAGAAGTCAGTACAAAAATAAACTATGCATCCAAATAAAGCACCAAGTGCCAATGAACGCTTAACCTCAAGAAAATATATGTTTGGTCATCCATTTTTGTTGCACGGTAACAAATCATGCCCCAGGGTTATTAAAACCCAAAACAGAAGTTTAAATGTGATGACAATAGAAGCAAGTCAATCCAAACCCTCGATGCTATTTGATACAAATAAAGGATTATTCAAGCTAATAAAGCCTGTTCTTCAGGTTTAAAATGTAATCAGATACTAGTCCCCCGAGGTTTAACTTTTGAAAATTTCCAATCTTAGAATTTCATAAGTTATAGCTGAGATCACAGAAGAAGGAAAAAAAAAAAAAAAGGAAGCAACAACCAAACTACCAACATATATCTCACTCCCATTATTTCAGTGTTGTTGTGTTTCATACTCCCATTCAAAAACCTGAATGAGGGATCATAGCTGAGATTGAACAAGGAAAAGAAAGGAGCAATCTTCTAAAAAAGGCAAATATGTGACAGAAATTAGTAATAAGCTCACAACAAAGCCCTTGACTCATTTCTGTCACATATTTGCTTCTTTTGTTTGAGAAGATTGCTCCTTTCTTTCCCTGGTCGAATCGCATTGATGATCCCTTATTCAGCTTGGAAGATTACACCTAGATTGCTATTACTAATAATAGTTAAGGGTTCAGAAAGCACAATATAAACATGGAACTACAACAAGACATTAAACCTCCCTATCCATATGTATTAAGCAAGTTGAGCAATAGCAATTTTGCATCTTTTCTTTTTTGGATTAGATTTTTGCAATTCAATGAGAAATGGTGGACCCTGGGAAAGAAAAGAAACTCCAATACGACATAAAAATGCACATACAATTTCAAAATACCACCAGTCGATCAGACATAAAGTATACAAAAAGATATGTGCCTCAGAATCTCCAAAATCACAGCTGAATTAAACTTTTGCTAGTTACAAAAAGGAGGGCATAGTTAGAGGAGATACCCATGGTCATATGCAGGTTGCCTCGGGGCTGACTTCTCTGCCATTGCAACATTGATTTTATAGCCCCTCATGTCATAATCTGGAAAATCAACACACCGTTACAAAGTAAGATAAAAGTTGTCCACAATGTTTATCAGGCAACTTATTTAAGAAGAGAGTGCTGAATAGGAAATGGAGAAACAGTTGCATGGTCAATACTGTTGTAAAAACCGCCAGCAGAGTGAGCAGCAGATGGGTCTTCGTAAGCCAAACATGCATCGCCTTTGTTGTTTCCCTTCTCATCTGTGTATATCTTTATATTCCAGGGCCATTGATCTTTATAGCCCCGCTTTTGCTTAATCCTTCCAACCTACAATTACAGAGTTTCCAGATTAATTTAAGCACTACAAAACCATAATACATAAAGAGTTCAAGGCATCCAGAATTGTCCTTTACGACATCCTTTGACACCAGATCAAGGGAATGAGCATCCAGAATTCCTCATATGTAAGCACTATGATCATAGCACATGAATACTATGAGCTAAACCCACCACAACAAAAGAAAAGCTGCTACATAAGCAACACGAAATTGAAATTCTTTCAAACAAACAAGGGCATTAATAATCTTTTTCATTCATTTGGGAAAACATCAGAAAGCAAAACCTTTGAAAGATAAAAGTCCCATAAATTTTTACTGTAATTTGAAAAATAATTTCTGGTAAGTTACTGCAAAGACAAGCAATTATGTAGAAAATTACAAAATCAACAATTTCTGCCAAACAACATGCATCTTCAGCCCCATCCCCATCCCCAAATTCAAAATTCATGAATATAAAGCGAAAGAAAAGATCGGGAATTACTTGTCCAATGCCTCCAAAAAGTTCTCTCAGTTCTTCAATGGTCACATCAGGTGGCAAATTAGATATATATATTCTTGAGTTGTCACAAGTATCATCACAATTATCATCACACTGCTTAATTTTAGCCGGGGCATCAGCAGGAGCAGCCCCGTAACCAGTGCCTCCCTGATATCGAGAACCACCGCCACCACCATACCCACCTTCATAACTGCCAGGTTGACTGCCTCTTCCACCACTCCTTACCTCACCCATAGCATCACCACCATAACCACTAGCAGGGCCACCATAAGATGGAGGGTATGATGTGGGTCCACCAGTATAGCTTGTTGGGGGAGGAACTGCTTCCATTCCATAGTTAGCATTGGCACCATATGAGTTAGGAGGTGGTGCGTAAGTACCTCCACCACCACCATGAGAAGGAAGAGACGGTGGCGGTGCCTGATTGTATCCACTATCATCTCTTCCTTGATTGCCACCATAAGATCCACCTCTATTGCCACCTCCTCGGCTTCCGTCATTGTAATTGCTACTTCTATTACCATCATAACTACCACCACCTCTCCCCCTCGATTGCTACCATATCCTCCACCACTTCCTCCTCTATTATAACCACCACTGCGATCATTTTGGCCAGCAGCAGGAGAAGGAGCACCGCATTTATTACACTCAGATCTTCTTGCAAAGTTCACATTCCCACAGCTACATACACATATATACCAGTTTCCATTACAAAAACTCACAAATACTATAACACAACAACTGAATCTTAAATATAACCAATCCTGATAAATCTTAAATTATTAATCATCAAAAAAGCATTAAGCCTAACTAAATCACGTAACAGAGAGAAATTACGTTGGATCAGGGCAAGGCCAATCACCGTCCCTGCCGCTTCCACCTCGGCCACCACCTCTGCCGCCGCCGCCGCCTCCTCTTCCACCACGATCTCCTCCTTGATATCCACCTCCTACAGATCAGATCCAACAACAATTAAATACTCAAAATCAAAAGAACATATCTCAAAACCCTAACAGTTAACAATTCAAACTATTAAAAACAAATTAATTAGCTAATTATCTCGACTTTGCGAATTACCACCATATCCTCCACCTCTACCGCCGCCGCCACCTCGGCCACCATATCCACCGCGGCCCCCGCCACCTCCACCATAGCCACCATCGCCTCCATACCCTCCATATCCACCAGCGGCGCCGCCTCCATATCCTCCTGCACCGTATCCACTTCCACCTCCACCGCCGTAAGATGAAGGACCAGAATCGCCATCTTGACCATACATACCAGACATTATCTAGCTTCTGTTTAGCCCCTTTTTTTCCTCTTCTTTTCTTCTTTCAGTTCTTGCTTCGTTTTCTCACGGAAACGACGCGGTGTAGACAGAGAGATTTAGGGTAATGACGTTATCTGTTTTGCTTTTGCGCGAGTGACTTGATTATATAGAGTCAGGAATTGACTAGAGAGGCAGATATTTTCCACAATTTCGTACTGTGAAATTACCTTATTTACAGGTTAATCCTAAAACAATTAAATAATCAATTTAGTACCCAGTGTTTAAATTAACTCTCCACAATTTTGGGACCTCAAATGTCAAATTATGTTAAACAAGTACTAATTCTTTAAAAACTTTTGATTGACTGTTACACTCTTAATACAATACTAATATTATAACATATCGCCGATACTAATATCTAAATACCACCCCACTCTTAATTAAGGAGAAAAAAGTTAAAACTGAAGAAATTCTTAAATCCTAAAAAATAAATTGATCTCGTTTTCCATTATTTAGTCTTATATATTAATCACATACAATCCAAAATAATATGAAATAAGATTCGCAAATCAATCCTAACCTATATGTGATATTATTAAATCTTTTTTTTTTTACCTATAAAAACTCTAAAAATACTTAGACAAGAGTCCAAAAACACCAATAATATTAAAATCGAACTATATCAGAGTTGATCAAATTGTTAAATTGGATTTTTAGATTTTATAGAATTTTTTTATTGTATTATATTACTTTTTACTTTTTTTAACAAAGTTATCCATAAATTTTGTTTTATTTATTTTGACAACTTTTATAATTAAAAATATTTATTCAAATAAAGGTTCATAAAATTTAAGTTTTGCTAATATTATATATAATTAAAAATAACTCCTTCAAATAAAAAGATTAATTCTAATGCCATAGTATTGTACTAAAAGTTAGTAAGACTTTGAATAAAATTTATGTTCACACAATGCGCATTGCATTTTCATACAATATAAATAAATTAGAGATAATTACTAGAAAAACTTTTTAAAAAAATCTTTTATCTAATAACTCATCGATTTATTTTTAAATCTCTCAAATTCAAAACAATATTTTTCTTCTCAAAATACCCAATAGTTAATTATTCGGTGTTTTGATAAAAAAAAATATATTATTTTTTATTTGAGTGATTTAAAAATAAATTGGTGGATTTTTATTTTAGATAGAATAATGTTTAGAGTGTTTTTTGGTAATTATCTTTAACTAAAAAAACCATTATATTCCAATACATGTATTTCTACTATGATGCTCATGTTCTATTTAATTAACACATCAAGATATATTATACATTTATTATGTAATTTAATTTAATTACTTGATAAAAAAAATGTTAAATTTAGAATAATTACAAACCAGTACAACCGGTGGCGCAATGACTCGAAAGACAAGCTGACAGTTTTTCCCGTATGCCTGCAAGTGCAAACTGCAAAGTTATTAGATTATTGGTTTTTTTTTTTCTGGTTCGACATTAGAATGTCTTCCTAAATTAGTTTTTGCAGTAAATTGAAACTAAATATAGTTTTCGGATAATTTTAAAAGCACATTTTTAACACCGACTTTGTCTATTTTAAAAAATAAATTTCTTTTAAGTATTGACATCAAAATTTGAACTAAAAAAATGAAAGAGGTGCAAATCTTCTTAACCACCGGCTCGGATATGACATTAGAATGATGTATAGATAAAGTGTATAATTATTCGACATAGAATAAAATAAATGAAATATGAAGTGATAATGAATATTGAACTTCAATAACTTCACCTATACCTAGGAACAATCTCGTAAATTTTTTCAGGCTTCATAATTTTGTCTTACACATCATGTGGGTTCCACTATTGGTAAAAGGCAACCACAAGGAGAATCCAACCTGAAACGTCTACCCTACTCCGAAGGCAAACCACACCGTCCTACTTGCTAGATATTTCTGAAGGCAATCAACTAGTAGTATTTATTGGGGATGCCGTGAGCGAAATTTTTTTCATTTCAACTAGAAACAACCGCAAAATTTTGACAGGAACAACCGACATCTTTTTCCTGAATCTTGTGCTCGAACAGTGTAAAGATTCCTGCAGTGCATATTAAAATCTCGTACAACAACTATCATGCACTGCATAAAACTGAGGCAAATCAAAAGGGTGCAAAAACGCCTCAAGATCCCTCCATCACATGAAATTGTGTATAATTGTGTTTAAGGTTAGCGAGATCATCCATTTGAAGAGATATGTCCCATACAGAGACTCAGAATGAGAAGTGCGAAGTTCAAGACGAAACCTACAGTTACCTACTGATGGATCAACTGTTGTGATCAAACCCAAACCCCCAAAATCACAACTGTCTGCGCTTTGATCATGCAACTGGTAATAGTTATTGAAGGCATATGATATATTTGCAGGCCAGCTGATATTGAAACAGGATCCACCAGGAGAAAGTGCAGTGCAATCAGCAGATGAACAAGCATCCAAAGCGCTTGCAGTTGCGTTGGACAGGTCCTTGTTATTATTAACAACACACCACTTGGAAGAAAGATATTCAACATATTGTGCGTTTGCTAGATTCTTTGAACCCTGACCAAGATCAACGTTATATTTGGCTTGGCCATCAAAGGTGAAAACTCCCCAATGTCTCTCAAAATTTCCAGTAACTAAGCTTCTCTGGTCCTCGTCTAGTAGGCTTAATATGTATGTCTCTAATGGAGGATTCCGAGGCCTGAGAGGGGTACCTGATTTGCTACGAAGGTGAACCACTAGACCTTTCATGAATGTCTCTGCAGTGGACGAAGTGGCATTGGTTGCTCCATCCGTAGGCCAACCAATACTTGCAACAACAATATCCATTTGAGGAAACCCAACTGTCGATAATGCAGTAACCAGGGTATCATAGCCTAGGTCAAAACTGTTTTTGTATGTTTTATGGCCATCATTACGAGAGTGCTTGGTTTCTTTGAAGAGACTAAAGTCAAGAGAAATGTTCTTGTTTTGGTGGAAAATAATAAATGGGGAGATGGTCACAAAAAATGGTGAATGGTGCTTACTGAGAAATGTTAGGAGCTCAATCATGGTTTTATTGAGGTCAAGCCTGAAGTGTCCTTTGGAGGGCAAGCCAGATTCTGATTGGAAGGAATCGTAACTACATGGAACCACAACCTTGACCTGGTTTGCCAAGCTTACTCTGGCCAAAGCTGTTTGGATGTTCATGGCTGTCCCAATGACAAAGGGATGGTACTGCTCCCCGTAACTTTGTTGAAACGGCTCATCTCCAATAGCAACATACCTGGAAAATAGTTTGATTAGAAACACATTGAAATGAAGCAACACTGATATCGAATGCAGCTTTTGATAAGAACATTTTAGTAGAAAAGGTAACTACAGATTTCCATAGCTTTACAAGTGCTAAACAATTAAATCTCCCAAAACAACTATTTTGCATTACCACAAAAGCCACCAAAACAAAGAGATGGGATCTTTTGAGGCATTTTTTAATTATACTGCATTGCCTTGTATGAAGCTGAATATTATTTGTTTGCATTTGATAAGAACTATTTGTAATTATTTAGGTATGATGCGAGTGTGCATTACAAGAGGGGTAGATGCACCCAAAAGAATAAATGAGCTGGAATAAGATCATTAAAGCTAGCAGATTCTTCAGTAAAACCGCAGATTGTAAGCAACCATATACTTTGACAAAGAGCAACATGAAATTTAGCTAACAACATACACCCTAATTTCAAAAGCATACTTCAGATCTTCAAATAAGTTTCTGAGTTTTTCTTGCTATCCACCAACTAAAACTAGTAAACTACATTAACAGCAACAATTTAGCGAACATTTTCTATTCACTATACTCGACATCAACAAGGACAGTAGAAGAACACAACATGCTCGACAGCACTAAAACTAACACTTGCGTCACTCTATTCAGCCTCAATTTCAATGTAGTCCATTTCACCTAAATTCAATACTTCCCCATCGCTTTCATTTTTTTGCCGAACTTTGTTTGAACTGTTGTGATAATACAAAATTCAATTTCCGAAGTCCAATCAATCGACAAATCCAAACCAATACATATTTCCACCCCAAATCCAAACATAAACAACAGACCTTGGGTGTGAAAAATAAAATCTAAGCAAACAGGCAAACCACAAATATTCTACGCAAATGGCCACATTTCCATTACCAAACAAAATACTTGAAAACTAAAACCAACCCAGAAATTCAAAACCCACAAGCAAAAAGAAACAACAACAAAAACAACTTGAAAAGAAACATACTCAATTCGAACTCCACTGCTACCACTAGAAACATAGCGGGTAACATTATCATGGACCCAACTTTCTGCAACTTTTGTGGAAGAATTCAAGCTTTTAAGCATGGAATTAGGAATGCCAACAGTGACACCAATGTTAGACCCAGACAGAGCTTGTAACACAAGTGGGTTGGCATCGAATAACTTGACTTTGGTAATTTTGTTAGACTTCAAGAGCTCCACCACTTTGTCCGGTGGTAGTGGATGCGAAGAGTTTGTACCCCAGTTCACACCAATGGCTTGAGCAGTGATGCTAATAGCTGTTGAGAGGAGGAAGAAGAGACAAAGATTTAGAAGCATCCTGGTGTGGTATTGGTGAGTGTGGAAACTGGAAAGTGGAACAAGCAAGATGTTTTTTTTTTTTTTTTGATAATTAATCAGTGAGGTGTTCAAAGAAGGGTTTGTAGGGGTTTGAAGCAGTAGACGGTTCGAACTGTGAAAGCATAAATGACTTTGGTTGGGATTTCTGCTTGTTCAAATTTTATGGACAGACTGCAGTGTGTCATTTTAGCAAGTAGTGTTTTGTTTAGGGGAAATTTGTTGAATTTTTGTTTGTTTGAAAATTATATTGGACCCATTATTCAAATTTATAACTACCTCTTTGTTTTTTTTTTTAAATTAATTGGTTGTTATCGTATTTGATTTTTTAAGAATAAATTTATTTTTTATTGCATCGACTAGCTCATGTTTATTATATTTGAAAGGGAGTAACAACTTAATTAACGTAGTTACAAGAATTTCATTAATTAAGTTTTATAATAAATTGAACCCATAAATATTTATTGCAAAAATATTTTAGTAGGATCATGCAGTTTAATTCTTAATCAATTGAAAAACACTAGAATTTGTAAGGAACAAGTAGAAAGGCCAAAAATTCTTATCCAAAAGGGATTTTAACCGTAATACTTAAGTTTCGATACAATCAATGAAAATAAATGTTAAAAGATTAACAATGAAAGTAATTGAAAAAGAAGAAGAAATACACAAGGAAAAGAGTAGAAGAACTAGAGAGAAACTGGAAAAATGAAGAGTGAGAAGATTTTTGCTAATTTCATAACTTAATTTTTTCACTCTCTTCACTCCTTTTTATTAGCTAATAACTACAACTAATTGCTTAACTAAATGCTATATCTTTTCAAACAATAATTGCTTCTATATGCTTAACTAACTCGCTATATCTTTTCAAATACTAACGACTTCAGTATTAGTTTCATTTGACAATTAATACTCTCAATCGTCTCATTTCACTTGCCAATGCATACCTTGTCAACTTATTAATATAAAGAGTTGCATAAATGCCCTCGCTCTCTAAGAAATCTTGTCCTTAAAGTTAAAATAAAGAAGTTCTCATTGTCTCGGACTATTAACGAGTAGAGAGCAACAAATGCTTTTGAACTCTATGCTTCTACAACAATTTTCAAAACTATTTTTAAAAAGTATTTCCTTTTAGTGAAAGCTATCCAAGACCATTTAAAGCCTTTAAATTTTTTTAAGCAAGATTGGCCTCCACCGCATTATGATTCTATAGCATGTATAGTATGACCAAGAGAGGAGCAACTACCATGTCCCGTAAAAGAAGTAGTCCTAAAGTCGTCAAACCAAATCTTGTAGGAAGCTCACTCATTCAAGCCAAAATCTCCAATATCAAAGTTAAAAATTGTTGATTGAGTACTTATGGCTATGTCAAGCTCTTCTACAACAACATTTCACAACCTATCCAATAACATAGTTTTCAATTCATTAATTCTTTTAAAGAGTTCCACAACTATGAAATGCATTTTTAATTTGTCTTTGAAAATTTTACCACAAGCAGTCTTTTGTAAGCAAAGTGTACTCATCTTCGAGACACAAGAGTATAATTGCTTCCCGATCCATATGATTTCTACAACAAAGCCTTCTTTTTTGATAGCTTAATTTATGATCAATGAAGCCAAATAGAGTCATTTGTGGGTTCAATTTCTACCATATGTACACAAAGTCGAAGGCAACACAAGAAATTATCAATGATTATCTCACTCTCGTCGTTCAATTTCTTCTTAATCTCTACTAAGTAGATTGTTGCTTGAAATCCTAATCCATTTCCAATTGCAATTCAATGGTAACATTTGCTTCAAACGCGAGCTTGTTTTTCAGCTTGCAATACAATGTTATTCTTGTAAAACCGAAACGAACAATTTGATGCTTCTTGTAAACCTTTTAGAAAATATGTATAACTAGACATATACTCCCTTTCTAATGCAAGTAATCCTTGATTTTTAAACCAACGAGATCCATCTCGTGGGTTCAATATCCTTAACATGCATACCATTAAAAAGATGGCAATCCATGAAATTGCTTCAATAGGCGGTTTGGCATAAGAAATTACATCCAACACAACCATCCTCGCCTACAAAATTACTTCCTATAACATCTTCATTCTCAAACTAGAAATTCAAAAATTTCATTTTGTTCGATACTATATATTGAACCTCAAAATCATCACAACATTATTGATTCTTAATATCAATTAAATGCTCTTGTTTAGCTTTATCAATGGAATCAATAACAAATTTACCATCCTCTTTATCCTTTATTTTATCAAAACCCACATAATCAATAAAATCAATAGTTGTAATATTAGACTTAAATTCAATTTGACTCGATTCTTGGATATGTAAGGAAGAGAAAACATCACTTTTTGATTCTATAATACTTGTTTTTTATTGATTCATAAGTGGCAACATATATCTTTTGTTCGTAGAGCTTTCATCTTGCAACAACTCGCTCAAAACACTTTAAAATGTCTTTTTTTAATTGATTAAGCTTCCAATTGAATTCTTGAGCCATTCCATACAAATCTTGATTCAACTTTGCTCTTTTATTCTAGTTTGACGAAGTTGGTCTTTGAATTCACATGGAAACTTTTATTGATGGTTTCACATTCAATTGATTTATAAGTATCCGAAACTAGCAATTTGTCGTTGCTTTCTATTGTTTTTTCATTTTCCAAGACGAAGAGAATCTCTCCCAACATCATCGACCACAATGATTTGGGTCCATGATGGCTTCTTGTAATTGATTTTTTCATGATATTTACCATCACACAAAAAATAAAGATCACAAACATAACTTCTTTCTTTTAACTCATAAATGGTGAAATACCAAATTAGAGCTTTTGATATTTATACCAATTTCTCGTAATTGCTCTAATTGATACCAAAATTCAGCCTTCCACGAGTGCCAAGATTTACTCCGCTATCAATTGATGTAATTCAATTCCTAATCAGTTGAAAAACACTATAATTTGCAATGAACAAGTAGAAAGACCGGATATTCTAATTCAAATGGGACTTTAACCGTAATATTTGAGTTTCAATACAATGAATGAAAACAAATACGAAAAGAGTAACAACGAAAGTTACTAGAAAAAAAGAAGAAATATAGAAGGAAAAGAGTAGAAGAACTAGAGAGAAACCGAGAAAGATGAAGAGGGAGAAAATTTATGCTAATTTCACAACTTAACTTTTTCACACTCTCTTTACTCTTTTTTTATCTATTAACAACTACAACTAATTGTTTAACTAACTATTAACAATTTTTCTAATTACTAACGAGTTTCGGTATTAGTTTTTTTTTTTACAACCAATGCCGCTAACTCGTCCATTTCACTTGCCATCTAATCACCATATCGCCAACTCATATTTTGCCAGCTTCATTAATATAAAGAGTTGCATCAATAAATTAACGAGTTAAAATAACCGAGATGAAAAATAATAATGAATTTCCCATGATCAATTTTTTACCTCGCTATTTTCTCCTCGTTTTTTAAAATTTGAAAAACAACAACAACAACCAAAAAAACACGATATTTATCTTCTTTTTAGGCCAGTTGCTTTTGATTCGTCGGGCTTCTTCCCTCTAAACATCTTGAGATTGAACTTCGTAATTTTTAGTTATTATTTTATCCTTTTCCGCATATTAATTAGGGAGATAATATTGCTTTTCCAAGTTGGTTGTGAACTAAAAAATGGAATTATCTATCCAAGTTAAGGAAAAAAATTGGAATTATATCAAAAGTAGTTAAAAATATTGATAAACTTCCCTATATATAATTACATTGATCACTTAAAGATGTAGTTATAAATTCGAATAAAAAGATCAACCGCTAGAACTCGCGCCGATCCGAGTGCTAAAATGCGGTGGTGACTCCTTGTTTTGGGACGGGAGGCTTAAATTATAATTTTTACTTTTGAAATTTATTTTATTTTATTTATTTCATTAAGTTTTTCGACGAGTTCAAGGCACCGCACGGTGGTGTTATAGGATTCCCCGATTTTTAGACCCCAATTAATCATTGTTTTACCGTTGTTTCGGTCGTATAGTTTTTCTCGCCCTTTTTTGGCATTTAGGCTTTCAATGTTCGTTGCTCCATGATAGTTTTTTTTTTCTGGTTGGTTTTATGAGATTTGTCTGTTGGAGATTATTTTGACTTTTTGACCCTCCGTATTGCTTGAACATTTTATATGATCAAACTAAATTAAATCACATGAAGTATAATAAGATATATAAAAATAAATCATCAAATTATAATTACATGAACTTAAATTAAGACTATATATAGATAAGCCAAGCTGAATTTTAGTAAGCTTCGAGCCTTGAAACTAAAGTGGTGTTTAATAAAACTGAAAATTAAGTGTTAAATCTATTAAGTACCGAATTTTAAGTGCTCGAATAATTAAGTATTGAATATCGTCATTGGCAAACTCGTTTGGTATTTATTGAAAATTAAGTGTTGAATGTAATAAGGTTGTTTGATAAGTACTATTGTTAAACATATTAAGATTATATACATTACAATTTTAACCTTACAATTGTAACATGATATTTTTTAACACAAACAAAAATATATAGATAGATGTGTTTGTGTATATACATAAATAAATTAATTAATAAAAATAATTATTGATAAAAAAAATTAAATACAGATCTAAAATAGCATTAACAAAATAATCATAATAATAATAATGCCACATATATAGTCTTCCTATATATGAGCAACGCTATTTTAAGAAAAAGGTTCTTATAAAACCACAAAGGTATATATTTTAAAAAATATATATGAATAATTTATTCATTTGAGTATGTCATCATTAATTCGATTCTCCTATAAAAAAAATAATTCAAATCCTATTCACTCACGTCCAAATATATTTTTTTTTCAAAAAAGAGGGGTTCAAATAAAATGGATTGATTATATATATGTCCGTGTGTGTGTGTGTATGAATGAATTTTAAGGTAAATTTTTCTTTTTAAAAGAAAATAATTTTAGGGTACGAATTGAATTTGAAGGTTGACAATTAAACATTAAAATCAATTAAGTGGTTAACATATTTGTGTAGGTCGATAGCTAGTCCCTTCCAAATATGTTACTAATAAATTTATCCGTAATTTGCTATAGAATGGAATGGAAAAAAAAAAAAGAGCTCTTTCTAGCCATTGTTTCATAACCCTTGTCTTGTGCTATGGCTACGCAGAGAGAACACTTGATGAGCAAAAAAGATTGGTGGGCGGGATTATGAAGCGAGATCGAGGCGGCAAAAAAAAAAAAAATGGAAGGCTGCTTGGTTTGGACTACGAGTGCCTTGAATTCGGAAGAACTCGATGATTTTTCTCCTTTTTAATACTCGATCAAGTACAAAAGGAAAAAACCAGGAGAAGAAAATTAGCATGCTATGTTGTTCGTTGACGATGATGAGATAGAAAATTGATAACGGAGAAGATTTTTTTTTGTTTTAGCAATATGGATAATAGAGATTGATTTTCAATTGGTTTGTATATCTAAAATTATAAAAATATATAAATGCAATATAGTCACATTTGAAAAATTTTAAAAATCTTTTAACCGAGTGTGTTAATCAAAAAGTAATAGTTAAAAATTTTAACTTATCTAATTAAATAGATTTTGACTCGAACTTAAAATTTTAATATGAGATTATTTAGGTTATTAAATAAACTTTTTATATTAAATACCGTAACTTAATTTTTTAAGTTACTTAATTAGGTTATCAAATACCTTCGACTCTATTTGTATTTGGTTAGTAAACGAATGTAACATCTAAAACATGTCATTTATTTTATTCAAACTCGACCTGTATCAATTAAGCCCAACCCTACAACATGGGTCTTGAACCGTCATTATTTTGATTGATGGGCTGGTATATCAATTCAGCTTAAACTTCTACCTGTTATTGAAAAAAGGAAAAGGACTCCATTTATATGTAAAACTAGCCTATTTAGCAATTGCTTTTTAAAGTTTTTGTTTAGCTCAAGTTTATAGAACAAATTTTGCAGTTAGTTTAATTGACTTATTAATCTACATAAACAAACTCGAGGTAAGTTCTTGATTCGATCAGCTTGTGAACAGAGCTAGGTTCATAATTTGCACCATTGATCCCATGTTGGTGTGTCTCTTTACCAACTAGACTGGCCCCTCAACTCAAACCAAAACAGTGCTAGCATGAATTAGACGATAATTACAAACAAAAAATAGTAGAGATTAGAGAATGCCTGTCTGACCATGATCTGGACAAACCTTTGTTTTTCTCAAATCAAGAAGTTGCTAATTAATGTTGATTAGACGATAATTACAAATAGATTGTAGAGATTAATATATTTCTGACCTTTATCTAGATATGGAAGAGAAACAGCGAAGATAAACAAGACTTGGGAACCCATGGTGACGAAACTGAAAAACGCAACTAAAACGCTGAAAATCCGGATGTGATAAAGACATTCTCGGGTTGAACACATGCCAGCCACACGCCCCTTCCCGTCACTCAATCCTAGCCTTCCACGTGCTCCTTTATCAACGGTCCAAAATTTTCAGCTTCGCTTAAGTATATCACATTCGCTTTGCACTTTGCTCGCTCATCATACCTCCATTTCCCTCTCATTTCCATCTCTTCCCCTCTTAGTGTGTTGACAAACAAAGATGCTTCTCAATAACCCTTTTCCTTCTTTGATCTTCCAAAGAGAGACTCTATGTCCCTCTCTTTCACCATCTGCTTTTAAGAACGTTAATGGTTTTTCTGTCGTGAGATATCCAAAGAAGAACGTGGGTGGATTGGTGGTTTTGGCTTCAAAAGAGGCTAAGGACAAACTACTTACTCTGGATGTTGTGTTCAAGCCTTTTGAGGAAGTGAAGAAAGAGCTCAGCATGGTACCGACTACCCCCCATGAATCACTTGCTCGTCAAAACTTTTGTGATCATTGTGAGGCTGCCATCAATGATCAGATAAAGTAGGTTTATAATGATCACTCTTTTCAATATATAAAAGATCTCATCCCTAAATATTAATCTCCGATTATTTGTTTTTTAAGATTCTCATGTCGCTAAATCTCACCATGTTTAAGATCTGAATTTATTCTGCGAAAACATATATATTAGCATTTTTTTTCCTTATCAATTATGGCTCACTGATCCACATGTTGATTGTTATAGATTGTTTTCTTGTTTGATTTCTTGAAGTCAACCATATTTCAAACATTATTTTGTTTTCATTGAATTAGCGTGGAGTACACTGTGTCTTACGTGTATCATGCCATGTATGCCTATTTCGATCGAGACTACGTCGCTCTCAAAGGACTTGCCAAGTAATTTCTTGCAACCTAACTATCTCTCAAACAGTCTTGATTGTTAAATATTTTTTTTTTTAGATATTTGATCCACTAATCAGTTGCGTACGTACAGATTTTTTAAGGACTCAAGCGTGGAAGAAAGAGATCATGCTGAGAAATTGATGGATTACCAGGTGTTTTGCCACAGTCAATATTCTCAACTGTTTCTTCTCCTTCAGTGGAAAAGAATTGCTATATTATACTAGCTAGTTTTGGTCGTGCTTCATCTCAGAATATGTTTTGTGCACATAAGTTTTATGGAAATGGCCACTAATTAATATTCTTTTCTCATTGACGGTTCAAGAACACAAGAGGTGGAAAAGTTAAGCTGCAATCCATGCTGATGCCCTTGTCAGAATTTGATCATCCTGAAAAGAGTGATGCATTGCATGGTAAACTATATTTCCTTATGGTCTTTTTCTAGCCTTCTTTAAAAGTAACATTTTCCTATATAATATAACTATATGCAACTTCACGCTTGTGTAATAGTTAGTTCAGCATGACTTTTGCAGTAAAAAATATGTCAAGTGAATAGATATGAAACTATGTCATCCAAATCTAATCAAGTTCTTAATTAATTCATTGCTATTTATGTTTCCAGTGTGCTGAAAAAAATTAAATATTCTTCCATTGTGCTAATAGCTTGTAATATTTGATTCAGCAATGGAGATTGCGTTGGCCTTGGAAAAGCTGAACAATGAGAAGCTTCTAAATTTACGCAAAGTAAATGAAATTTCTAACCCTCCATGCTCTGTTTAATTTCTGTCTATCTTTGTGACTGAAGGACATACAATTTTAACTATGATCCAAGTTTTGACAAATATGTCTGTTTCTCCCTGTGTTAATATCTTTAGTCGCAAACTTTGCCCATGTTGGCATTTGACTGATGATTTAGTCAATACTTGCAGATAGCCGATGAACAAAATGACGTCTACCTAGTAGATTTTATTGAAAGTGAGTTCTTGGTTGATCAGGTAAGTAAAGCAATTTCTTTTCGTAATTCTTGATGTCTTTCGTGGTACTTGTAATCGTTTGTGGTTTGTTTTATCTAATAAGAAGATCACCGGATTACGTTTTGGCAATTTTCTTCAACATTCAGGTGGAGTCCATTAAGAAAATGTCGGAATATGTAGCGCAGCTGAGAAGGGTGGGCAAAGATAATGGACATGGTAACTCCTGGTTTGCTTAAATTCAAATGACAACGTTAGAATTTTTGAAAGAGTTCCAAACTTGCATTTGCTGGCTTTAATACACAGATAAATGTAGTTGTAATGTCTTTAAAAAAAAAAACAATACGAAACTGGTCTTATTGGTGGATTTGCAGGTGTCTGGCACTTTGATCAGATGCTTCTCAAGCATGGTGATGGTGCATGATGAGCCACAGATTCCCGTTTTTCTTCCCTTTACATGGCGATGGTGCATGATGCTGCTGGGTTTCTTTTCTATTTTTTTAACGACCGTGATTATTGTTTACTTAGGGGATTTCATTTTGATAGTATAGATTACGTTTATGGTTGAGGCCGGCAGTTAGAATGTTTTCTAGTTGGAAAAGTCAAGAAAGATTATTTTTGTTCGAGTTTATTATATATTTGATATACAAATTTATTAAGTTTTTTTTATTTGAATATATATACTTTAATTTTTGCTATTTCAACGAACTAATTTGTAATTTTTGTTAACTCTGTACTGTACTGAAATAAATATACTAAACCATTTTTTTATTGGTAGAATTCTGTAAACTTGTTAAGTCCATGTTGAGTTGTTAACGGGTCATGACTTCCATTAACGTCCATCATTAATAATCAAAACTCTTTCTACCTATAAAGCATAAACAGAAAAACAAATTCAAATAATTTAACAGTACTTTTTTCAGTAACCAGCAAGTTAACATGGAGAGAGGATGGTGGAAAAGAAGCCCTAAAGAACACGTTTTTATCTAAGATAAAATATGAAAAAGATTTGAGATTCTTTTGAAGACTTTTTGTCTCACCCCCAAGGACAAGGAAAGAAAAGAAAAGAAAAACTAGATTTGGTGCACTCCAATCTACCAACGTTTTCTTTATAAAATCACTCTAGTATGGACTTTGTTTAGCTTTAGGAAGATAAATAGAGAGTTTTGAAGAGGGAAAAAAGAAGGTTTTGTGATGGTGAACGAGATCTAAAGCATGGAAATAAGGTTCTTCATAAAGATTTAATCTTGAAACGTAATTTTGCTTCAATTTAAAGATCTACTTGTGAAACGAAGAAGAACGTACCATACACCTTTAATGTTTCACCTTTCAAAGCTCACTTATTGGAAAAGATGAAGTAGCTCTAGTACGGTGCATTTAATGGCGTAAGTGGGAGTTTAATTATAACTCAGTCCTAGTTGTTTATCAAAATTTATCATGTGGATGGTGGTGGTGATCATAGAGTAGGGGAGAAATCAGATGATTCACTAAGTTGATTATTATATGTAAAATATTTTATGAAATTTATAAACTGAAAATATTTTTTTACAAATAGATAGAAGAAAATCAGGAAAATATACGTAAAACAAACACTCTTGTAGTTTGTTTAATTCAAGTTTAGATTTTATTTTTGTAAAATTAATTTAAGGAAAAAAACCCGGGATCAAATTAGGTACCTAATGGAATATCCATTGAATAGAGAAAGTCTTCCATCGAATCCAGCCCGACTCAACCAGTCGAAAACGAAAACGGATGATAGATATGTAGGTTTTGGCGAACAGACGAAAAAACCTTTGGTGTGTAAAATCTTATGCCCATTGATGTGATTTTCGATCAACAGTAGCCATAAAAACAAATTCACTGTCTTCTTAAAATCAACACCAATATTATATATTAAAATTTTTAACCAGAAAAAAGTGATTGCATTTCTATTAAAGTTTCCTTTCTTTGCCATAACGACATAATAAACTGAAGGAGCAATAACTTCTGCTAAATGATAAAACAGAATTAAATGCATGTCGTTTTTTCCTCGCCCGAAATGAGGGCTTTGAACCTTTTCATCTTGTCAGAATCATTGATTGCATTGAAAATCAAATACTGTCTGTGTTTTTAAAAAATTCTTTATATTTATTTATTTATATTTATTTCAAAATAATTATATTGTCAAATTTTAAATAATATATTTTTTAAAAATATTTATAATTGATAAAAAAATCAATTATTATTTTTTATTTCATGCTTCACTAACAAAAAAATCAGGAGAACGAGATTTGCTGACTTTGAAAGCTGTCTAGGGGCTCTAGCAGTCTTCTAGGATCCGGTCGAAAACTGATGCCTGAGTAGAACGAAAAGAAAAGATCGGAGTCATTGACAGGAAAAGCCAAGACCGAAAATGCCTACTCCTTGGTAGGACTAGTCAAAGCAATCCACCCCGGGCAAGGATAAAGACGATTGAACAAGATCAAACGATTATGAGTTTTTTTTTTTTGATATATACTTTCCCTTTATACATATAAATACTTTTAACATAAAAATTTTAAATTTTTATGTTAGATGAAAATATTTATTTTTATAAAAACTTTACTGCATATCAAAAATCTGAGAGTATAATATTTTTATTAGGATGTCATTTTTTATAATTATTTTAAATTTTATCATTTTAACTTGATTTTTTTATTTATCAGCTTAATTTTGGATATTTTTTCTTATTTTAACAATATTGATTCCATGTGTATGGTATGATTGAGTTTGATAACTAATAATTTTAACATAAAAAATATTATATCATAATATAATAATAATAATAATATTATAATTATTATTTTTTGAGACAGGAGGAGGAGTAGTATACTACCATGCACATCTACTTTTCACCCACATAAATGCAGAATACATTGATCCTACAAAACAAGTTCAACATCCAATCCAACAATGAAGTTTAATAAGAAAATAACAGATTGACACAAGTAAACACTTAATTTAATGCAATAAAAAAAATCTTAATCTGATTCAGGAAAAAGATCGATAACGATGGCTTAGAAAAAAGACATATCTCAAAAGAAGATAGCCTTTGAAGCACGGACGTGGATACCATATAATATAATGCATATTAAACCAATATAAGCTTAATTTTACAAATTCGGGCAGGATAAAATCTAATGGGACGAACCAAAAAAAATATTTATGTGCATACCATGCATAGTTGCTTCAAGCTTATATATCACATTACTTGAAATAATCGAGGTACTGTTGAAATATTTTACTCATTAATTACAGCTTCATCACTGCGATCAATCTTATGTTGGAATAGTTAATTTTGTATTGAATAAGAAGGAAAAAAGTTTGTGCCGTATTGCAACCAAGCATTTCCCTTCAAAATGTTTATGAGGTAATGTTTCTAGTTTCGCAACAATTTACTAGTTATAAGTGAATGTCATATTTGGTAGTTCTTCTTTTATAGGTATTTGGTGTGTTTTTTGGCGAGTCTTGTATAAATATTTATAATATCAAATGATTGACACCTGGCACTTGCAACAAGATTATTTCTTATTTTATTTTTTCAAAATTAATTTTATTGGCAGAGATGACTATCAACGACTGTTCAGTTTTATTTAAAACATAATTATTTTTCTCAGCAGTTGTATGGTTCCATCATGTTATTTTAAGTTTACAAATAAGACATGTTATTGCTTTTTATTTATTTTTTAACTAGTAAGGAACTCTAACAAGTTTTATTGAATAAAAAACAAAAGTGCACGGAAAGGAGACAAACCAGCCCTAACCCAAGTATGAAGGGACAAAAAAAGCCTAATCTCTATAATAAATATAAATAGAAAAAACGTTATATCATATAGTTGTAGAAAATAAATCTATCATGTCTAAAAACAAATTTAATATCTAAAGGCAAATCACTCTAAAAAAAAAAAATTATATTTTTTCTTTATGACTATAGCCAGATTAACTAATCTACCTATCTGTCATAATATTTTGCTCTCTAAAAACATGCATTTTTTTTTACAAAACTTGACATAGCATGAAGTGATGAATATATTGCTACAAGCTTTTGGCTTTATTCTGAATTGCTTTAACAATCAATAAAGAGTCAAATTTCACCCACACCGAGTGAAGTGATGAGTCTTTACACAATTTAAAACCATCTCTAAGGCTAATATCTTCATTTTTGTGTTTGTTTCTGCACTATAAAAAATAGAAAAACATGCAATAACATGACCATGAGTATTGCGAATAACTCTACCACCAGTGCATAAACCAGCCATAGATGTACCATCTGTATTGAATTTAAAGCTTTCAAAAGAAGACGGATTTCATTTCAGTCAAAAACTTCGATGAGAACGAACCGGAAGAAAAGACAAATATATTTAGAGCATGAAGTTTATAGATCCTAAATATATTAGTAGGATGCTTAGGTCTATATACTAGACACGTATTAGATAATCGTAACTTAATCTGTTTAACCATCAAATATGCCGACATAGGAACAACATTAAATCGTGTAGTACATCTACACTTTCATATTTTTCAAAAAGCAAACTAACCACCAATCTGATAAATATATGTTTGCGTACTAATAGTAAAAGAACATCAAAAGAAGAATATTGATTTGAGAAATTAAAAATCCTTACAAAACGAGACCATATCTGTTTAGCAACATTAGATCACATAAATAAATGTTCAAAGGATTATTTTTCTCTAAACTGACAACAATTACACATAGAAGACATGTTATTACACAAAACAGATGATTTTTTCAGTTTATCTTTTCTTTTTATGCTTTCCAAGAGTTTAGGAATTTAGTTGTATTTTGGTGATGTTTTCTTCGTGTAAAACAATTAAATACCTTAAAGTCATTGAGGTGGAACAATTCTTTAACCTTTAGCCCATTAATAAACACCTTAAAAATATCACTATAGGTACACCAATTAATTTTTCTGTTTCTTTATCTCCATCCCAAACTACATTATTATCTGGTCATACAAAGGAGTAGGTAGCCAATTGGCGGGAGAAACGATGCCTGTGGGCGTTGAAGTGGAACAGTCCCTCTAGAGACCCCCCGACGGGCCACGTCTAGCTAGAAACAGCTAAAGCCCTTGAATTTACGGTCTTTGTAAATACTATATATTGAAGCACCTTTTCCTATCAATTAAAGGATTAACGAACACGCATGCTGCAGGAATTCAACACAATCGCTTCTTCAGGCGAGCACCTTTTTGTTTCTTTTCTTTTCATTAAGACTCCCAAAGATGACTTGTTAGGGATTAGATAAAAACTTAGGATATCATTATCCAAATCCTATATGATGGCACAAAATGCAAGATTCATTATTATCCATCTTTGTGGGCTTCTAATTGGGCCTTCGGGTTCCGTCTCTACCTATCTATATCCAGTATTTATCTGACCCATACGCCGAAGGTTGTGGGTCTGAATTCTATGTCATTAAAATAGACACGCACATTCGAGCGATTAACTCTCTTAACTGGTTTGGAATTCGGACTTGTATTACCTTAATTTAAGCAACCTTAGTCCATGGGCTTGATATTTGTCTAATCTTTTATGGTTAAGGCCCATCAAGGGCCTCCCCATTTGACTTTTTTTCCAAGAAACAGGGCAAATTCCAATTTAAAGTCGTTTTCTAAAGTACACTGACGGTGACTCACCATCTCACACACGGCATACGCACAAGCCACTTCTTGGTTCATGTTCTTGCAGCTCCCGATTAAACCTCGTAACTTGCCTCTTCTTTTGACTTCCCTAAAACCTCAGCTGAACCCCAACGCCGTTCATCCAATGGCGGCTAACCCCAAACCCATCTTAATCTCCACGCCATATAAATCTTAATTATTTCTTAGCCTTTTAGTTTGTTCGACTTTGGTGGGTCCTTGTTTGTACGCCTTTTATCAATGGCTAGCAATGATAATTCAGGAAGTGAATCTAATAATAATGTTGCTGCTGCTTCTTCGCCTCCAAAAGATGGAGAAACACCCACGCAGATTCAGCCTTTTAGAATGCCTACAATAGAAGAGGTCCGTGCCCAAGAAGTTTGGAATAACTGTGCTGTTCGCAGTGTTGCTAGTGGAGTCATGGGTGAGGATTTATTGATTAAATTACCTTCCTTTTTGGTTTTTCAGATCATTCCATTTAATGGTTATTTTTTTATATGTTCTTTCAAGTGGTAATGGTTGAATTGAATCCTTAGTAATTCTAGCCTCTGAGGAGTGAGAAATTTTAAAATTTTGGGGTGGGTTTATGATTGGTTTTAGGAGGGTTCTTGTTTGAAATAAAATGATTGATGTGTTTTGTGCAACGGAAATTTTTGTCTGTAGGAGGTGGGTTGGGGTTGCTTATGGGACTGTTTCTAGGCGCATTGGATAATCCTATTATGCAAGATGAGATGACAGGAAAGCAGCAATTCATTTATAATGCGAAGCAAATGGGGCGGAGGAGTTGGAGTTCTTGTAAAACGTTTGCAGTTATGGGCTTGGTTTTCTCAGCTGCTGAGTGTGTTGTTGAGAAGGTAATATACCAGGGAGAGTGTAGTTAAAAAAAAAAAAAAAACATGATTTTTTGCATCTTTGAAGTTTTTAAAGTTTTTGTTATGGCCCGTAGGAGTTTAATTTGGGTTGATTATTTATAGGCCCGGGCAAAGCATGACACCACCAATACGGTTGTTGCTGGGTGTGTCACCGGAGGTACAATGTCAGCAAAAGGTAATTTTCCTTGTTCATGTTCAATGCTTTTCATGTTAACTGCATTAAGTTTGAGATTAAATAGTCAAGGTGTGAGAGTTCATTTACACAATTCAGCAGTTGCTTGTCTTGGAACTTTCAAATCTCTCAATTCATGGTTACTGATTCTATCCTATCAATTCACTTCCTCCACACAAGTTCATAAAAGATGTCCACTGAATCCCCTTGGTGCTAATTTTTTTAATCCACGTGCTTTATCATAACTTTTAATTTTTGCATGTACAAGGACTCAAATATTGGATGTTTCATCAAACATAAAAAGAAAATTCTGAAGATGTGAACTCATGCTGTTTGCTCTGTATTTTGCATAGTCTTGTGGTCAAAATGATAGATTACATGTTAGATTAAATTTTGATGAAATTAACCTGCATGCTTTGACATGGTATGCAGAAGTCTATTTTACATCTGAAATTCTGACTATATTTGCCTGTAGTGTCTTGTTATTGGAACTGAATGACATAACATGCATATACTTCAGAACCAATTTCAAAGGTACAGAGAAAATTGATACATAAGGAAACCAGAGGGCAAATTTTAGGAAACTGTGGATATAAATTCAACAGGAGTGATGAAATATTTAGGTATTTTGATTTTTCACTTTGTTTATTGAGGTGGAGAGGAAGGAGAGTGGATGGGTTAGACTGTAGAGGGAGGGAAGGTGTTCACATTGTTGTTGTGATGGTTGCATACTCAAGAAAGGGATGGAAGGATTCATCGCTTTCATGTTCATTTTTTTCAATCCTTCCAAATTGGAAGCATTAGAAGAAGAGACATGAATGAGATGAAAATTTTTCCTATTTTATGTCTTCTGAATCATTTTGGCTACCGCCTTCCACATTTAAACAACTAGTAGGATGGATTAGTTTTCATCCTTCAACCTGTCCACTTTCTTCTTCATGCATTGTATCATCCCTATACTTCATCCTCCTGACTGAGCACCATTGGTATGGAGATACAAGGGCATAACCTCACTGTTCCTTTTTTGTTGTTACATGGCTAATGAAAGGAGCAGCTTTACTTTTGGCTGTTCCTGTTAGGAACTTTGCTCTTTTATTAATTGGTTTCACACTTCTGTAAAATGCTATTTTTTGGTAGTTTCAGTTAATTACCCTGCAATTACCTGGTTGTTTTGGTGTTTACTAGCCTGTAAGAGTGTGAATGAACTGAGTGGTTATCCAGTTTTAATTTTATACTGAATGATTATCATCATTTTTGTTTATTTTGAGTCCTGCTCATTAATCAAGTTAATCCTGGTGGTAAGACTACCTGCATCCTGATCGTAAGACTATCTTTAACAAACATATTTTTTAGGTTCAGATTTACAGTTTAGAACTTTGAAATCATTTAGCTTTTTCATTCTCTTCAACGATTTTATTATATCTAGTGACAATTCCTATTCCTTTAGGTATTTTTTAGATGGAGGGTTATCAATATGGGAAGGCTTATCAACTTTTGGCATCATCAAACTTTACTATGCGATCCTTAAATAATGTTATGGCATAGAGATTAAACTGTGGAGGTTTCTGCACATGGAGTTTGAGTTCTATTAGCATAGGTAATGATGTTCATTTTGAACTGTGCTGTGTGGGATTATCTATGTAGCCCCAACCAATGTTTAGCTGTGTCTCTGGTCTGATGTTCCACTTGAAGTTTGGTTTTGAATTATTTAGGGAAAAGCATAAGCTTGATTTTTCTAGCTGCTAAGTTTGCAGCTGTCTCTAAAATGGTCTGGCAATGGCTACTTGGCTTTAACTCATCCACTTCTACTCTTAACATCAATAATGCAATCTCATTCTTGCTTTTTATGCTTAATTCCTGTAGAGGCTATCATTCATCACCTGACCTGTCTGTAGTTTGTTTCGTGCTCTCTCTCACGCTCTGCTTCCCCTTTCCAGGTTATCTTACCCTTCTGCCTTTTTTTTTAGGTGGTCCGAAAGCAGCATGTGTTGGTTGTGCTGGGTTTGCTGCATTCTCAGTTTTGATAGAGAAATTCCTAGACAGACATACTTGAGTAAGTTCCTGGCTCCAGTTTTGCAGACACTAGATCATCTGGGTTTGGATTAGAGAACTAGCAGTCTAGCAGCTAGCAGAGAAATTAATTTTTTTCCCCTTTATATTCATTTTTAATCGAATTAAATTTTTGCCCTCAATGAAGGGGAATGACATTGAATATATAGGTCTCGTATAATCTTGTACGATTTCATTGTTCCATTTGCTACACTTTCATTAGCGGATGCATCACATCCAGAATATCCAGGTGTGGATCTCATAAATGCCATAACTGATACAGTTTTTGATACAAGTGATGAGCGTTCGCATTTCGGTTAGGAGATTGATTGTTCAAGAGCATGTATTCAACTCTGTCAGCCTGTTTGCTGTTGCTTGTTCAAGTACTGTATTCTGCGTTGACATGTCAAATTGTTACTTTTCTTTGTTTCTTTAACAAAGTCCAGTTATTACTTGCAAACTCTTAATTGCAAACTCCTTCTTTAACCCAATGGGACACACACACACGCACATAAAACTGAACGGAACAATCTTTAAGCAAGGAATTGCAAGTTTGCAACTTTGTTCAATTAAAAAGAAGAAGAATAAGAAGAAGAAGAATCAAGGGATTACAATTTACGAATTACAAATAAGGATGATATTATGCATTTTTTCCCTTTTATATTTGAGCGGGAACCTCGTGAATGCAACCGGTTTATATGTTGCAGTAAATTGACCTTTTTCAAATGCCTTCTCACATGTAAATCAATCTCTCTTTGCAGAACTAGTGTTTATATTTTAACAATGTAAATTAGATTTCAAAAACTAAATAATCAAACCAAACCTGCCAACAAGAACCACTTTCTCTGGCGAATGGGTGCATGCATCTTAACTATTTCAAAGAAATGTTAACAGGGCAATTGCTCTATTAGGAAACCAGGGTGAGAATAGGGGAAAAGGGGGACCATTGTTATCTGATTAGTTCAGCTATCACTGCTTGAGGCCACTGCCTGGTACAATACTCCCCTCTGCATATCGCACACTCCTAAAGCATCTTATTTTTTTCTTAGATAAATGATGAGGTGGCGATAAGATACAGGAGTTCAGGATGTTTTATCGTTAATGCAAACAAGCAAAGAACAAGAAAACAAGCGTGGCTCTCTGAGTGTTCTTCTCTGAGATGTACAGCGGCCTAACTTCACTTCCCTTTATTTTCCCTCTCACAGTCATTTTTATTCTTGGAGCATTTTTGTCTAGTTAATTGATTTTCATTGATTATTAATGGGTTGACGATCAAAATGACATTTTTGGTAGTTCAACAATTTTGAAAGACTTCCTATTTTTTCTGTTTACCTGCTGGAGCTTCTCCATGCGAGCACCTGGTTATCTGAGACTCTGCTACAAGAGTGGGAAAGAAGTAACTTGTGTGGTTGTCTAGCTTTAAGCTTGTTTTCCTGACTATCACAGATTTGATATAATTTGCCACTCAGTAATTACCTTTATACTAGAAAATTGAGGGTCCTCAAAAGAATAAGAAATCGCATTTTTAGACATGTTGAAGAATTATGATCAACTTTGAAGCGAGACTCAATTAGTCAAAAATTAATATAAAGTAAAAGACGATAAATTATTAATTATTAAATTCTTGTTATTTAAAACATTTCTCTTTTAAATGCTAATCCGTCGATAGTGATTTTTTTTTTTAATAGAAAAATATAGGTTTTATATCACTCTACTTCAGTGTTGTTGGTATAAAATTTTTGAAGACTATACATCTAAAATTGGTGATATTATTAATTATTGGCTAAAAGGATTGAAACTCCCTGAACTTTAATTTATTTAAAAATCAGTCTTTGCACTTTCAATTTGTATTTTAACCTCATTGAACTTTTTTTATTTTTGAGATTTAATTCATCCTATAATTTTCAGCTATCACGTCTCTCCTCTAAAAAAATCAATTCTTGTTATGTTGATATGAAATTTTGCACACGTTATGGAAAAAACTCAATCCATTTTTTTTTAAAAAAATCTAGAATTTTACAGGGTCGAAAATTATATTTGTTTATTTTTTAAAAAATTAGAAATGTAGAAAATAAAAAAATAAAAAATAATCAGGAATGATTCTAATTTTTTTAAGAGCTCTGAATTATTTTTATCGTAAAAATATTTATTTAATTTTATTTTCTTGAATAAATGACAGCAAACTAAAAATTTAAGTAAATCTTAAAAAAAAATTTAGAAAGGTCAAAAAACAAATTAAAAACTCAAAAACTGATTTTTAAATATGCTAAAGTTCAAGAGTTGTTTGCCCTTTTAGCTTTTAATTATCAAACCTCTAGCCAAACATCTTTTTTTCATGTGGTATGGAGAATCAATATGTTTGATAATTATGATGGTAATGTAAAAAACAGAAACAGAAGGAAAAATTATGAAAAATAATCATTAATTTATTTTGAGGTTGTATGAAAAATTGAAAACAACCTCAAAATTGAAAAATAACTATTAATTATTGGGAGAATTTGATTTTGAGCAAATAAAAAAATATGAAAAAAATAAAATAAAAATAAAAGCACATAAAAAATTCTTATTATAAGATGATAAATTATCAATAATCAAATATTTATTATTTGCATCATTTTTCTTCAAAATTCTAATATATAGGTAGTGCTTATTTAAAAGAGCAAAAACGGTGTCGTATTACTTCATTTCATTGTTGTTGCAATGATTTTTTTTTTTTTTTGAAAACTATGCATTTTAGGCTAATTAATTATTAATTATCAAATATTTATTATTGAAAAAAAAATTGATAATCAATCATTATTATTTTTTGAGGTTGCTTGGAGAATAAATATTTTTGACGATAATGATCACTTATGATAATAATTCCTTTTGTTTTAAAAAAGGGAAAATTGTGGAAAATAATCATTATTTTTTTTTCAGGTTGTATGAAAAGATTTGACTCCTAAGAATTTTTTTTTATCGTTCATGGTGGTACCAAGATACCACTATAAATGGATTTTAATTATTGAGGGAATTTGATTTGAACAAATAAAAAAATTGAAAAAAATAAAAAAATAAAAAAGAAAGAAAGCACAGCCAAGATGCTTGTAGGCTGCTCGATCCTCCAGGCCCATGAGCGCAGGCCTGGCTTGTGCAGCCCACAAGTTAAAAAAACCAAAAAAAGGCATCGATGATTTACCGGCTTTGCAACTTTTGCCCACCAAACGTCGCTGTCAAAACATCAAAGGCCGCCAGCTTTGGCCCCCCAAAACCCAATTTTTTCTTCATTTTTCATAGCAAATGCCTCAAAATCATTGTAAAAACTTTTTAAAGACTCACTTCTAACTTTAAAATACATTTTAATCATTTAAAATTACTCTAGATAATTAAAATTTTTATTTATTTTGTTGAGCTCCGACCTCTTTTTATCTACCATGTTAAGACCCATAATTACCTATTATAAACTCCTTTTGTCATGCAGAATGCATTAATATCTATTTCAGTGGTTTTTATGAAAGGAATAAGATCAGACGGAATTTTCTCACTCCTCCTTCTCTTTCATCGCCTTTCTCTTCTATCTCAACATCCAGAGACTGTATTGCAAGACAAGTGAATTTTAAGAATCAGGCCATACAATCCTCAAATTCCAACTACCAAAGTGAATATGTGTCTGCATAATACATATAGATAGAGAAACATGCACCCTACATTTGGACTCTTTCTAATCATTGGATCTGCTTGCTAGGCTAGGAGTTGCTGGTCACATTTTCTACTATAAAACAGTAAAAAAAAATAATAAATAAATAAATCAATACTGATTAAAACCAAACAAGAAACAAACACAAACAACTGCTAATTGCTTGTCTCTATGAAAGCATTGTCCGAGAAGAATGGTGGAAGTTCAATTAGCTGCTCCTCAGCTGTAAATGTTAAATAACCTCTACGTACAACCCTTAGTAAGCGAAAGTCAGATCGAGAAAAGCAGAGGCGCCTCTCCACAGGCTTCGAAAGCGAAAATGGTTTTCTTCCATAACTTTTTTATTTGTATTATTTTATAGTCATCCTTTGAGATTATAATACTCTAAAAAAAAAGAAATTACAATAAAATCATATACTAAGTGATTAAATCCGAGTAAAACAACAACAACAACAACAAAAAATAACGAGCTAGCTATAGGTTACAAAGATAGAGCTAGAGCTTTACTGTTTTGAATGTGGAGCGAGAAAGAGCTCGTCTAGTTGCTGAGAACATCGTTTTATTGCCTCATGGAGTTAGTAATGGTGAGTTGTCTGTCACCGTCACTCTATATATGATGTCAAATTTGTTTAGGTAAAGATGGAAGGTCTTGGCGTAAAGGAGAAGGAGGAGACTCAGCGTTTAATGCGTGCTTGATTGGGTAGGCAATCTTTCGTGTGTTTTTCCTTTCTATGTTGTTCCTTGCCAAAATGTGCAATTAGGCCTAATGGGCTACATGGAAATGCTTTGATATTCTTATATTCATCTATGTGGGCTTTTGCAGTCCTTTATGCTGAAGCGAGTCGACAACTTCACACGAAAAATTATTATTATTTTTTTTTTAAAGAAAAGAAGGTGATAGGGCAACATTTTCAGAAGGATTAAATCTTGAATGAATTAAAATTAAAAAAGAAATTTGACCTATTTAGAGCCTTAAAAAAATTTCAATTTTTATAATTCCCTTAAAATATTTTATACAGTTTTTATTGACCTACATGGAAAGCATGTTTCAAGAATACTAGTATCTTGAAATTTGCCAAAAACACAAAACAAACGCACAAGATATGTCGAAGAAGGGAGAATTAGTGTGCGTTACCGGAGGAAGCGGATGCATTGGCTCATGTCTCGTCCGTCTACTTCTCGATCGTGGCTACACTGTTCATGCCACCGTAAAATATCTCAGTAACTACCACATCATCTTTCCTGTCAACGACTTTTCATTTCTAAACAAGTCAACGACATGTAGTTCTAGTAGTTCTATCTGTTTTGTTATCAGAGCTAGTTTAGTGTAACTTTTTTTTCTTTTGGCTAGTGGATGATAAGGAAACGAAGCATCTGGAATCATTAGAAGGAGCAGACACGCGTCTAGGCCTTTACCAAATCGACCTCCTCGATTATGACTCCATTGTCGCCGCAATCAATGGCTGTGCTGGCGTCTTTCACTTGGCCTCTCCCTGTATCGTCGATCAAGTCCATGATCCTCAGGTACTAACAATACAATTCCAATTTGTCATTATGTTTGAATTTCTTTTTCTTTGTTTTTTTTTAATTGAATGAAATATTTTGTGGGTAAATTATGAGAAGAACGAGCTGTTAGATCCGGCAATTAAAGGAACGATAAATGTGTTAACCGCGGCAAAAGAAAGTGGCGTTAGGCGCGTGGTGATTACGTCATCGGTCGCCGCTATAACCCGCGTGCCTACGTGGCCTGATGACGTCATCAATGCTGAGGATTGCTGGACAGACGTTGAGTACTGCAAGCAAAATGGAGTGAGTCGTGTTTCTTTATTTACGCAGCGATAATTTTAGTACTCCAACTTTATATGAATTCTCTATTAAGTACATGGAAGTCGAATTTTTGTCCAATGAGTTTGTGGGCGTGTTAAGTTTTACAAATGAAGTCATCCGTAATATCACTGCATGTCTTTTTAAGTCACCAGAAGAGAACTTAATTGGTAAAATTAATTAGTTAATATTGAGTTAAGGAACTTAATTAAAAAGTTTATCTAAAGTTCAAGGACTGAAAATATCACCAGCCCTTATTTATTTGTGACTTTGTGAATTATGGTATTTTAGATATTGTTTTTCCTGTGATTAGTTCTGGTATCAGCTTTCGAAAACACTAGCTGAGAATGCTGCCTGGGAGTTTTCAAAGGAGAAGGGATTGGATGTAGTGGTGGTAAATCCTGGTTTTGCTATTGGTCCAGTTATCCCACCAACGCTGAATGCCAGCATGTTGATGCTTGTTCGTCTTCTTCAAGGTGATCTAAGTAATCACAATGCTTTAGCAGTAGTGTGCATTCCCGTATTTAAATTTGCTGTTTTTAAATCCTTTTGATTGTTGAGATTGGTAATATATGTTTAAACAAGAATAGAACGTTAAAAGAGGGCTTTTGGACTGTGCCTTCATGTTGCTGATTGTTGACTAAAGTTTTTGAGGTCAACTGAGTGACATTTTTGTTTCTTTTAATGAACCTTGCTTGGCTAACTTCTAGTTTGCTGGCCAGCCTGGTGGAGGCTTGTGGTGAAAGTCATGTTTGAAAAGACATGGCTGGTTTTAGATGTCTGGTTTATGATGTTTTCAGCTGAGCTAAATTGAGAATCTAACACTAGAATCACAAAACTTTTCTTTAGTCATTGATGCCAGTTTGTGTCTATAATCTATTCCATTTAGGCTAACATTCTTTGATACTATGAACTGGAGACACGATACATGTATATAAAACCATTATGCCAATAAGTTTTGACCAACACGGCCTACTGTTAGTAAATAGAGACTACTGAAAAACAGAGGACAGCTGAATAAACTTTGCTGCTTTATTCATTCATTAACCAGTAGTCTTTAAATAGGCAGTACATTAATAGTAAAATGCAAAATAATAGCAACCAACTTGAATGAACAGAAATAGTTCCTAAAAATCTTGATATATCAGTATACCAGACAAACTAAACATTCCAACTTTTATTCAACATTCCCTCCCTTAAACTGACTCCCTTAAACTGATGTGTGGACAGTCAGTTTGAAGGTAAAATTACGCTCCCCCAAATTAGAGTATCTTTTGAACAAACACCGAGCAAGCAATCTTCTTAGCTTTTGAAACATTGACAATTTGAGGGGTTTGGTGAATATATCAACAACTTGGTCTCCAATTCTGCAATAAATAAGATCAATTACTCCTTCCTTTTGAGGTCTTGCAAGTAATGATACTTCACATCTATATGATTGCTTCTTCCATGTAGAATAGGATTTTTGGAGAGCTTTATTGCTGAACTGCTGTCACAATAACTTGCAGTAGCTCCCTCTTGCTTGAAATGTAATTCTTCAAGAATTTTCTTCGACCAAATTGCTTGACATGCGCATGAAGTGCCCGCAACAAACTCAGCTTCAGTTGTTGATAAAGTAACGATTGGTTGCTTCTTAGATGACCATGAAACAGCTCCCGAAAACAACATAACCTGAAGTGCTTTTCCTATCATCTTGATCTCCTGCATAATCACTGTTAGTAAAACCAATCAAATCTGACCTTGTGCCCTTCTTGTAGTATAACCCAAAATTTTTAGTTCCTTGCAAGTATCGAAAGATTCTCTTGGCAGCTAAAAGATGCATTTCTGTTGGATTCTCCATATATCTACTAATCAAACTCACAGAATGCATTATATCTGGTCTAGTTGCAGATAAATACATCAAACTCCTCACAATTTGCTTGTAAAATGTGCTGTCCACTCTCTTTCCTTCATGATCCTTGTTTAGCTTTAATCCAAACTCAGTTGGAGTACCCACAGAATTGCAATTGTTCAACTGAAACCTATTCAGAATTTCTTGCACATACTTCTTTTGAGAAATAAAAATTCCAGCAGCTGATTGTGACGCTTCAATACCAAGAAAGTAGTGCATCATCCCAAGATAAAAAATATCAAATTTATCCATATTGGACTTCTTAAATTTTTCAAACATGACATTATCGTTTCCAATAAAAATAAGATTATCCACGTATAAACACACAATGAGCATCTTTCCTCCATCACCAATTTTAATATAAAGTGTATGTTCATAAGGATATTTTTTAAATCCCTCCTTGAAAAAATAAGCATCTATGTGACTATACCAAGCTCTTGGAGCTTGTTTTAGTCCATATAATGCCTTTTTAAATTTATACACGTTATGCTCATCTCCAATCTTAATATAACCAGGAGGTTGTTCAATGAATACCTGTTCTTCCAATTCTCCATGTAAGAAGGCTGATTTCATGTCCAATTGAAAAATAGACCAAGAGTTTTGAGCTGCCAATGCAGTCACCAATCTGATTGTATCATGCCAAGCAACAGGAGCAAAAACTTCTCTATAATCCACACCAAATTCTTGCTTATAGTCTTTAGCTACCAAGCGCAGTTTATACTTGTCGACTTCTACATTCTCCTTCAATTTTGTTTTGTATAGTATATCCACTTGACAACGATTGTTTTATGCCCTCTTGGAAGCTCAGTCAACTCCCAAGTGTTATTCCTTTCAATTGAAGCAATTTCTTCATCCATTGTCTTGCAACATTTTGATTCTTTCACAGCCTCTTCAAAGACTGTAGGATCACAATCTGAAAATAAAGCAAAATTTTGTTTCAGATTGGTTAATTCCAGTTACCTTATAATCAACCATCCATGTAGGCCTCCTTCTAGCATGTGGAGGTCTTTGTTCTTCATCTACTTCTAATGCAATTGGGTTTTGAGCATGTGCTTGAATATTTTGTGTGGCTTCTGGTTTTTGCATATTAACCATAGGCTGCTGCCTATTCTCATCAACATCAAAATCTGCTAAAATTTGCTTTTGAACTCCATTTTCATTTCATTACCAGGTTCCATCTTCATCAAAGACAACATCATGGTTGATGACAATTTTCTTGGTGCTAGGATTGTATAGTATATAAGCTTTTGACTGATCGCTAACACCTAGAAAAATGCATTTTTCTCCTTTGTCGTCTAGCTTTCTCCTTTTCTCATCTGGAATATGGGCATATGCAGTACATCTGTAAACTCTAAAATGATCTACAGCTGGTCTTCATCAGCTCCATGCTTCCTCCGGTGTCATATTTTGAAGAGCAAGTGTGGGACTTCTGTTCCATATGTGAATGCTCCAATTTACTGCTTTAGGCCAAAAACTTTTTGGAACTCCACTCCTAGACAAAATACTTCTCACCATATTTATGATTGTCCGATTCTTCCTCTCGCAAACACCATTTTGCTGGGATGTGTAAGCTGCTGTGACTTGTCTTGTGATTCCGTGGGTTCACAACAATTTGCAAATTCTTGTGAGTTGTACTCTCCTCCCTGATCAGTACGAAGTACTTTTATTGGGCTGTCAACTTCTTTTTCAATAAGCACTTTAAAATTTTAAAGGTTGCAAAAGCTTCAGATTTCTCCTGCAGGAAATAAACTCATGTTTTTTGACTAAAATGAAGGTGATTAAGTATCTTTTACCTCAATTGGAACATGGTGTTATTGGCCCACAAAGATCAGAATGAACAAACTCTAATGCTTTTGTTGCTCTCCATGATTTGCCTTGTGGAAATGGGTTATGATGTTGTTTGCTAACAACACACTCTTCACAGACTTCTATAGGAGCTGTAATGTGAGGAAGACATATCACCATCTTCTTCTGTTGTAGTATTTTCAATCCACCAAAATTTAGATGCCCATATCGAAAGTGTCATAGCCATGCTTCATCCTTCAATTTTGCTGAGAAACATGAATGATTAGTGTTGTGGAGGTGAAGTGGCAACATACGATTTGCTGTCATATTAACTTGAGCAATTAAGCTCAATTTCTCATCTTGAATTCTGCATACTCCGTCTTTAATATAGATTGCATATCCCTTTTCTTGAAGCTAGCCAACACTGAGCAAGTTTGTTTTCAAATCTGGAACAAACAAAACATTAGAGAAAGTCTGAATAAAATTTCCCTTGGTTTGAATTGTTTCCTCTCCTTTTCCCATAACAGAGATTCTAGAATTTGTCACCAAACTTCACATTATCACGATAGGACTCATCCAAATCAGAGAATGCAGACTTATCTCTGTGCATATGATTGCTACAACCTATGTCTAAATACCACAAATTTTCATGGGTTACCTGCTTTGGATGACAAGCCATAAACAAGGACACTTCTTCTTTTTCTTCTTCTCGTTCTGCAAAATTAGATTTTTCGCCTTTTCCTCTGGCCAAATAGGTTTGGCACTTTGATTGGTAATGTCCATACCAATGACATCTGTAACATTCAATATTGGACTTGTCTGCTGAGAGTGGTCTGTAAGTAGTTGGCGGGTGGCCCCTTTGTCCTCTTCCTCTTCCTCTTCCTTGAAATTGGTTGTCTTGTTGTTGGTGCTGCTGTTGATTTCCATGACTGTTATTTCCTCTGCCTTTGCCTCTGCCTCTACCTCTGCCACGTCCTTTGTCACCACTGCTTGTTATCAAGTGATTTCCAGTTGAGGCATTCAATGCTTGCTCCTTTTTTTCTTGCTGATTAATTATATTCTCATGCACCAACAAAGAGCTTTGTAATTCATCAATTGAAAGTGCATCAATATATTTAGATTCTTCTATAGAACAAACAATAAGTAACCGATTCTCCTGGTTTCATTCGAAGTGCTTCGAACTCTGAACAGAGTGCTTGTAGCTACTGCTGCTTTGCCCTTGCTGATCTTTGGCACTTCTGCTTCATCGAGTCCCAAATATGCTTGGCAGTGTCTTTGCAAAGAATGGTTTCCAAGATTGAACGATCAATAGCTTGGAAGAGGTAATTCTTTGCTTTGAGATCCATCAACTTTTGTCCTTCTATTTCTGTTTTCTGCACATCAGTCACTATTGTTCCAGCTGTTGGTTCTGTAATTCCATCATAGGCTACTTGCCAGTACTCTTTAGACCTTAAAAAATTCTCCATCAGCATGCTCCAACGGTCATAGTGACCATCAAAGCAAGGAATTGCAAGTTGTACAAAACTTTCAGAGGCCATTAATGTTTGCTGCTGCTGCTATAAGAAAAACAAAGCTAATGCTATGTTTACTGCTGCTGCAAGAAAAAAGGAAACAAGACTGCTGCTATACTCCTTTCTATCTCACATACTCTTTCTCTGAATTCTCTCTACACTCGTGTTTCACTCACTCTCACTACACTCGTGTTTCACTCACTCTCACTACACTCGTGTTTCACTCACTCTCATACCTGTGTACCTAGATCTGATACCATTGTTAGAAAATAGAGACTACTGCAAGACAGAGGAGAGCTGAATAAACTTTGCTGCCTTATTCATTCATTAACCAGTAGCCTTTAAATAGGCAGTACATTAACAATAAAATGCAAAATTATAGCAACTAAGTTGAAAGACTAGCACAAAAATAAAGACCAAGACAAACTAAACATTCTAACTTTTATTCTATTCAACATAGCTCATAATCCTGCCACTTCTGTATATTCAATTTCCTCTATTTCAATACCAAACTAGTACTAATTTAAAATTCTGCATTTATGATTCCCTAAATTAAGAGAGAAATAGCAATGACATTTTGTTCTTATTGCAGGGTGCACTGAGACATACCCAAAATTCTTTATGGGACTTGTCCATTTTAAAGATGTAGCCTTGGCGCATATCATAGTGTATGAGAACACATCAGCATCCGGTAGACACTTGTGTGTTGGAGCTATATGTCATTATGGTGACTTTGTGGAAAAGGTCGCCGAGTTATACCCTGAATATAATGTTCACAGGTAATGGATTTGTTTACTGAGCGTGCATGATAGGTATTTGACCAACCTATGCATGCATTTTTTATTCATTTCTAGGAATTTGATGTTCCACAATCTGCAAAACAAGAAAACATTAGCAAGACCGCATGCCATATTCTGAAATCATATTTCTTCCCAAATGATCTGCTAGATATACTTCATCTGCAGAATCAGGAAGATATTTAACTAAACATTGTGTGCCTGTTAAAGAATTCTTGGAATCAAATCTCGAATTCTTTATTTTAGTTCAAAGTGTCTTGGCTAATGTGAGGGTTATTGAAGTTTTTTAGTCATTTTGTTTATTTTCATATTGATCTACACTTATAAACTTCGGTTTATTTAACACCTCTGCTTGTTTGATATCCCAACAATTCATTGTGGTCTGAATGATGGTGTCGATGATGAATCGCTTAATCCTTAACATGCCTTTTGGTGCAGGTTGGCGAAGGATTCGCAACCTGGGTTTTTGAGGGCAAAAAATGGAGCTAAAAAGTTGATGGACTTGGGCTTACAATTTACTCCGTTGGATCAAATCATCAAGGATGCAGTTGACAATTTAAAGAGCAAGGGATTCCTTTCTGATAACGAGCTTATAAGGATTTAGACTTGAGAAGCTATGGTGACTGGTGACCTGTGCACGATCAAGTTATAGCTCAGAAATTGAGGTTATATACATGACAGTATAGGGGGCCTCCCTTTTGTTTATACTTTGATAATAAGGTTATTATCATATGAAATTTCTGATGTTTCTACCAACTGGAAAGTTGCTGCTAGAAAATTTTGGCAAGAACGTCGGATGGATTATTGCCTATTGGTTATCCAAGGGTTTAATATTGATGAAGGGGAGGAAACTAATAATAAAGATAAGTAGCAAACACCAAAAAGCTTGTAAAGCTTGTAGTCCATAAGTAAGTGTGAGTTTAAAATAATAATAATAATAATAATAAGTAGCAAACTCAAAGCTAGATTTTCAGTCAATTTGATGATGTCAAAATTTCAACCAATTTAATGCAGAAACTTAATGGATAAGCCATCAAATTTATAGTTGATCTTGGAAGTACTTAATTGATCGATTTTTGAAAGTACAAACACTGCAATTAAAAGATATTCAGTACACATTGAATAGGAAAAGCTATAATTTAAGGTACGCATTGTCTTCATTTCCCAGAAAAACTTCCTCGTTTCTATTCCAGACACGTGGCTCGCCTCCCTTACAGTATATTTCCTTCCTTTACAAAAAGCACAAAGTATTTAGCAGTAGCCGATACAGACTGAGAGGACTGAACAAACACTAAATTCCGACAAACAAGAACACAAAGGAGAGAGAGAAAGAAAGAAACGATGTCGAAGAAAGGAGAAGTAGTGTGTGTTACCGGAGGAAGCGGTTGTATTGGCTCTTGGCTTGTCCGTCTCCTTCTCGACCGTGGGTACACGGTTCACGCCACCGTAAAAAATCTCAGTTAGTTTAAAAACGACTAGTAGTTCAGTGCTGTTAGATATGTTGTCCTATTGCATTTTGCTAATTTTCATTTCTTTGATTTTGAATTGAAGAGGATGAGAAGGAGACGAAGCATCTAGAATCGCTTGAAGGAGCAGACACGCGTCTCCGTCTTTACCAAATCGACCTCATTGATTATGACTCCATTGTCGCCGCAATCAATGGCTGTGCTGGCGTCTTTCACTTAGCCTCTCCCTGCATTGTTGATCAAGTCCATGATCCTCAGGTACTAGAGTTGTAGTAATAACTTATCATTTTATTGGCTTTAATTGATTTTTAATTTGTTAACTTAATTAATTATTTTTCTTTTTTCCTTTTTCCTTTTTTTTTTTTTTTTAAAAAATAGAATGAGCTTTTGGATCCGGCAATTAAAGGAACAATAAATGTACTAACGGCAGCAAAGGAGAACGGCGTCAGACATGTCGTGGTGACGTCATCGACTTCATCTATAACGCCCAGTCCTAACTGGCCTGCTGACGTCATCAAGAATGAGGATTGCTGGACGGACGTTGAGTACTGCAAGCAAAATGGAGTGAGTACTGAGCACGAGTACTGTTTTCTTCTTTTAATCTATTTGCTTATAAATATTATTTTTTGACATTTGTGTATTATAATGTGGTTAATTTTATTTGTTTTGTTTTGGTGATTAGATGTGGTATCCATTGTCGAAAACACTAGCTGAGAAAGCTGCGTGGGAGTTTTCAAAGGAGAAGGTTTTGGATGTGGTGGTGGTGAATCCAGGTACGGTTATGGGTCCGGTTATCCCACCGACGCTGAATGCTAGCATGCTGATGCTTGTGCGCCTTCTCCAAGGTTATGTTATTCACTTACTCAATTTAAGTAATCACATATTACTTTTTAACTGAATTGTCTTTCTGTATTTGATTAGCGTTTCAGAGATTAGTCTTGTTGATCATGTTAGTTAAAATTAGCAATGTGTGTTTTGTTTCTTCAACTGATGTTGAGGATTTCTATAGCCTTAGGGCTGTGCCTTTATGTTTCTCTGAATGAACATTGTTTGTTCAGTTCAACCCCATTAATCAGCCTCTCACTGAGGTTCGAGGTGAATGTAGAGTTTGAAAGCATGTGGCTGATTGTGGGTGTCTGGTTTAAGATACGGGGAAATTAAGTAACAGTGTAACAATAGGAAACGAGGAAGGTGTGGAAAAGAATGAAGTTCTTGTCTCTTTATCTTGGTTGTTAGAGCCGTAGGAAGATAAGAGGAAGCACGTGTGGGTGGTGTTGGTTTTGTTTTGGGGGGGTGTGTGTGGCGGATAAGGTGGCAATGTTTAGCTAACTTGCCATAAGTGAGTTGGCAAGTAGCCAAGTAGACACTTAAATAGTTAGGTCATAGAAGTGGCCAATCCAAAGTTTATAGAACAGCAGAATTACTCAATGAATTAGAATTCAATATCAGTGTTCCTTTTTTAATTACACACACACATATATATTGCACTCTTAGGTTTTATAGCTTATAGCTTGATCAGCAGAATTAGATTTCCTTGGTCTGTCTAATGCACTTCTTTCTCCTGCCTGATGCCATCTGTGTAATGGAAAAGTTTCTGAGGAAAATGCATAGAAAGTTGCAAGGACCTGGAGCGAGGATTAAACTTCTCATTAGTTTTGATTGTCGGTTCCTGTCTATACCCACTTTTAATTTAGCTAACCATTCCATTATACTATTGGCAGACATGCAAACCTGTTGGCATAGGAATTTCAGGTCGGGGGAGCCAAAAAACTTATTGCGATACAAAAATCACATAAAAAATGCATGTAATAATTGTAGATTTTGGACTAAAATGTAACTTTTGTTTATTTAAAAGAAGCCATTTTATAGAAAAAAGTGAAACTTATATGTAATAATTATAAACTTCAGAGACTATTTTGAACTTTAGGGGAGCGTGGCACCCCCTAGTTCCGACCATGCTAAGAAGCTTTGACCAACATAGCTTCTAACTCATATTCATTTTTGACTCTTGGATTTCAATTTCCTCTGCTTCAGTAATCAGTAGCAAACCGGTACTAGTTTAAAAAACTTTGCAATTATGATTTCTTGATTTAGGAAAGCACTAATAATGACATTTTGTCCTTGTTGCAGGCTACACCGAGACATACCAGGACTTCTTTATGGGATCCGTCCATTTTAAAGATGTAGCCTTGGCACATATTATAGTTTATGAGAACCCATCAGCAACCGGCAGACACTTGTGTGTTGAAGCTATATCTCATTATGTTGACTTTGTGGCCAAGGTTGCTGAGCTATATCCTGAATATAAGATTCCCAGGTAACGAGTGTATATACTGTGTGCTGAATATTTGACCAGATCTATGTACATTTTTTTATGCCTGCAGATTTGATTTTCAGTTGTCTGCAAAACAGTATGAAAACCATATGCCATTTCTGAAATCTAGTTTCCTCTTCAATATTCTCTACTACATAGTTCATCTAAACTTTACATGTGTGAGGAGCATTGAAGTTAGCAAAGACTTGATTGTAGTTCAAAGTGTCTTGGTAGCGAGGTACATTAAAGTTAACTAGCATGTGGCTCTTTATTCTCATATAGAGTTGCACTTGCTGTTGCTGTATCGAGATCTTAACACTTCTCTTTAGCTGGCTGATGGTGTAAATCATGAACTCCTTGATTCTTAATGTGCCTATTGGTGTAGGATACCCAAACCGGGCTGTTGAGGGCAAAGAATGGAGCTAGGAAGCTGATGGACCTGGGTTTAGAATTTATTCCCATGGAGCAAATTATCAAGGATGCAGTTGAAAGTTTAAAGAGCAAGGGATTTATTTCTTGATAAAAAGCTTCGGGGATCGATATATTCGGTAGAACTGATAAGTGGCAAGAATTTGTGTGATAAAATTATTGTAGATAGCATATGGAGGTTACTTGTCATGTTGGCAGGTTTTCGTGTTATCAGTTCGCTGTGTGGACAGTTTTGACTTGGAACAGGTCAAGTATTTGAAGAAGAAGCCATGGTTTTGTTTTGCTTTGCCTTCTCTGTTCTCTCCACGTGTCAGCTTTGGCATTGATGGTTCAAAGTCTTCAATTCTTGGTAAATAGCACGAATGAGATCAATGCAAGAAATATATTGCGGTTTTTTAAATCCGTAAATTGTCTACACAAAATTTTTAATTGCGTACATGTAACAACTAGTTTTCTGATAGTTATCTCGTGTTTGTGATATGCAATCATTTAAAGTATTTGCTAAGTTCTGTGATAGTCTTTGGGAGGGGGTTTTGTATGTTCACGCTTGATCATAAGATCATCCATTATGTGAGGTGAGGTGATTGAATAGACTTGGTGTTAAGAATGCGGGAGGGGTGGTGAACCACTAGTGCAAGATTGAAGGAGCTAGTAAAACTTAGTTGATGCACGCATACCAATCTACATTTCTAGATTTTTTAATTATAATCTCAAGGAGTTGCGACTAATTATAAACGAATTTAAAGTAATTTGACCTTTTTTCAATTCATCAAAAAGATGTGATTATTTTGAGGCTAGAACCTACGGCGCCTATATCTTTTTTGGGTGAGTGAACATTGGGTTTTAGAAAGCCTGTGTAAAACCATTTTTCAAGAGAGGCACTGTACTATGAATCTCTCTGTCCGGACTCTGCTAATTTCATTGTGAAACATCTTAATAAGCTCGTTGAAGATGACGAGCTTCTCTCCATCGTTGATCTTTACCTCTCTCCTTGGGGCAATGCCCAAATCAGAGGAAACGAAACCTTTGTTTGCCAGGTTCTTATTCCAAAAAAAAAAAAAAAGGACCCTTTTAAGCTTTCACTTCATTGACTTTTATGTAATTGAAAAGCGTAAAATGTTTCTATCAGTAAGGAATTGCTAAGCTGATAAATTTTGTTTCTTTGATGTTTAAATTGCAGCATGGTCCATATTAATGTTTAATGAATACAGTGGAAGCTTGTGCAATTCATGCTTGGCCTAAATTGGTTAGAGATTTTAGCTTCTTCGAGTGTGATTTGATTTGGTTTAGAATAGGTTTTATATGATAATTAAGGTGCCCAGTATCTGTAATTGTGTGTTTTGGTTGTCTTTGTCTTAAAACTGTGATGTTTATGATGCAGGAAGACCATTTTCCTTTTACTTATGGTGTTGAGAGATTGGGTTACGAGAGAAAGCACCCAGAATGGAAGTCATGCTTTGAGGAATTGGGTTTGGATCCCAACACTGTTTATGAGTGCCATTCTGGTTGATATGGCGATGAGGTGAGTTTACTGTTAGATTTATTATGCTTTTGTAATGAATCAATTCGAATTGTTTGAGGCAATTTTCTGAAACCGTGTTCTCTGTCAACAAAAAATTAAGTTACGGAGAATGGATCTCGATATGTGGTGATTGCTCATAATTTATAGTAATCAGCAGTTACATCTTTAAGTAGATGATTAGAATGTGTCATAATCACTTTTTTTTAAAAAAAATTTAAATTAAAAAATCCAAAAAATATATATACAAAAATAAAATTAAAAAAAGTAAAATAAAATAGCATGATGCTTAATTTCAATAACATTTTCGTAATTTTTAGATATTTTTATAAAATTTTAAGATTATAGGATATACTGATATTTTTATTTCTGATCCAAAAAACGTAGTAAAAATAATAAATAAAAAATATATAAAATAGAAAAGGGCAAAGAAAAGAATGAACAAAAAAAAAGGAATTAAAAAAAGAAGATAAAAAAGCTAAAAGAAATACAATTAATTGAAATCAAAGCCAAAATTAAAAATAATTAAAAAGGGTTAATAAAAAGAAATCAAGGTAGAAATTGGAAGAAGTTAAAAGAAAAGGAGCTGGAAAAAAAAATAAATAAACGAGAATAATAAAAAGAAAAGGGACCGAAGAAAAAAAGAAATAAAATGCAGGGGCATGAGGACGAAAGGAGATAACATTAAGGGCTATAATTAGAAGAATAACTTTCCAAGGATTAAAAGAAAAAACAGAGCTTTTAGAGGACCAAATTAAACTTTACTTGAGTAACACGTCGCCGTTTTGGACTCTTTGGAAAAAAATCAGGCTAGACGGAAACGACGCCGTTTCAACCTTGCCTCCCTTTATTCATCCATCTTCTTTCTTCTTTTTTTCAGCAGCTCTGCACGTTTTTTTTCCCCTTCCCTTTTCTGGCTTAACTTCGCCCCAACACTAGCCCAAAATACATACTTTCCTTCACCATATCATGGACTTAAAGTTTGACTACTTTGAAACTTGAAATTTACCAATGTTAACGCACAAAAATCCCCTTGACAGTCCACCCATGGCTGGAAATTCAGATACAAAACAGCTAAAAAGCTTGATTAAATCGACAAACATCAAGGCAGATTAGGAACCTTTGAGCTCTATAAAAATTGACAGAAACCCCATAAAAAAAGGACACAAAAAAGGAAACGTAAAAGGAGAGTAGAGAAACAGAGAAAGAGAAGACAAAGAGACAGTAGAGAAAGAGAAAGAAAAGATAAAAGAAAAACTGAGAGAGGGAGGTTAAAAAACTTTGAGAGATACAACAAGGAGCGTAGAAGAGTGGTTGGCCTTTGGTTCGTTTTCAGGAAACAAGTCCGTGACTTCATTCGATTCGAACCCAAACATTACAACCGCATCAGATATAGTTATTATTTTTGTCCTTATCATCTGTAGTGTTGAAACTCGGATGCTAACTTGATAATTTGTCTCTCATTGGTATTTCGCCTCAGCTTGCTTACATAGATCTTTTAAAAAAAAATTTAATCATAAAATAAAGAACTCATCCTCATGTCCCTGTCACCATCTTTGCAATTTTTGTTTGCTGTAAGTCCAAGCTTTATATCTAGATTTGCATGATGATCAGGGGTTGGTTAAGTCTTGCATAATCCTGTACGTATGGCAATTCCTTTTAGGCCGCCCTTGGTTGGCCTCAAAATATGATTACAGTGTCGTTGCTTTTAACTAAGCTAATGTAACACCATATGCAGGGAGTTTCTTGTTATTGCTAAACAAAGAACTAAAACTGAGTCATGTTATCCCTGGCCTAATGGATTAAATGGATTTGCTTTGTTAGTTAGTTGATTCAAAGAGAAAGGTGTTTGTTTTGGATCCCAAATTATATCTGTAATAAGCATCCTGCCGTTCTTCCATGCTCTGTTTGCTTGGTGTTCTGTGAAAATTTTCATGCCGTATGGTTAAGTAGTCTTAGGTTTCCTGTTCATTGCATAGTTTTGGTATGGGTTTGCTGTTTAGTTCAAACCCCAACGCCAAACTCTGTTTGCTTTAAATATACAGAGTGGCAAATGAATATGGTTGATATTAATTCATTTCTTAGTTGAATAACAGTAAAAGAAATAATCAAATAACAAAGAATTTGATTCTTTTGAATTCAGGTAATTACGAGCACATGTGTACTTATTGAGATTTTAGGGTCTGCCAAAACAAGACTGGATAGTGAGTATGAGATTGCTTGTCGTTCAAGACCAAATATTTGCAAATCTCTTCTTGTTGTTCGCATTTTTGTATTCATTCATGAGCTTGACTAAATCAAAGACATAATTATGTTATTCTCAGTTTGGGCCAAAAAAAGAAGAAAATAAAATTTGGTTTTTTCTTTTTGAAGTATCGGGATACCTGTTGACCGGTGCAACGATCAAGTATAGCTCAGACATTGAGGTTATATACATAACAGTATAGGGGACGTCTCTTTTGTTTATACTTGACAATAAGGTTATTATTATATGAAATGTCTGATGTATCTATCAACTGGAAAGTTGCTGCTAGAAAATTTTGGCAAGAACGTGGGATGGATCATTGCCTATTGGTTATCCAAGAATTTAATATTGATGAAGGAGATGAAACTAAAAGTAAATATAAATAGCAAACACCAAATAGCTTTTGATCCAGTGTTAATAATCTCTTATAATAAGAGATCATACGTTGAATTTGGATGTGTGAGTTAATATATATATATATATAGAGTAGAGAGAGAGAGAGAGAGAGAGAGAGAGAGAGGAAACTAAAAGCTAGATTTTCAATCGATTTGATGATGTCAGTTTTTCAGGCAATTTAATGCAGAAACTTAATAGATAAGTCATCAAATTTATAGTTGATCTTAGAAGAAGTACTTAATTGATCGATTTCCGAAAGTTCAAACACTGCAATTAAAAGATTTTCAGTACGCAATGAATAAGAAAAAACTATAATTTCAGGTACTCATTATCTTCATTTCCCAGAAAAACCTCCTCGCTTCAATTCCAGACACGTGGCTCACCTCCTTTACAGTATATTTCCATCCTTTACAAAAAGCACATAGTATTTAGCAGTAGCCGATACAGACTGAGAGGACTGAACAAACACTAAATTCCGACAAACAAGAACACAAAGGACAGAGAGAGAAAGAAAGAAACGATGTCGAAGAAAGGAGAAGTAGTGTGTGTTACCGGAGGAAGCGGTTGTATTGGCTCTTGGCTTGTCCGTCTCCTTCTCGACCGTGGGTACACGGTTCACGCCACCGTAAAAAATCTCAGTTAGTTCAAAAACGACCAGTAGTTCAGTGCTGTTAGATATGTTGTCGTATTGCGTTTTGCTAATTTTCATTTCTCTGATTTTGAATTGAAGAGGATGAGAAGGAGACGAAGCATCTAGAATCGCTTGAAGGAGCAGACACGCGTCTCCGTCTTTACCAAATCGACCTCATTGATTATGACTCCATTGTCGCCGCAATCAATGGCTGTGCTGGCGTCTTCCACTTAGCCTCTCCGTGCATCGTCGATCAAGTCCATGATCCTCAGGTACTAGAGTTGTATTAATAACTTGTCATTTTATTGGCTTTAATTGATTTTTAATTTGTTAAATTAACTGATTATTATTATTATTATTATTATTATTATTATTTGTTTTTGAAAAGAATGAGCTTTTGGATCCGGCAATTAAAGGAACAATAAATGTACTAACGGCAGCAAAGGAGAACGGCGTCAGGCGCGTCGTGGTGACGTCATCGATTTCATCTATAACGCCCAGTCCTAACTGGCCTGCTGACGTCATCAAGAATGAGGATTGCTGGACGGACGTTGAGTACTGCAAGCAAAATGGAGTGAGTACTGAGCACGGAGTGCTGTTTTCTTCTTTTAATTTATTTGCTAATAAATATTCTTTTTTGACATTTGTGTGTTATAACGTGGTTAATTTTATTTGTTTTGTTGTGGTGATTAGATATGGTATCCATTGTCAAAAACACTAGCTGAGAAAGCTGCGTGGGAGTTTTCGAAGGAGAAGGGTTTGGATGTGGTGGTGGTGAATCCAGGTACGGTTATGGGTCCGGTTATCCCACCGACGCTGAATGCTAGCATGCTGATGCTTGTGCGCCTTTTCCAAGGTTATGTTATTCGCTTACTCAATTTAAGTAATCACATATTACTTTTTAACTGAATTGTCTTTCTGTGTTTGATTCGCGTTTCTGAAATTTGTCTCGTTGATCATGTTAGTTAAAGGTTGGCAATATGTGTTTTGTTTCTTCAACTGATGTTGGAGATTTATATAGTCTTAGGGCTGTGCTTTTATGTTTCTCTGAATGAACATTGTTTGTTCAGTTCAAACCCATTAATCTGAGGCCTCTGACTGAGGTTTGAGATGAATGTAGATTTAGAAAGCATGTAGCTGATTGTGGGTGTCTGGTTTAAGATATATGGAAATTGAGTAACACTAGAAAATGAGGAAAGTGAACAGAAAGGAATTGTAGGGAAGAAGGAAAAGGTGTGGAAAAGAATGAAGTTCTTGTCTCTTTATCGTGGTTGGTAGAGCTGTAGGAAGATAAGAGGAAGCAAGTAAGAGGGGGGGGGAGAATTAAACCTTGCTTTCCTCCCTGTATCCACCTATTCTGGGAGTGGAAGAACTTTATGGTTGCTAAATTAATTTTTCCTTCCTTTTTAGTTACTATCTGTGAAAAAGGGAACTGATGTTCACTTGGTTTAATTTTCTTGTAGTCTTTTATCTTCCCTCCCACTTCTTCTCTACTTAATAAAGTGTCAATGTTTAGCTTACTTGCCATAAGTGAGTTCTTCTTTTAATTAAATATATATATTGCACTGTTGACTTTATAGCTGATAGCTTGATCAGCAGAATTAGATTTCCCTGGTCTGTGTAATGCATTTCTTTCTCCTGCCGGATGCCACCTGTGTAATGGAAAAGTTTTTGAGGAAAATTCGTAGAAAGTTGCAAGGACCAGGAGCAAAGTTAGACTTCTCATTAGTTTTGATTGTCTGTTCCTATCTATACCCTTCTTTTAATTTAGCTAACCTAACCACTCCATTATACTATTGTAAACATGCAAACATGTTGGCAGAAGCAAGAGCGGAGCTATGAATTTGAGGTTGGGGGAGCCAAAAAACTTATTGAGATAAAAAAAATCATTTACACAAAAAATGTATGTAATAATTGTAGATTTTGGACTAAAATGTAACTTTTTTTTAATTATTTAAAAGGAGCCTTTTTATATATAAAAAAAAGTGAAACTCATATGAAATAATTATTAAACTTTGGAGACTATTTTGAACTTTATGGGGAGTGTGGCACCCCTAGTTCCGCCCATGCTAATAAGCTTTGACCAACATAGCCTCTAACTCATAGTCATTTTTGAGACTTGGATTTCAATTTCCTCTACTTCAGTAATCAGTAGCAAACTGGTACTAGTTTTAAAAACTTTGCGATTATGATTTCTTGAATTAGGAAATCACTAATAATGACCTTGTTGCAGGCTGCACCGAGACATATCAAGAGTTCTTTATGGGATCCGTCCATTTTAAAGATGTAGCCTTGGCACATATTATAGTGTATGAGAACCCATCAGCAACCGGCAGACACTTGTGTGTTGAAGCTATATCTCATTATGGTGACTTTGTGGCCAAGGTTGCTGAGCTATATCCTGAATATAAGATTCCCAGGTAACGGGTGTCTATACGGTGTGCCAAATATTTGAACAGATCTATGTACATTTTTTTTACGCCTACAGATTTGATTTTCTATTGTCTGCTAAACAGTATGAAAACCATATGCCATTTCTGAAATCTAGTTTCCTCTTCAAAATTCTCTACTTCATAATTCATCTAAACTTTGCACGTGGGGGTGCATGTGAGGAGCATTGAAGTTATCAAAGATTTGATTGTAGTTCTAAGTGTCTTTGTAGCGAGGAGCATTGAAGTTAACTAGCATGTGGCTCTTTATTCTCATATAGAGTTGCACTTGCTGTTGCTATATTATGGATTAAACTTCAGTGCATTGCCACCCCTGCTTCATTGAGATCTTAACACTTCTCTTTAGCTGGCTGATGGTGTATATCATGAACTGCTTGATTCTTAATGTGACTATTGGTGTAGGTTGCCAAAGGATACCCAACCAGGGCTGTTGAGGGCAAAGAATGGAGCTAAGAAGCTGATGGACTTGGGTTTAGAATTTATTCCGATGGAGCAAATTATCAAGGATGCAGTTGAAAGTTTAAAGAGCAAGGGATTCATTTCTTGAGAAAAAGCTTCAGGGATCAATATATGGGATAGAACTGATAAGTAGTGAGAATTTGTGCAATAAAATAATTTTAGCTTGCATATGGAGGTTATATGTCATTTTGGCAGGTTTTGGTGTTATCAGTTCGCTGTGTGGACAGTTCGACTTTGAACAGGTCAAGTATTTGAAGAAGAAACCATGGTTTTGTTTTGCTTTACCTTCTCAGTTCTCTCCACATTTCAGCTATGGTATTGATTCAAAGTCTTCAATTCTTGGTAACTAGCACCAATGGGATCAATGCAAGAAATATATTGCAGTTTTTGAAATCCTTAAATTGTCTAAACTAAATGTTTAATTGCGTACATGTAACAACTAGTTATCTCCTGTTTGTGATATGCAATCATTTAAAGTATGTGCTACGTTGTTCTGTGATAGTCTTCGGGCGGGGAACTTGATCGTAAGATGGTCCATTATGTGAGATGAGGTGATTGAATAGATTTGGTGTTGAGAATGCGGGAGGGGTGGTGAACCACTAGTGCAAGATTTAAGGAGCTGGTAAAACATAGTTGATGCATGCATACCAATCTACATTTCTAGATTTTTTTAAGTATAATCTCGAGGAGTTGCCGCTAATTATAAACGAATCTAAAGGAATCTGACCTTTTTTCAATGAGTTTGATGCTATTCCAAGATGTGCAGATCCCATCGAAATCATATTATGAGGGCTAGAACCTACAGGGGCCCATATCTTCTCTGGTGAATGAACTTTGGGTTATAGAAAGCCTGTGTAGAACCATTTTTCAAGGAATTTAGTGTCGGTGCCCGGAAGCTGACCCAAAATCAGTACTACTTGAGAGAGAGAGAGAGAGAGCAAAGATTTTTAGTCCGTTTACTAAATGAACTAAAACAAAATCAAAAAACAATGTACACACCTTATTAACTATCTTTATTTTCACTGTTCATTTATTTTTTGCACAAAAAGTGTTCACTTTAGTCCTTTTTTAACAACGTTCTTTTTTTTTTTTTTTTTTTGTAATATATACTAAAATAAAAATAGAAAAAGTGAACATTTTGCACATACTATTCACTTTTTCTATTTTTACTTTTCATTTATTGTTCATTCACTTTAAAATCACTATTTATGTACTATTTGCATTAAAAAAATTCACTTTCATGCCTCTTTTTTAACAACGTTTTTCACTAAATATACTAAAACAAAATCTAAAAAGACTTTGTACACACGATTCGTTTTTTTCATTTTTACTATTTATTTACTGCTAAATTTTTTCTGAAATCACTATTTATTTACTGTTTGCACAAAAAATATTTCACTTTGGTCCTTTTTTCAACAATGATTTTTTGGTCAAAAATTTCATTTTCATTCATTTTGGTCTCTACATCCTAAAAGGAGGCTAAAAGGAGGGAGAGAGAGAGAGAGAGAGAGGAGGAAGAGAGAAGGGAGGAGAGAGGGATAATCGACCAAACCCATTTTCGACTATCATGACAATCACTATATATTTATCAGTACTTTGTTTGTCTCAAAAAGTAGAATCCGTTTGTGGTGACGACTCGTTATGACAATCACTATTTATCTACCATCACTTTGTTCGTCTCAAAAAATAGAATCCGTTTGTGGTAATGGAAAATCATGAAATGGTAAAAGGAGCTAGTCGAAAGCTCGATATTTTTTGAGTTTTTTTTTTTAAAATTGTGTTTTGTATAAATTAAAATGAATTTTGAGATTCTAAATATTTTTTTATGTTATTTAAATGATTTTGAGGTGTTTTTAGATAAGATTGGAACTGAATTTGATCTTGAGAGGCTTAGAGTAATAAAATCCAACTTTTCGATGATGTTTATGGTGAAATCAATGTTAAAAAATGTAAAGATCGTCGAAATTAAATAGGAACTCTTTTTTTTTTTTTTTTCGGCCCAGGGCTGAGCGGGCCTGGTGCTCCAAAACAAAGGCACAAGGGCTTTCTCCTTGGCTTTTTTTTTTTTTTCTCTCTCTTTAATTTTTGTTTTTTAATTAAAATTTTTTGGCAAAACTTAAGGAATATTGATTGTTATTATTTGTATTTTTCATGCAGTATGAGAAAGATAAAATATATAATATTATTTTTATATTTTAAAATTAAATATATTTTATATTATATTATTCTTATTATGTAAATTTATTCTTTCAATTTGTTATTTTTTTATTAAAATACTCATCTAATTAATATTTTTTAATAAAATTTTATTTATTGATAATATAATTTATTTTTTTCTATATTTGAATTTTAGAATCAAATTTTAAAACAATTTTTTTTATATAAATAAATTGATACAATATATATAATGTATTTTTAGAATTTTTAAATGATAGTTGTTTATATATAGATATATGATTATTTTGATATAAAAAGTTAAAAGTGTTTATAGATAATTTGTTTTAATCCAGTAAGTATGGTCAAAACATATAAAAAAATTATTTAATTATCGATTTTATTAAAAATTTATTATGTATCTTCACACATAATACCTATTATTTATTATAAATATTTTAAAAAAATTATAAAATTAATTTATTTAAAATAAAATAATTAAATATTTTTTTAAATCCACTCAATCATTCAAATACAGAAGATTTGGTGAGGTGAGGTGATTGAATAGATTTGGTGTTAAGAATACGGGAGGGGTGGTGAACCGTGAACCACTAGCGCTAGATTGAAGGAGCTGGTAACACGTAGTTGATCCGCGCCTACCAATCTACATTTCAAGATTTTTTCAAGTATAATCTGAAGGAGTTGCCACTAATTATAAACGAATTTAAAGTAATCTGACCTTTTTTCAATTAGCTTGATGCTATTGCAAGATGTGCACATCCCATCAAAAAGATTCGATTAGGATAGGATCTTCAAAACAAATGAGGGCTAGAACTTGAAGGGCCGATATCTTCTTTGGTGAATGAACCTTGGGTTATAGAAAGCCCGTGTAAAACCTTTTTCAAAAGGAATTTAGTTTCGGAGCCCGGAAGCTAACCCAAAATTATTACTGCTTGAGACAGAGAGGAAAAATAAAAAACCATAGATTTTTAGCCCGTGAAAATTAAAGGGCACATGCATCGAGGCTGTGGATCATTCTACTAATTCAAAAACATTTATCTTTGCCGTTGCTTCTTGCTTGGGATGACATAAATGGATCATTTTGACTGCTGGCAGAGTAGTACGTGGTGGCAGGCTTATCCAACAAGCACCTGTAAAATCTATCACTTTTGCACCGTTAAGAAATCTTGACTAAAATCTCTCATTTGCACCTTACGTTTTCATCAATTTGTTATTAAAAAAACCCCTTTACCATTGATTTTATTATTAAGTTGATTAATGGATGACGTGTATTATTAATTTCAATCAATTAAATATAATTTTTAAAAATAAAATTTTATTTAAATCATTTGAGTATTTTTTAATACAAAATTCATTATTATTAACCTTTATGTCATTTCTATTAATATTATTATCCATATTACTCTCTTTATTATGTAGTTTATTTTTAACTTAAACAAATTATATTCAACTTAAATAAAAATGTAAATATTCAAAAAAGTTTTTTGAGGAACTACTGAAAATAGAGTTTAGCAAAAAAATCTTCTGCAAATATACTCTCCCTCCTCCAACTCCGCTTTAAAAACAGTCCCAACGAACCCATTTCTCTTCTTCCTCTTCAAATTAAAAATAAAAAATCATAAACCTTCAGTGATGGCTTCTCGTCTAACAACAACCCTCTCCTTCCTCACTTACCTCTCGATTCTCTTCTCCTTCTCTTCGTCTACAACAATTATCCCTTCAAATTCTGATAAAGTCTCCCTGGCCCTATACTATGAATCTCTCTGTCCATACAGTGCTAATTTCGTTGTGAATTACCTTAACAAGCTCGTCAAAGATGACGAGCTTCTCTCCATTGTTGATCTTTACCTTTCTCCTTGGGGTAATGCTAAAATCAGAGGAAACGAAACCTTTGTTTGCCAGGTTCTTATTAAAAAAATAGACCCTTTTGAGCTTTTACTTCATTGCCTTTTTATCTAATTGAAAAAGGTAAAGTGTTTCTACCATTAAGGAATTGCTAAGCTAATAAATTTTGTTTCTTTGATGTTTAAATTGCAGCATGGTCCATATGAATGTTTATTGAATACAGTGGAAGCTTGTGCAATTCATGCATGGCCTAAATTGGTTAGACTTTTTAGCTTCATCGAGTGTGATTTGATCTGGTTTAGAATAGGTTTTATGTGATAGTTAAGGTGCCTGTGATGTTTATGATGCAGGAAGATCATTTTCCTTTTATTTATTGTGTTGAGAGATTGGTTTATGAGAGAAAGTACCCAGAATGGGAATCATGCTTTGAGGAATTGGGTTTGGATCCAAAGACTATTTCTGAGTGCTATACTGGTGGATGTGGCGATGAGGTTAGTTTGCTGTTAGATTTATTATGTTTTTGTAATGAATCAATTCAAATTGTGAGGCAATTTTCTGAAACCGTGCTCTCTGTGAACAACAAATTAAGTTACCGAGAATAGATCTCTATAGGTGGTGATTGCTCATAGTTTACAGTAATCAACAGTTACTTCTTTAAGTAGATCATTGGAATGTATGGACATCTTATCTGGTTGATTAAGCTGATATTGTGTATTGCTTATTAGCTGAAGGGATTTTATATAGACACGCTAATTAAGTGAAGGCTTTGATTTCATGGTTGCTTGATGTTAGGAGCTCCACGAAAGTGTTCACAGTGATTTGTTATATATTCTGATGATGGTTCAAGCTTAGTTACTGAAAATTGTCTAAACTTTCATTTTCCTGACGCAGTAGTAGGGAAACGGTCTTTGGTTGAAGCAAATGGTAGATTTAATCTTATGATACTTGCTGCTGTAGTTTTATCTGCTTAAGCGGGTAACGGAATAGTTTCTGTTTTCTTTAGCCTGCTATGAGGATAATCCTTATTGATTTTAGGCGCACAACTAAGCCCAGAAGCTTGGTTTAGAGAAGTTTGATGTACATGGAAAATTATGGTCATTAGATATCTGAAGAACCAGTATACTGCTGAAAAGAAGGGATAATCTGGCCAGATAGTAAACGGACAGTGAGGCAAAAGTGAACTGGAATAGAAGTAATGAAAACACTGATTGTTTTAATTGCTTTAGAACTCTGTTAAATATGTCTTTCAACAGTGAGGAAAGCCTGAAGCAGTCTTACTTGAATCAAATGGTCTTGAGAGAAAAATTTGTGCAACTAGAAACCTATAGCTCTGATTCTGAAATTTAAATGTATGATGGTGATTCCATCTTTGGCGTTTCTCCCACTTGATGCTTGGTTATCTGTATTTCAGTTTGGCCTCCCACCTAAATGTTCATTGTCTTATACCACATAAAGATAACTCAATGTTCTGCTGACTTCCTAATGCTTCTCTTCCTCTTGTCATTATTTTACTTATTTGGTGGGCCAAAAACATGCATAACTGATTGGATATATATTTTCCATCTCTATGCAGCTAGAATTAAAATATGCAGCTGAAACAGATGCCCTTCACCCTCCACATAAATATGTGCCATGGGTTGTGGTGGATGGACAACCAATTTATGAGGTTTGTTCTTTTTTAACTATGATCATAAGAAATGTGTATTGTTTGTCTACTATTTATTTTTGCTACCAAGGTTTCTACAATCCAGATGTAATTTTGCTATATGTGATAATTGATATTCAGTCATGAACAATCGATGCTTGTTTATAAGTTATCAATTTCTCGCTTTCTTCTTTTCTTGTAAAAGATTACTCGGTGGAATTCAGGAATTACTTTGTTGTGATTTTATTTACCTTTTTTTTTTTTGCGTAGGACTATGAAAACTTCATAACTTACATCTGCAAGGCCTACAAAGGGACTGCCACACCCAAAGCTTGCAGCAAACCATCTCAGCGAAGGCCAAAAGCAAAATCATTCCCTCCAGTTTGCTATAGGGATACAATTATTTCAACATTATTGGAACCAGTAAGATCAGCAATATCATTGTGGATGTAGTAGATGAAGCTGCTTCAGCATTGATGCATCTCAATTCCAAATACTTCTGATTCCATTGCTTTGTTGTTGGCATTCTAGTTATGTTTCCAAGTTAGCAGTATGCAGCTAAGCGGCTGTATGAAGTTGTTACTCCCTTTTCTCGACTTAAAACTTTGTATTGTGATTGTGGGACTGGGATATTGTTTGATAATAAGCTGTCTATATATATCATGGATTGAGCTACAGGTATGCACCTCGACTAATGCTTGTATTTTGATGTTCTTGATAACAGTCGGTCCAATGGCTTTTTAGTCGACTCTAAGAATCGAAGGACTGGTAGATCAGTTGAACCTATATTAGCAAGATCACCTGCACGACATATGCATCAGGTGGAGATGCATCAACCTGAGTGGAACGATCCAGTGGTTTAGTTTTTGTCGTCACGATTCTATCCTCCACTAGCAAGACTTGATTGTAGCTGTTAGTTGTTACACACCTTTGAATGGTCTTATATTCTTTAGCATGTGCTCATCAACAATTCTGGCTGTCCTGTCGCACCCAAGGCAGGAATTTTTTGCTAGAACTAGATTTTAGTTGAAGCAATCGTCAATTGAGCCATCTCATCTTTCCAAGAGTATTAAAGCAAATTTGGATGGGTACCACTTTTAAATATATAAATTCTTTCTTTTCAAGTCTTATAACAGCGTGTCGATATGTCCGAGTGGTTAAGGAGACAGACTCGAAATCTGTTGGGCTTTGCCTGCGCAGGTTCGAATCCTGCTGTCGACGGTTTTTCTTTCGTATTCATCTAATCTTCTTTTTGTTTAATGGGCACATTGATTCAAGCAAGTGTCCTCCGCTTCCAGCCCAAATGGCCAGCAATCTGGTTTTGGACTGAAATACGCAAGGCCTATTAGCAAGCCCAACCTAACCATTAATCAGTTTTCGCTTGATGCTCATTCTATGTGCATCCTAATTCCTATGTTCAGGTGATATTTTATCTTTTGAGGAAAAGCAACTAAAGGGACTCTAAGGTCTTAACTAATTTCTACAATTTTTCTTATCTTTATATATATATATATATATATATATATATATATATATATATATATTTTTTTTTTTTTTATGATAAAAAATAATTGAATCAATTTTCCTATACGAAACTAAATTCATCTCCAATCCAATAAGATGTTAACTTTACATTTAATTTTATCTTGAATCAATGATATCAATGACAAAAGGACGTCAAGATAGACATCTTTCTATTTAGAAAAAAATTTAAAAAATAATAAACTGGACAAATATGTGCATGGAACTTAAATAAACCTAATAGATATATAATTAAACTTGCTGCGAAGTTGCTAGCATATAAATCTAATGGATAATTAATTAAACTTGCTGCAAAGTTTCTAACATGTTAGGGATAATCACGACACTGCTGTTTCATCAAAACCATGAATCTACGTGATTAATTAGTTGATATTATGATGATTTTGTGATTACAAATAAATTATTATGAAATTAATCATGCATATTTTATCATGATTTTTTGAAAATGATGGATGATCAAATAATAAAAACGGTGGAGTCATTTTTTTTTTTCTGGTTCGGTAGTAACATTGTTTTTGAGCCAGCAGAATAATCGTTTAATAATCTTTTTCTAGTAAATTTTGTCTGTTAATCCGCAAAAGTCAAGCTCCCCAAAGAGTGTGTCATATGGTCCAACCCAAGCCTATTAATACTAAGATTTTCATGGTCCTCCCATCCCATGCATGTTCACATTTGTATCTTACTCTCTCAAGTCTCAAGTAGGGTTGGTTACAGCAAAGCAAAGCAAAACAAAAGCCAAAGAAAGAGAAGGCAAGTTTAAAGGAGGAAAATGATAGGTGGCTGTGGATTCATACTCTTTAGGAGCAAGGGTTCAGGGCGAAAGTGAGAGGAGGAGGAGATCCACCACGCACCGTTTGTCAGTAAATTTTACGATCTAGATATCATGTCGGCGACCAAAACTACAGTTTGTCAAACTATATAGGACCCACCATACTGTGACGTTTCACACACAAAAAAATAAAATAAAAAACTGTGACCTTGCTCTTCTCCTTTGGCCATTCTTTTGGTTTTACCAAAAACCCGTTGCTCTCCACTTCCGAGGGCCACCGACTGTTTCTTCCTTTCTGGCTAGCGAAAACCCTAGCCGTTTTTTCCGAAATTTAAAGTGTTCATGGTAGTAGAAAAGAAAACAATTCAAATTATAAATTGTACTGCTCGGAGCTTATACATAATAGTTCCAAAATGCTGGTCTTTCCTTTGAGATTTTATTGCATAGAATTCGAGACATCGCATGGACAACTAGTACTCCTTAGTCCTTTGATTTCTTTTATTTATTGTACAAAAATTACATGAAATCAAATATAATAGCTGGTTAATTAAGCGTTTTTTAAGTGAGAATTGAACATTTTTGTTGTCAATAAAAAATATATTAATTGAGATCTTTTAATTTGGTTGAGGAGTGATGCTTATGCGTATGTAACACAAAAATATGCAAACTTACTCTTGTACAATAATTAATGTATATTGGATAAATTTTGAATCCAAACGTATGTAACTCTCGCCATGCAGAAATGAAATTATATATATAATCAATGAGGTATTTTTAAATCTGTTTTTTCATTAATTAAAATTAAATCGGTCACATTTTGAATTAATCTATCTAACCTTGAATTTATTTGAAGGACGGGACCTTAATTAGCCTTAATTAATCATATAATTTTGGCACTTACTATTTTTTTTTTTTGGCTGAAATCATATAATATTGTTGAACCAGTTAGCGTTAAATGACTAATACAATCATGTATAAACCATCTAGAATTAGGTTGACTTTCTATATCATAACTCAATATTTAAAAAAATTGTATAGTTTGGACATATATTTTTAGTCATAAGACGAACTCTCTCGTGTTAACTTTTCACACCCAGTTAGTCCAGATGTAAAACATGAAAAACCCCGTACGTACGTATTAACTATTATAAAAACATGTTTGTGGGTTATAATTCCAACAAGTAAATGGGCATGCATCGAGCAATTAAGCAACGAGCTTTTTTTTCCCCAACTTAGGAATTGGAATGATAGGGCAACCAAGCCAATGAAAGCAAAGCGTGACGGCAAGTTCACCTTGGATGCTATGTGAGATCACGCCATCTTGCTTGACGCCGTGTATTTTACGACATTATCTTGTTAGCCGTCACCCTTTAACACGCACCAATTATATATCTCTTCATCATCAATTTTTTTTTTTGTTTTTTTAATACAGGAAACAAGCAGAAGAAATTAAACGACACTGTCGTTGTTTTTGTTCACAAAAGTAAGCCACGTTCTGTCTGTTTGGTAACTTGTTACTTGTTAGAAGCATTATATTGGTGGTTTGGGATTGGGATTATTCATTTTATAGGTTTATAGATCAGATTTACTTTATTTTGTCAATTAAATAGTAGTTGTTGTCACTGTGCATAAGTTGAGAGATTAAATAAATAAATGAAAATTGAGGTGATAAATTGAAGGTGTGGCAGCGTACGTAAATAGCGTATGTTTGATAATCTTCTAGAACGAGATACCCCCAATGATTGTGATAAAAGCTAACCTTAAATAGTAGTTTTTTTCCTTAATTTCTCCTTTTCTTTTATTTTCTATATTATAATTGCCTATTTCGAGAACAACTTCCAAACTATTATTATTATTATTATTGTTATAGCATTTTTATTGATGATATGGAATATATCCTAGAGCTTTTCTAAAAACTGCAATCGTTCTGCAGTGCTGATACAAATATTTTTATCACCTGTAAATTTCTTTTTTTCAATTACGCTCTCTTATTCTTAATATAATTAAGCAACATTGGATACATCAAAATTTCACTTAAATTTAGTGACTGAATTATCACATTGTAAAACTTTGAACTTTTATTTTGAAAAGTTCAATTTATTTGTTTAAAGGCCAGAGTTTACTTCTGTAGACCAATTTGAAAAAAAGAACGGGAAGATATGGCATTAAGTCTTCCTACCAAGAAAAAGAAAGAAAGAAAACACTGGCATAAATAAATTAACGTTAAAAAAATTATTTGTAACCCAAGAGGGTTGGTTTGAGTGGACTTTATTAGTCACTTGAACCAACACCACCATTACTCGACATGCGATTTCGAGACATTTGCTAAGATTGGGCCTTAAAATCAATTGTGGCTTAATCATGGTGCCATGTTTCCCACGCTTGTTGTTTAACAAACATGGATCTATCATTCATGCTCTTTAGCTCATTTAGTATGTCGCCACATCGCTTCCATGCTAAACTCTTTCACGCATCCTTAATCAACATATTGATGATCGCATTCTATAAAAAATGCTTTTACATAAATAAAAAAAATAATAATATTGTACATTTCATGTTAAGTTAATACTTTAAATAAAATATAAATAAATAATTAATATTTTATCCTAAATTTATTAAATTAGAAGTCTTTCATCTCTATAGAGATAGACTTTCATGTGGAGCCAACAACATCCCATCGTTTATTGAAAATTACAATAATTTTTGTAGAGTACTTACTTAACAAAACCAATCTATCGAACAAAACAAACAAATAATAAATAAGTGAATTAATTATTCTAATATAATTTATAAAAATATAAAACTAATTATCACATATAAAATAAATTACTCACCAGTTATTTAAGACCCGAATGATCCGTCCGTAATAAAATATAGCAGAGCTTCCTAGAGTGGAGAAAATTGACATGGGGGCATCCGCGATCGGGGCATTATTGGCGAGAATGCCGTTGAACTAACACCACTATCTAGTCCACGATCTCGGACGCTTGCACTAATAACGCCACATCCACGTATATTGTCATCATCAAAGCCAAGACCACCGGCACCACGAACAAATCTACCCAATCTACATGGCGTAACTCTAGAATAACACTTGAAACGAGTTTCACAAATACAACAAATGAATAATTATTTGACTAAAAATATATTATAAATTTTTTTAAAAAATTCAGCATAGTCTCCCTTTTAAATTGGATATTCCCTTATTACTGAAAGAGCCATCCGCACAAAATTCAATACATCTAAAATGCACAAAAAACGTTTAAAAAATGCATAATAGACAAAACGATATAATTTAATAAATAAAATTAATTTTCAATTATTTTAATTTTCATAAATCAAATTAACCTAATTAATTATAATTTAAACCTAAATCAAATTAACTCTAATTCAAATCTAATTAAATTTAACCGATAATTAATTAACAATTTTCAATATAAATAAAATTAAAAATCAACCAATTAAATATTAACCTAATTAGTTAATTAAAACTAAATAACTAATAATTAATTAACAAATTAACATCACAATTAACAAGAGATAACAATTTAACAAATTAATCAACAAAATTATAATTAATCAAATTTAACCTAATTACTTAATCAAACGTAAATCAAATCAACCAATTACTCAAATTTAACCTAATTAATTAATTAAACCTAAATCAAATGAACCAATTAAGAAAATCAACCTAATTAATTAATTAAACCTAAATCAAACTCACAATTAATTAACAAATTAATCTAACAATTAATAAAAAATAATAATTGAATAAATTAGTCAACAAATTAAAAATCGATCAAAATTAACTTAATCAATTAACTAAATCTAAATCAAACAAAAAAATTAATCAAATTTAACCTAATTAATTAATTAAACCTAAATCAAATCAACCAATTAATCAAAACTAACCTAATAAATTAATTTAACCTAAATCCAATCAACTAATTAAGCAAAACTAACCTAATTAATTAATTAAACCTAAATCAAACTAACCGTTAATTAACTAATTAACCTAACAATTAAATAATAATAATAATAATAATTTAACAAATTAATCAAAAAATTAATAATTAAACTATACAAAATTATAAATCAAAAAAATTAAATTTAAAATTAACCTAATCATTATGAAAATAACTAACAATTAACAAAGAGAGAGAGAGAGAGAGAGAGAGAGAGAGAGAGGACTTACCCGATAATTCGGTCGATTAGAAAGGACTTTGAAGTGGATGTGGATTAATGTGTAGTGGAGGTTTTAGCTATCCAATGATTTTAGGAGGGGGAGATGCTGGTAGTTGGAGAGAAAAGAATGGAAGAAGAAGAAATAAGGGAAGAAGAAGCGAAAATGGGTTAAATTAGGGATTGAGACCGAGTGACGGACGCGATCTCATCGTTGGTTTGTCGCTAAATAATGACAAACACTTACGTCCGTTGCTAATCCTTTGTAAAATGGATAACCAATTAAACCCGGATGGTCGTCCATTTTTTTTTACAAGTAGCAATGGAAACTTTCCTATCATTGTTCCATCGCAAAATTGGCAGCCAATTAATTCGGAAGGCCATCCATTTTTCTTATAGCTAGCGACAAAAACTTAATTTTCGTTACTATTTTTTCGTCAAATGGGCGGCTCTTCAATTTCAAAAGGTTGTCTATTTTTTTAGATTTAGTAATAGATTTAGTACTTCGTTATAAAAAAATTATCTTTAAATAAAAATATTAAAAATAGAGACGAAACATAAGTCTCGTTGCTGATTTTTGTAGCAATTCCGTCTTTAAAAAAATTGAAAATATTTTAATGCCACAAATAGTGATGAAAATTATGTCCGTCGTCGATAATTTGTTACTAAACTATCTCTTTCCCATCACTAAATAGAACAGACTCTATTTGTTCGTTATTTACTTGCTATTTAAAGACAAATTGTGTGTTATTGCTAAATTTCATCGTTATTTTTTGATTTTTTTATAACGGATTAAATAAGTTTAAGTTTAATACCATTAAAGAATAATTATGATTAATTATCCATGTGAATTAATTAAATATTAGTTTTGGCCAAACCAAGATAATATTTTTACTGCTGCACCACATTACTTGTTCGTTCAGCCCAAAATGTTCCGGTTTAGAAATTAAGATTGTATGGTTTGCTTGTTTCTGTAATTTTAAAGTGGCGTTAGCAGGCATTTTTTAAGGTGACATAGGACCGATTATTTAGCTGTCATAAGCACTGTTTGGGCACGTGATTAGGAGATCCAGTAGGCAGTAGAACCTGAATTACAAAAGTGGTCAAGGTTATTTAAGAATGATGTTGACTCGTGGTCATGCTTCGAGACAATTAAAATGGGCCTCCCAAGCTGCTGCTCTTTTTCTTAAACAAAGACACGTATCATTCACCTGCATAACAAATTCTAGGCTGAGTCAGTCTATTAGTTTGGCTACCGAGAGTACAGGCTTCTAAATTGCAATACCAAACAGTAAGTTAAAAATAGTGTGCCCATGTGGGGGGGGGGGGGGGGTGTGGTGTGGTAAGTTAAAAAAAAAAATACAGCTGCTCGTATTTGTTAAGTCCACTCATGGACAATGGTAAATTCTGAAGTGCATGAAACATTTATTAATGGTAACTTACATGTAGCTTTCTGTGCACCTACTCACTTTTTTTGTTTGACCATTCAACCACACACATTAATTTTTCAGTCCGTGACATGTATAATAGAGCAAGCATTTATATAGGAGATCAACAAAAGAATTTTTAGTAGAGATTTGCATTTATCCAATAGCTTGAGACAAGAAAAGAGGGAAAAAAAAGTCCATCTATTCAACTATTTTTAATATGAATTTTTGCAACACTAGTTGCAACGAGCACTTAGGTGCCACAATGGGCCAGCAGTACAGCAGTCAGAGGCTTTGTCCTTTTTTCAGGACTGTTCAACCATCTATTCCCGACCAAATTTCCAAGGTGTCTCCATGGGCACACTACTCAATCGGTGCCCTAATTAACCGATAGATTTCCCTCAGCTGCTATACAGCGTCCCATAATGTCATCGCACTATTTTTGGAACTAGACAAGCTTTTAACTGGAACGGAAATCATAAATATTGTCTTTAAACACAGACCCTGTGGCTGTATCACAGAAACTGCTAAAAAAGCAATCCCAATTTCACCTGATAACTGACCATCATGACGTTTATGAAATGATCATCTGTCATGCTGAAAGGGCAGGAAGGAACGTTTGAAACCTTTGGAAAATGGGCTCGGACCTGCATGTTACTGTGTCAAAACAAGACCAACCATGGACGTTGGCTGTAAATACTTTGTGGGTTGCCTCAAGGGTGACTGCGTTTTCCGTTTATTTTTTAGCCTCTAAGGGCATGTTATGCTTCTTCGTTTTTGCAAATATAAATTAATAATATATTGCTCCATACGTCAATAGTAACACTGGCTGTGGTGTGAGACAAGACTAGTCGATACAAAGGTGTGCTTTAGCAAATACCCCCACCCAAACCCCACAGAAGCCCACACCTCCCCTGCTCTTCTAACACTCTTTCTTACATGAAGTACCCTTGGCCCAAACGACAACCATCAATGCTACCAGTGTAACGACAAAGAAACAAAATTTTGGTCAGTATCTCTGTGGGCAGGCTTCTCTCTCTATCTCTCTCCCCGTCTTCTTCTTTCTTTTTTTTTTTTTTTCCTCTTTCTTACCATTATTACCATTATGTATTTATCACTGTGACCAACATTTTGCTCATTTTTGCCCTTAACTTGCCCATCAGACCACCTCCCTACGAACTCTTGTAATAAGATCCAAAGATGACCACGTAATAGGAATTAGCGGCTGTTTGGTGGCAAATTGTGATGTTCTTGGGTTGGAAGAAATTAACATTTTCTATACAAGGAGAACAGCTAGCATTAATGAGTTTAACTTTCTTTGAACTTTGTTCCCGAGAATCCACTGTAGTATGGAATATACACAGTACTATTTATTGATCAATATGGTTAATTTTCTTGACAGGAATGATGGATCGAATTAGAAGAAGAAGAAAAAGAAGCGATCTCTCAAGACTAAAGAAGGGACAAATGTATCATATCTTTTCTTTCTTTTCGACTTCTTAAGGGCTTGATATATAGTTGAAGTTACAGATTAAAAGAAGGAAAAAATAAAGTATTGTAATCAAAATGATTTGATTCTACATAAAGACAGGATGAGAAGGAAGAAAAGTTGCTGCTATATGAAAAATGATTAGGAATATTTTAAGATTGATGAAAAGGAAAAGGACAACCAAAAGAGGAAGAATAATATAGAAACAAAAAAACGGTATATTATACTAGATTTCCAGATTATTTAAAGAATTTGAGATCATCATGAGCAGAGCAGCACTACGAGCTGCATCATTTTATGGGATATGGGTCTGAATTGAAATTCAGAAATGGGGTTAGTTTGGGAGTGACTGGTGGGTCTGTACTAATAATTAACAAAATATATATAGAATACCATACGCTATAGTAAGATATGCATTAATGACATAACAATAGAAAGGAAGCTAAAGGTTGGCTACTGGTCATTTTCACAATGAGGTGGTGGTTACCAAAATAAAATAAGAGCAGCAATCACAAGGATTATTTTTATTCCATTCAATCGATGCTTGAACCCTATCATCTCTTTTTTGTATAGTTGTTGTTATCATAGGAAAGAGATGTTGTTTCATAGGGATCAGAGAGAAGGAAAGAAAGAGAGGGATCAAAATGAGTACTATCTTAATAACCCAGAATCCAAGATGTCAAAAATCCGTGAAAGAAAGAAAAGAAAACAAAAGGAAAATCTACGACCAAGATGAATAGTAAGATAATAGTTTAGCATAAAGGAAGCACCTGAAACTGTAAGTACAAAAATGTGTAAATCAGTACTGCACGTGTGCATCATAATAGAAACATCTGCCTATGGTGGGGAGCCCAGACGATCAAGAAAGCCGGGACCATGAAGCCACAGTAATAGCTAGGGAATTAAAAGATTGGGTAAAAAATGATGTTGCCCTTCTTGCCAACATGCCTGCAGCCTCCCAAAATTCGAGTAGTTTGAACTTTGATGCTAGCTAGAAACAAATCACAAAGAAACAGTGCTAGAAAACAAAACAAAGAAAATAAGATAGGAACAAAGAATTAATACTGGTAATTATAACTATAATAATCTATAGCAATCAGTACAGTAGTTATATTGTTAAAGTAGACTAGCTAGTTTAAGATATAATGGTCATCTTATCAACAACTGTGCTGTGATATTTAGTGGGGAAGAGAGGGAGAGATAATTATGATCTTCATAAGCAACGAGATTCCATGGGATTCTTCCACTTGCATTTTCTCCCTCGCCATAAACTTCTTACATATTGTGGAGTTTTAATAGGTCAAAACAAGAAAGATCCTGAAACTGAATAACGCAGTAGTAGTTAAGACATCTAGGTCGGTAATATAGAGTGGATAATCCAAGTGAGTTAAACTTGGTTGGCACTTTTAGTTCAAGAAAAACGAAGGGTTTTAGACTTTTAGGCCTCTTCATTCTTGCTGAACTCTACTTCTTCTTCTTTTTTTTTTTTTTTTTCTTTTTTTAATCAGGCCAAGAAAAAGAATAAACACAAGCATTCTAAGGATTTATACTTCTCAACTACCCCATTGTCTATGCTCTAGCAAAATTTTCAAATAGTTGAATTATCGATCAGTTACTTAATAACAATATCACAAGTACTACAAAGAAGATACAGGTTACTATAGCTACCATTAACGAAGAAGAAGCATGGGAAGAGAGGATTTTTTTTAAATAGATTTCTAGCTAAATTTTGTTCAATGGTTCGATCCTATTGTAAAGTGAATCGCCAGAGATCATATATCTCTCTTAATAATCACAATTAAGACAGGATATTATAAAATTAACAAAAAAATTAAACACTATACGGTTGTTGTAGCAGCGGCAGCACTTGCAGCAGCAGCAGCAGCAGCAGCACTACTATCACCATCACCACTTCCCTCTCCACCACCACTAGTAGAGCCACCACCAGCTGCCTCCACCGACACCTTCGCTGCAGCAACAGCAACATTAGGCCTTTTTCGCTTCTTCTTCTCATAAGGAATCCCTCTAGCTTTAGCTTGACCTTCTCGAACTTCCCTCAAATAAATCCTAACAGCTCTAGCCCCAAAAGGGTTTGATTCTGGCCGTCCACCGTTTTCTTCATAAGCAGCTCTAAGCCGTCCGATTAGCGCATCAAGGCTACCCCAAGCCTGCTTTAGTGGACAAGAACAAGGTGCCGGAGGGCTCGGGAGGCCAAAATAAGGACAACCAGTTATGTGGACTTTGGTCTTACCAAATTGATCCAAGTATTTCAAGAACTCGATCACATGTGCACCACTGCAACGAGCTAGAGTTAATGGTGGCTTGTGGTTCTTTAAGTACTGTAAGAAAGTGTTCCAGTCTCTTCTCTTCTGCGACTCGTATCTACTAGGTGGTGCTGGAGGTGATGATCCCTCTGGTTGCTGCTGCTGATGTTGGTGTTGTGGCAGTGATGCTGATGCTGATGCTGAAGATGATCCTGCTGCTGCTGCTGATGGACCCGATTCTCCAATATTCGGGTCGGGTGCAGTGGTTCCTTCAGCTGTTGAGTCCATGAGAATGATGATTGGCAGTGATTTTTGCCAATTTCTTGACCAAGTAATCAGAAAGGTTGTTTTCTTGAAGGCTTTTGGGACTAATAGGAGTGCAGTAGTGATATCAGTACTAGTAGCTGTTACGTTTCTAGTCCAAGAAAGAGGGGGCTGCTGAGTTCTTGGTTTTGTATGGGTTGGTGAAGATCTTTTCACGGGAAAGAGATTGTGTTACGAGTTTCATTAGTCTTGAGAAGGAGAGGGTTTTCAGGGAGATGAGAGAGAGAGAGAGAGCTTGTTTTTTGTGTTAGATGATGGGACGTAAAAAGAGATGAATGAATGAATGAATGAGACTCTTCTTAGTTGAAGAAAGAGAGAAACTAAAAATAAAAACAAAAATAAGGAAGAAGAGAGAGAGAGAGAGAGAGAGTTATAGAGTTACGGTGGTGGTCTTTTGGATTTTTTTTTCACAAATTCATATGGTGACCCCTAATGGACAAGATATGTTTACTATTCATTACCGGCGGCCCCTCCACTCTCCTTTCTTTCTTTTCTTATTTTTTTTTCCTCTCTATTTCAATTTCGATTTCAATTCTTACAGTACCAAATATATATAGCAAACACATTCGCATTCACATTCACATTCACGTGCTTATCAGGTGGGTGGAACTTACATGGATATCGATGGCCCCACTCAGCAATGTGAAGATGACTAAACAAAAAGAAGAGTGCGTGGTGGCCACGGATATCATAAAGTGCGTTGATTCGGTGGTCGTAAGGTAGTGGTGGATCGGATGGGGCAATTAATGTGGGTCTCTTTGAGGTCAAACAAAGGGCTGGTTTATCGTGGAATATTGAAGGCTACTGCATAGGATTCTATATACTCTTTTGTTTTCTCTTTCTCAAAACGGAATTTTTGCTTTCATATCCAGAACTTCTTCTTCAGACATCTAATTAATAACTAATTAATCTTTTGTAGTGTGTTATTTTGACTGATCCTGATAAAACTGACTGTTAAACTAAAATACCCTCCCAAAATACTTTTTTCGTCTCATTTTTCTTGCATCCATAGTTGCATTATAACAAAATTCAATCGGGGATAATGACAATTTTTTTAATTATGCCGGAATTTTTAGAAAATTAAATAAGAAGTATCATTGTAATTAAGTCCATCTTGCTTGCAATTTGAAGTGATTGATTTTATTATACACATACAGTAGTGTTTATTTAAATTTTGAGGAATTTATATACAAGTTTTAATACTATTACCATTCATCTTTACCGTTATTATATTCAACACTATTCCTGCTGTTACACGTAGTCTTATAATCGGCAGTAAAATTAACTTAAATATGGTTAACTATCTATAATGGTGGCAAATTGTGAAATACGTTATAAAATATATTCACGATAACATTTTTTAATGGAAATATTGAGAAAATGTTATTAAAAATCCAATTTGTTGTGCACTAGTATGGGCAAGAGTTTAATTATATATTAGATAGTGCTAAATTCATCAATCAAATTATTTTTTTTATTATTTTTTTACTAAAAAATTACAAATACACTCTCCACTTATATTTGTTATATAATCGTTATTGGTAATTATTGATAAAGAGTGTAATGATAATTGTCTATAAAAAAAAAAAAAAAGACAATTTGATAGATAAATTAACCCATAGTATATACTATCAGATTAAGGCAGTTCTCAATTTAGAGTAAATTATAAATTAGAAATTGGTCCCTGTAGTTTTAAAAAATAAATAAATTAGTTTTTTTGTTTTAAAAATTATTATTTAGTTTTTAAACCAACGTTGATCATATTTAATTTAATATTATTTTTATTTCACAAAATATCTTTTTTTCATTAGTATTTTAATTTTAAAAAATCAAAATAAATTAAAAAAGAGTAAAAAAAGGTTAAGTTATAGACAGGTGTAAAAATACAGAGATGAAATAATTAATTTTTTAAATAAAAGAAACTAATTTATTTATTTATCAAAATTAGAGAAACTAATTTATAATTTATTTGCTCAACTTGACTAATTATCCTTGACACTCTTTAAATTTGCTCAAAATGGATTCTCTTTCCTTCTATTATTGATTGATGGATTGAAGGAGGAGGGAGTGAGGGTGATTCAGAGAGACAGGGTAAAAGAGAAGCCAAATCTTCAAATGGTTGTGTTGATATTTTGTCCTCTTTCCTATTTGATCAACTAAAGTATGTAAAAGTCTCTGTTTAGGTCCGTCCGTTGCCCTTCTGCGTATGGGAATTGGTTTAAATAACTTTCGAATGGATATCATGATTGTAAATCGAGGATAAATTTCTTTTCAACAGCCTCCTAACAACATAAAAAGCAAATCTATTTAACATCGGGATTAGGCTTCCAATAATTATAGTTTATGATTACAGAAAACCCAATCAAATTGCATGCCAGCACTCAAAAAAACCAATTAGTAAAACTCGACCCTAAAACAATGTTACACACAGGGCACTGCAATGGAAAGAGTATTTTATATTTAACTGCAAATCTCGTGCTTAGAATTTGAAACTTTCAAATTGAGAATTCTAGATTTAAATATTGAGTTGTTCACTTGAAAACATAAGGGTTCTATCCCACTCGGAAATTCTTCAGTTTATTCGCCAATTTTTCTCTTGCCTCTAAAAATTTCACAGAATTACTATATATTATAACCAGACATATTTAGAGGATTATACAAATTGTTTTCTAATATTCGAAGGCGAACCTTTCCCGGATGGGCTCAACTGCTTAGATTATATAATTCCCTCTTGACCTGCAACTGCAAAATTAGATCAGGGATCCAAGACCGATCGACCCTCCAATCCTAAAAGTTAGATTCTTTCTTTTTCTCGAATTTTTTTCCCCTTAGAACGTATAAAAATTCCTTAGTTGGATGATTGCAAGGTCTTGTTCATGTAGATAGGCAAGCACTCTGTCCCACGAAATCGATTAAACGAAGACACGAGAAAGGAAGAGCCTGTCACCTACCATATCTGGGATGTCTTGCTTTGTTTATTAGGTGCCTAATATATCAGGGTACTGATAGAGATGACTCTTGAAATAACCAAGTACTGTCACTAGAAACCAAAGATTTATTATCTCTTTATAATCTATGCCACCGCTGCCCATCTAAATATAGAAACCCCGCTGCGTGCTCGGTCAGCAACTAGCTGCAGCTTACATGGTTTAAATTGATGAAAAAAATTTCACATTTCTTATTCGTACGTGGACGTCATGGTGAAGTTAGCTAGGGGAAGGGATGCCTATATAATTGCGTGGGGTTTTTGCCATGCGTGCTTAACACTCACTTTCTCTTCTCATAATATTTTTCGCAGAAAATGCCCTCAGTTATTAGACCAGCATTCTGTTCTTTTCCTTCAAGTACTATTCAATATATTTTGTGTCTGATTTTTTTTTCTTCTTTGTCGATTCGGACACTGATTAGGCAGAGTGGTAGTCCAAAAATATGAGAAGTTATAGCCTATAAAGTAATTACGCATATTTGGTCATTGATCTTCTGTGGACTGAATATACGCATGCCCCTGGACCTGGCATCAGTTTTCTAGCTTCAATTGCGTATGCTTCCGAATTATGTCAAAAAATATTACAGTATGGTACACATGTGCAATATTTTTAAATGAGATTCACACTTTTTGAAATGAAAGTAAATTCGAACAAAATTGAAGCTAATTTGATATAGTTGTTAATTACAACGAGATTTATATATAGACTCCATTGATGAACCGTAAGGATGAAAAAAGGAATTCTTTGCATAGTTGTAATGGATGAGATTTAAACCATACTCTTTGCAGGTTATTATGAATCAATCTTTTGGGATTTTCATATATATATATATATATATATATATATATATATATGTATATAGTATGATATAGGATTTCAATAAGGACTACATTATTCTTCAACGAAATTTAATATGCCTAATCAGGCCTAAGCCTAGCAAAGTCCCAGTCTCGAAAGACGACCATAATCAAGAGGGTCTCGTTAAATAAGATGGATGATGACAATAATGATATTGAATTTAACACATCTCTGATAATTTAACTCATTTTTATACCACTTGTTAAGTTTAGAGTGACATAACTCATGAACTTAAAAAAAAAAATTCTTTTATCACTAACTATTACAAAGTAATAGTATAAATAAATTATCTCATAACAGTACTGGCTATTTATTTAGAGCACTCTCTCGTTACAAGAACTTATTCACCACATTTTACTTTTTATCACACACTTATACTTATTTATTTGTGTCTACAACTCACCACACACTCTATACTTGCTTATTTATCTCTACAACTCACCACACACGGTATTTATAAAACTCTTACATATATACATTCATAGTCCTCGAACTTCTACACTGATAACACCTGATGCATGCATATACCAAATTAATAAAAACACTAGACCAACACGAAGTAACAACTAGTATCAATGCATGAACTAATTAAATGCATAAATGAACAAAAAATTATGAAACAATGCATCTCTTCTCTTGATCAAAATATACAACTCTCGTAAAAAAGAGTTGGTTTGAGCAAAAAGTATGATCTAATCACTTAAGTAAGTGGTCTTAATTTTCAATCCTTATGTACGTAAAAACATTTCTTGGATAATTGTGCCTATTTTGCACAAAAAACAAAACAATAATAATTCAAACCATTGCTAAATGTAAAAAAATCATCGATAATTATAATTAGCGACGGTTTTACAATGGTTAAATACCGTCTTCAAAAACCTTCTCGCAAATTAATCGAGCAACGGTTTTGGTCACTAAACAATGAAAAAACCGTTGCTAAATAATTTGAAAAGATCGCCAATTTAGCGATGGTTTTTACAATTTGTCGGTAATCTGTTGCTAAATTTGTGATTATTTAGCGAAGGTTTTTCTTAACCATTGCTAATCATGGCCAAAGTTAAAGGTGAATTTAGCGATGCTTTTAAGCCGTCACTAAATCATTTTATTTTACGATATTTT